GTCCGTCAAGATTATTATTTTATTGTTATGCTTAAGCAGAATTATCCTATTTTATTAAATAAAGATTTCGTAGTTAAAAATTTTTGGCTTATGATTCTTTATTCTGTGCTTGAGAAACGTACTCATTACGCCTTCAGTGCTAATGCAACAACCACAACATCGAAACATACTTTCTTTTGTACGATTCTTTGGTGCTCCAGAATCGGAAATTCTATTGACATAACGAAAGTTCAAGTTTTACTTTTATAGTATTGCTCTTACAGTCTGCAAAAAATATAAGCCGGATCCAATTGAAGATTAAGGAACACGCAACATTAACATAAGAAAGATAATTAAGATAATTTTAGCTTACAAACATACACCATACATACAACGCGCAGGCGAAAACATATCTCACTTGAACACAAGAATATGTCAGTAGTCAAGGTATTATGCGGACGGTGAAAAAAACCTGTGCGCATGTGCCACCGGCGCATGCGCAGAAGTTTTAGCTTTGAGGTTGGATTATAGATCATTCCGGATTATGGGTGTCCGAATTAACGACTTTGACTGTATGAAATTTTCTACATGTCCAAAAATTTTTCACAAATTTTTAACTTTTAAATAAATTAGAAGAAATACACAAACTTTCCTAGTTAAGTCCTACATTTAGAAAAAAAGAAAATAATTTAAGAAATTTCAAATATAAATCAAATTCAATTAACATTATACAAATAAAATTTGTAGTGCAATTTTTATAAAATACTGTTAACCTCTTTGTCATCTGCAACATGTCTAGCGCATTCAAGTGAAACTTTTGCAGGGCGGCTGCAACGCGCTTCAAGCATTCTTCTACGCTTAAAACACTTTGTAAATGTTTACTTGTTTGAGCTTTTATTCTTGTTTCTTCTAATACCTCCTAGAGAGCATCACTAATTAGGCATTCTATTTCTAATTGAATTTCCCCTGGGTATGATGAATATTCGCACCATTTTGCATAAGATACATGATAGTGGAAGATGCCTTCAACGTCTACTCAGAAGGAAAAAAAAAAAAAAAAAAAGAGAAAAAAAGAGGAGTTATGTCTTTTAGATTATAATGATAGATATTTATCTGATTAAGATAATGAGAGTGAATTACTCTCATCTTATTAATTTTCAATTACATCATTGGAAAATAAAGAAGAATGATATAATCTGGCTGATGCAAGAACATGGAACTGGATTTTGAATATGCTGCGAGTCCTGCCTAGATTTTCTTTCCTTGGAAAGCCCAAAATTACTTAAAATGGTTCTACAAAATGATCCTTCAAAGCTTGATTTTTTTAAAAATTATATTTTGATAAGGATCTGATAAATATTATCATCGAAGAAACGAATCGTCAACTGTTCATTAGCAGCAACATTCTAAAAGAAAATTCTCATGTACACAAGTGGAAAAATACAGATGAGGAAAAAATGAGGATATTTTCGAGTTTGATTTTATTTAATGCATTCTATAAAAACCACCAGTTAAATGGTACTGGTAAAAAAAAAAAAAAAAAAAAAAAAAAGAGAGAGACCATTTTTCTCCAAAGTTGTGACAGAAAAAAGATTCCCTTTTCTTATGAAATTTTTACATATTTTCAAACAATGAAGCCACTCCAAATAATGTTTAAAATCCAAAATAAAAAAAAATTGGAATATTGCAGAATACCTCAGGAAAAGATCTCTACTGTTTATATTCCTATAAGGGATATATGCATTGATGAAAGCTTACTTTTGTACAATGGCCCTCTAAGCTGAATCCGGTATTTATCTTTCAAACGTGCTGGATTTGGAATCAAATTTTTTGAACTGTGTGAATCAGATACTGGTTATGTTCAGAAATTTATCTTTTATACTGGAAAAAATACAGATCGAGGTGTTTAACCAGAAAATACATCTATGGGGGCAAAGGCAATATCATCTTTAGCAAACCCACTACTACAAAAATGTTATTGCTTAACTTTAGATAATTTTTATAATAGTCTATACTTGTCAGACATATTACTAAAGAACAAAATTGATGTATTTGGCATCATAAAACCAAACAGGAAAGACATGTCTCCCTCACAGTCAGTGAAACTACAGAAATATGAGACAGTTTCTTTTCAAAGGGGAAAAGTTCTTGGGTACTTTTTCATTTTGCCGGTGCAGGCGATAAAGACGCCAATAATGGTCCAACTGATGCCAAACGGAATATCCTTCCTTTCACTCTTCATTTTCAAAACAAGTCGCAGCCATTTCTTATCAGATTAAATTGTTTCTTTCAATACTGGCATACAATTACGACGAATTTTGACCAGATATTTCGATTTTATGCCCTAAGGCCATTCGCGGGCGGTAATTAAACCAATTAGGATGCAATCACACCGCTCACCTGACGGTGAAAATACAGAAAAGGCAAAGTCAAGGGTTAAATTCATCAATTCTAATGAGAATGCACTAGCGAAGTAAAGCATTGCGGTTTTACACAATTTCTGAGTAAGCTATTGGTACGAATCAAAATAATTCTTGCATTTAAACTTGTATTCCAAATTAAGATTTAACTTGAAATTAATGTAGATAATTACCGAGAGATTTTTGTAGCGTAGTTTACGTGAGATGAGATCACATGATATAAACCGGGGAATCAGGATGTTGTACCATGAAAACATAGTAAATTTTTAAATTAATGTCTTTTTACAAAATTATTGTCTTTATTTATTGGCTTTTTTACAAAATTTTAAATGACATTAAAATGTTTATACCTTTAAAATAACAAATTCTTAGAATTAACATTTCTCAACATTTTTTATGTGTATACTGTAAGCATGCTTGCCAACCTATGACATTCAGAAACCAGGAGATTTTTTAAAGAAATCAGGAGATTTTTCACAATGTTAAAAAGACTTTTAGATAAAACTTATTTTTGTCTTCTTCTGAAAGTTCTTCCACTACTTTTATAGTTGCAGCTCCTATTACCAAATCTTCACCTTTCTTCTGATTTTCTATTTCACCATAAATCACATCATATATAGAATTACAATACAAAACACAGACTGGTTTTACAAACTTTGATAAAATGTCTTTAAACAGATCATAAATCATTGATTGCAAAACATGAATTAATGGAATTCTATTTTTGTAGAACTGTGTTAAGAACATCGAATGATGGCAAAATGAATTGTAAAAAAAAAGCAAAAAGCTTTGTTAAGTCTCAAAGAAAAAAAAAAAAAAAAAAACATAAATATTTGGCAATTCACAAGATAAACTTACAGTAAGCGAAAAATGTTTCGTGTGTTGAGCGATTTTTTTATTTTGAGAGAAATTTGTATCAGCTTTACGGTTATATTTTGCAGTATTATTTTGAGAACTGCCAGTTGAATTGCTGAATGGTGCAGAAATTTATTTTTCTCAAACCTATTTTTAACAATGGAAGTAGTAACTACATCTCCATTTACTTTAGGTATTATTAAGCCAAGTTCCATAAAAATTGTGAGAAATTTTAAGAATAAGAGAAAGTTGGGAGATATATTGTAAATCGGGTTGGTGGGAGAGCGGTAAAAAATTGGGAGTCTCCCGCCTAAATCGGGAGAGTTGGCAACTCTGTGTGTGTTGTTATGAAGTGGAAAGACGAAGAAGAATATATGTTTGATGAGTATAACTCGATGACTGATACTGACCATAATAACTCTTATTAACCATACTAACTCGATGATTGATGTTGAAATACGGAAAGGAACTGTATAAAAATGAATAATTTTAAAAGATTACAACAACAAAATAGGAGGATTGGACCACCTGGATCAGCTGCTAACAAATTATCCTGCTCTGAGAAATAAGCAGAATTGGGAAAATTGGGAGTCTCCCGCCTAAATCGGGAGAGTTGGCAACTCTGTGTGTGTTGTTATGAAGTGGAAAGACAAGAAGAATATATGTTTGATGAGTATAACTCGATGACTGATACTGACCATAATAACTCATATTAACCATACTAACTCGATGATTGATGTTGAAATACGGAAAGGAACTGTATAAAAATGAATAATTTTAAAAGATTACAACAACAAAATAGGAGGATTGGACCACCTGGATCAGCTGCTAACAAATTATCCTGCTCTGAGAAATAAGCAGAGATATTACTTAAAAATATTTTGACATTTATTACATATGGTGTGTTTAATGCATAGGATTTGTACAAGAAAAGTGGTGGCAAATTCGATCACTTGTCTTTCAGGCTTGATCTTGCAAACAAAATCATTGATAAATATTACAAGCTAACAACAAATTCACAGAAAGAGTGTCGTTTGAGCATGTGTGACATATCACCTCTTACCGAAGGGCACTTTATAAACCACATTCCACCTACTGCAAATCAGAAAGAACAAAGAAGATGTTTCATTGGTTGTAGAAAAACATTGTTAGGGAAAAAGTGTGTAAAGAAACGTGATACTATTGTAAAGAATGTGATGTAGGATTATGCATTACCCCATGTTTTAGAGTTTAACATACTGTGAAAAATTTATAAAGAAATGGAATTATCTATTCAAGAAAAATGTAAGTACAATTTGTATATATTTTTCAAAATAATAATCATGTTTTTATTTATAATTTTACTTAATATTCATTTACATTCATCCACTGTGAATGGATAGAAAGGGATATCTGTATAGAGAAAACAACACTATATATGTGGAGAAAACCAGAGGACCGAAAGGGTTATTGAGACTTTTGTAATTAGTGTCTATATGTAATTTCAAGCATAAATTGTTCTATGAAAGAAAAATTTGATTTTATTCAATGGAAAAAAGTTGCTTGGTATACTTAATGCATGTTAACGCAGCAATATCAAAAAAGTAACTATACATATTAAATCATTGCTATAATACCTGAATCATGCAATTTAAATTCTACCAATATATACAATGTAATTTATAAATCTGATGCAATGCTAGCAAAAATTCTTGTTTCAATAAATTAATAAAATATTATCTATTAATATAAAATAAAATCTCTTACCTGGCGTATAGTCCATGGCCTCTGAGAATACATGGTTGGATATGGCCCTCTCGTATAGGGATAGAAACCAGGCAACTCATCTTGTATATCTTTAGTATCTTCTTTAGTATAAAGAGGTTTCACCAGTATTCCCTAAATCAAAATATAAATAAATATTAAATACATAATAAATATACGATTAAAAATGATAAAATAACATAATAAATACTATAATAAAAACACATGATTTAGTTTTGTCTTGTACTTTAAAAGGTTAATGTTTAATATGTAATTTTTAATCCAAAAAATTTTCCCCCCAAAAAATTCAACAAAAAACCTGAAATATCATTTAATTCAAATGAAACTTCCATGTGAAAATATCTCAGGATAAAATATGCAAATTATAAGGAATCACAGTCCATTATCGAAATAACAATGCAAAGCATAAAAATCACATGATGATCAATGCCATCATTGTATATCACAGACAAATCATCATACAATGTCAAGAACAAATTAAAGGAAAAAAAAAAAACTGTGAAGCAGACTGCATATGTATAGATTCCTATGGCCTTTAAGAATGTCTGGATTTGGATTATTAAGATTAACAACAAAGCACTCAAAGGATAGTGATGCTTTTGTGGAAAATTTTCAAAGAAAACCCGATTCGTATTGATGTTATACAGAGACAAAATCATGACATTCTCATGCAATCAGCTATTTGCTAAAATATAAAGCTCTGTTAAGTTACCTGCATTCAGTAATTTTACCACTAAGCCACTTTAAGAACACCTGTACCTTACTGCAGTGTCAGTAAATGAGCAAGATTTGGGAAGACTACATCACTGGCCTGAAAGATGGTAACTGCAGCAGTCACCACATTATCATTCACTGTGTTAAGCCTCTAATACTGTCTAAGCTGTTACTTTGTATGCATTATCTTATTATTTAAAATAAAGGGTTACTCAAAACAATGTATGGTATTTTAAAAGACTGTAATAAATTTGCTTCTTAACGTAGAGTACCAGAATGGGTTTAAAAGAAAAGAAATATCTTCTTTTCCTCGTAGCCTGTTTTGAGTACGAAAGATGTGGTGGCACTGCAATTCCTACAGCAGTGGTCACTAAAAGCTTCTGAGCTACTGTACCAGTTTTAAATCCTACTGTAAGGTACCAACCAAAAGAACTACCAATTAAAAAAAATTACATTTGTTTATTGCCTATAAACTTACATTTCTAGTAAATATGAAATGACTTTTAATTAAACTGTATATAACAGAAAGAAACCAAAATTAAATTGTACATAAGAAAGAAATTGAACTGTAGCTGCTAATAAATAACAAATGTGATGACAGATTTTTTTTTATCACACTTATTAACTTTGATGAAAAGGATGGAACTCTTTTTTTTGCTATCAGCAAGTTTTTGGGGCTTGGGAGAGTAGGTAGTGGCTGCCATTCGAGCACAGTTATCCAAGTGTTCATCAGTGAGTCTATTTCTGTCATGTTTTTAAATTTCATACTGAAAAAGAAATCTCACACAGATATGTAGAGCTCCATATCGCCTTCATTTTGAGACAAACTTGGACCAAAATAGGTTATTTTTCTGTAGGAATAAAAGGCCAAATATTTTCAGAGCTTGAAGAAAGTGATTTTACACATATGTCTTCTTGAGAATCGATCAGTCCCAACTCCACTGCAGCATTATCTTCTTGACAATCAAAGTGTTCCATAATACAAGTACAGAACTCTTCAGCATTAATCTCTATAAAAAGCATTTTGACAAACAACTGAAATCTTGAAAGCATTTTTGGAATTCACTACTTTCTTATAAACTGATAGTTGCACAACACAGTAAACACACACATTTGTCCTTTACCTGGGAAAAGAAATAATTGGTTTCCCATTCCGAACGAAAGTGGTATGTTTTTCGTTTTTTCCTTGAACTTGCCATCATTAGAACAAGCCTAGCTCAGTACCAATGCATTAAACGCATCCAAGTTAGCAAATGTCTAATTTGCTACGAACATAACGTGCACAACAACGTGCATAACGTGCAACCGAACATAACGTACACGAAAAACATAACGTGCACAACCTCACGCATATGCAATCAACCATGAGATGAGGCTGACAATGGCAGTTGTGTGGGAGAAACAAGCAGTTGTCAGCATCAACATAGTGGAGGAATCAAGGCTAGCCAACCGGAGTGTTAACGCGACCATCCGAAAATGTCCCTGCGAGTAGCTTGCGATCGACAATTTGGGGATCACTGCCCTAGAGCAGAAAATAGTGTCTCAGGAAGGAAAGGCATTTTGTTGTTTGCAGTATGCAAATTTAAAATATGTAATTTTGGTCCAACATGTATTTTGTAGATGATTTAGAAAAGATAGTCCAACTGACAAAAGCATTCGAAAATGGTGTCACCATTAGAAGAAGGAGGCTGTCAGGTAAAAGCACACAGAGGCCAAATTGCAGTGAGGCAAAGATAATAATGGCATTTCTACACAGCCCAAAGAAATCAACTAATGAACATGCAGCTCAAATGTGAACAAGAGTATGGTTTATTTTCTTGCCTTGTATTCAGTGACGAGGCAACATTCCATACCAGTGGGAAAATTAACCAAATGTGTGAATTCTGTGGACAGAAAACCCTCATTGTACCATGGAGCATGAACGAGATTCGACTAAAGTGAATGTGTTTTATGCAATTTCAGAGACCAAATTGTACAGTCCATTCTTTTCCATGGAAGAGACAGTGAATGGCAACACATATTTTGATATGCTACAGATCTGGCTTTTCCCACAATGACAAGAAGCCTCAGATAGTTTTATCTTTCAGCAGGATGGTGCTTCTCCACACTAGAAGCTGAAAATGCATGAATTCTTCAACAATGTGATTCCTAACCATTGGATTTTCCGTGCCAGAACATATGACAATATATCCTTGGGCTTCCAGTCACTAGATATAACCCTATGTGACTTTTTCTTCTGGCGGCTATGTGAAAAACAAAGTATACATGTCACCACTGCCGTGCATCATAAAAGAAAAGTAATTAAGTTGTCCTTTCCTTTAAAATCTGTTCTGGTAAATATTTGTTTGTACCTGACATTATTCTAGTATGTTAAAATACCGTACATCACTTTGAATAATCCCGCACAATAACAGCTTATTTATCCAAAAGGCTAGGAAAATGCCAATTACTAAATAAGTGACAATTCCAGATAGTTGAATGGGGAAAAAAAAAAAAAAAAAAAAAAGATGCAGCTCATGGAAACTAAATGAATGAAAGAAATTTCTAATCCAAAATTAGGAAACAAAAATAGCTTATTTGTTGATATCAGTTTGAATAGAAAAAGCCTGCCTTTAATATTACATTAAAAAAGAAAAAAAAAAATCTGATGTAAAAGATAACATACTTTTATGGTCGTTACATTAGTACAACATTGTACGACATTCTAATGACATTTGCATGACATATTTTTGTAGGCTTTACATACAAAAGTAAAACATCTTATCCGATTATGAAATCTCATTAACCAGAAAAACTGATAAAGTTCCACCAGACTTGTGCCAGTCATTCTGGCAGAAGTCTGAGAGAACTGATCACTTTTTGTTTAGTACGATAATCTAGAGATCCAAGTTACGAATGTAGCATATAAAAAATTCAATCGCTTGTCATAATTTTTCACACTGCATTGCACTGTCTATCCATTTTCAAATAAAGCTGCACATTGTGTCCATTAATGCACACTTTTCTTGATGTCAGGATCCCGTAATTTGTAAATACTCCATCTCATGCTGTTATATTTAGGTTAAGTCTCAAATTCTACTAATTCTTTCATTTTATTTTATTTTTTTTTCCAAAATGCAAGGGAGAAATATAAATAGCTGTCAAATAATGTTCTTCTTCAGAAAAACTAAACTGGCTTAGCAGATGCTAAATGTGGCTTAGCAGATGCTAAATGTTGTAGCAGATGCACACTGTTTACCAACAGGTTTTGCTTATTCTCAGTTATTACATGTTTTACGATTGCTTTTCAAATCTACTATTTCCTTAAATTTTCACTAAAAATAATTCTAAAATTTTAAACTATTCCAGCCAGCTGAATGTCAGGGCTTTTATAATGCCTTATTTTCTTAGTGAAGAATTAAAAGGCAAATGCAGTCAGAACTAAGTAAAAGGTTACAGACCGACATGCTAAAACAACTTTTAACATATTGACTACCATGCACATTTTATGTGGTTTGCCCATGGTTTTCACAGATGACCAAACTGCTTCATTAGCTGGACCTGAAATAAACGGTTTGAGCAAGATCCCCCCCTCTTTTATTGATTTCTTTACGTTGGTTGCTGTACCTTTCAGAACTGAAATCCAAATAAATGGTAAGTGAAAGGAATGTATCTGTAGTTGTTTTCCTAGTTTCATGTATGTAACTAGCATAGCTATTACTTCCACAATAGGTTATAGATCTAAATATCGTTTTAACCCTCTAGCTGCGCATCCCACGATTTCCACGGGCAACGTAAAAGTAGCAGCAAAATTTGCGCAACCCGCAATTTCCGTGGGTACGAATTTTTGCCGTCTATTTAACTGTTCAGCCTGCTCTTTCCCAATCATTCCCCATTCAAGGTTTCCTTTCGGCTTTTCTGTTATGTTTAATTGTTAATTTAGATGTGAGTTAACAGATGGCGTTAGTTGTCCACATTTCTGCCAAATATACAAGAATACGTAATGCGTATTTTTGCGTGCGCTTTTCAAAGCACAAAGATGTCTGGCAGGAAGCATTTTGCGAGTAATATAACCTATATTCCTGATGATATTTTCGACACTAATAGTAGTTCTGACTCTGATTTCAAATATATTGAAGATAGTTATAGCGAAACTGATGAGAATTTCTCGGATTCCTCTGCAGATAGTGATGAATCTGAAAATTCAGTTTCTATTGAAAATGTTCGACAGTGGTGCAAAGTTGATATGCAAAATATTACATTATGCAAATATTTTCATTAGTATATATGTTTTAGATTTGTATTTTATAAAATAAATCATAATTTAATGAATATTAATTTTCAAAATGTTCCTTTCACATCATTATTCTTCAATTTCAGTATTCTGACAACCTTTTTCTATGATCTAATTCTATATTGAAAAAAAAAAAAAAAAAAAAAAAACTTTTACAAAAAATTTTGTATATTTTAATTCTAAAATTCTAGATTTGGAATATGTAATAAAAAAAAAATACGCAATTTTTGAACCTATTTTGATAAAAAAAAGTACGCAGTGAGAGGGTTAATGGATGAAACATTACTTGAACAACGAGTGATTAGCAGTTACACAGATCTCACTAATAAATGCTTTTAAATGTAACTTTTTAGGAGCTTGTTGCTACGTGTGCTAGCGTTACATGTTAATCTAACAATGCCATCAATCTTACAGGAACATTATATTTTAACATCATATTTTTTACATTACTGGAATTTTAACATTAGACATTCATTAGATACTAATTCAGAAGTCAAACAAAAAAATCAGCATAATATTTTTATAGAACTAGTTTCGATGGTTTTACCGAACCGCCATCCTCAGCTGCAAAACCGCAAATGAACAAGATAGGAAATAATGATTAGATAAGATAAGAAAGTCTGGACAAGAATAAGCAAGTGGCGCCATCTGTTGGTGAAACCAGAACTAAAACATAATTTCTTTAAAGGCCGAAGGCAAAGATGGATTGGAATTAGGATCGTTAACTACAACAGAAAGATTTTTTTGAATGTGAAATGCTTATAGAAAATGCAGTTCTCTAATGGAAGATGTTTTTTAAATAATTTTGGCAGCAGAAAAATTGAAAGTGTGATTTTCGGACCAACAATGTTGAGCAATAGAAAACTTCTGTGTTTCCTTTTTTCTAACAATGTTTTTTTACATTGGGCAATTTAGGAGGACCTTAAAATTTTGCGTCAAGGAACATGAGGCATATGTTAGAAAAAAGGAAACACAGAAGTCTTCTGTTGCTCAACATCGTTGGTCCGAAAATCACACTTTCAATTTTTCTGCTGCCAAAATTATTCAAAAAACATCTTCCATTGGAGAACTGGATTTTCAAGAGGCATTTCACATTAAAAAAAATCTTTCTATTCTAGTTAACGATCCTAATTCCAATCCATCTTTGCCTTCGGCCTTTAAAGAAATTATGTTTTAGTTCTGGTTTCACCAACAGATGGCGCCACTTGCTTATTCTTGTCCAGGCTTTCTTATCTTATCTAATCATTATTTCCTATCTCGTTCATTTGCGGTTTTGCAGCTGAGGATGGCGGTTCGGTAAAACCATCGAAACTAGTCCTGTAAAAATTTTGAAATTATTACGTTGATTTTTGTTGTTTGACTTTTGAATTAGTATATAATTCGCCATGTTATTGTGTCTTGATTATTCATTAGATAATCAGAGAAAACAAAGACTAGCCAATGCACACTTCCTGTCATTATCAAAGAGTGTCAAAAATCGTCTACTATGGCTTTCGATAGATTTCTTTGATCTACTTTCTATGTAACAGCTGGACATCTTTGCCCTCTCCCTTACCATGCCATGAAAAGAAAGTATTTTGGTGTCAATATGTAATTAGTCCTTTACTATTTTTACTAAGCATTTTCAAATAGTTTTACAACAGCACAGTGTCTCAATACACATTACACATAGCACAGCTTTCTCATAAATAGCTCAGCTCTATAATGATGTATTTTCCCATCCTGGAATGGCAACAAAGAACCAGATATAACCTGAATGATGGCCAATATATGCCTCTGAACATAATCTGGGACTTGTATACATGCTCTGGATCTCGGATAACTGTGTCAACACAGAATGTAAACAGAAATGTCATTTTCTTTTACTTCTGTGACTATAATATTTTTTTAACTCTCAGAGTAATTCTTTCCAGATATTTTTTTTGCACATTAATTTACTGTTAAAGAGAACATTTACAATGGAACAAAAATGAAATTTTTAAGAATTCAGCAAATATTTAAAAACAGACAAAAGAAAAAGGAATTTTAGAAAAATATGGCTCTGAAATAGCATTTTAGAGAGCTTACATTACCACTGCCCAAAGAAAGTTCAGTGAATAATGTCATAGTCCTCACATTTATAAGAAAGTGCAACTGGTGCAACCCACACCCGATAGGTCATTGACTGGTCTGAACCAGTTCCCTGGCACTGTGAGTGTGTTTATCGTGTGGAAACAGCTCATGGTAGAATGGTGTGTGTGTGTCATCAAAACTCAAATGGATCACCAAATGAATATGGTGGTCTGTTTCAAATTTGGAAAATGCTGAAAACAGTTTACAAAAACCATGCTGTCATCTTGAAGTGTGTGGATGAGTGGTTTAAATGCTTCCATGAAGGGCACGACGCCATTGCAGACTCCTCCCAAAGTACTCGCCGTCCAACTGCATGCACTCCAGATAACGTACAGAAAATGAAGAAACTTTTGGCCCAGGATCATCATGTGAAAGTGAAAATGATAGTGGAAATTGGTACAGTGGAAAAAATGGAAATTGGTTGTGAGATGGCCGACATCATAGTGACCCATAATTTGGCTAAACACAAGCTTTGCCCCACGATTTGTGCCCCACACACTGATACCAGAATAAATGCAACTTCCACTGCTGCCTGTGGGGACCTCATCCACACGACGGATCGAAACCCAAATTTCCTACAGGAAAGTGTTAGAGTATGGTGTGGGAGGATTCATGTTTCCAAAAAGCAAGAAGGTGTGAAGTGAGAAATCCTGCAACAAGACAATGCTTGCAGTGTTCTTTGACTAATCCATAAAGAATTCCTCCCTGAGGGCACCATGTTAAATGCCGCTACATACGTGGAAATACTGAAATGTCTGCTGCAATGCATCAAAGTGCATCCCCTTGGATCAAACAGGTACATTCAAACAAGGCAACTGGACCCTGCTCCATGACAATGCCCATCCAAAACTGCCTTTCTGGAGCAGCAGTTCCTGGCCAACAGAGGAGTTGTGTCCCTGAATCACCCAACCTACTTCCCAGATGTCTCGCCCAGACTTTTTCTTATTACTGAATTCAACCCTGAAGGGACAGAGGTTTTCGAACATTTTGGACATCCAACATGATGTTAAGACCCAGCTGAAAGCCGTCGCTAAAGATGACTATGCCAGGAGTTTCCAGGACTTGTACAGCCATTCCCAGACGTTCATTACGACCAATGGGGATTATTTTAAAGGACAGTCACAGCTGTTTTATGTAAGATAACTATCCACTGTAACTATAAACACATTCACCAAACTTTCTGGACACAGACTGTATATATAGAATAATTAAGAAGTAATAATAAATTAACCAAAAATCTGAAGGCACACTTAAGGTACTTGTATATTATCCCATCAACCAGCCAAATAGTATGATTAAGCTCGAATTATGGGAGCTCACTTTCTTTAGAATTCCATCGTAATGATTGGCGACCATTGGCGAAATTTCTACCAAACATCAACAGGATAATATGTAAGTACTAAACCTAAATTTATTTCCAACTGGTTTAAAGAAAAAAACCTTAATAATTAAAAACGCTTTTTATTTTTCAATCAAAAAATAATTAAATCAATGCAAATGAAAATAAGGAAGGGGGAAGAAAACAATCTAGAATTCTTAATAATGGATTTAAGTATGTAATACATTTGCGCAGGTTAAAACTGTGGAGTCAAGTAAGGCAATATTAGCACAGACTGCAAGTTAAGTTTGTTTAAAAGGTAAAATATTTTGTTAAAATCATAACAGATACACTTTTCCTAGCATGAAATTCATATAATCATAATTCTAAAGTGTTATCACATTTAAAATTTTGCACAACAATAAAAAAAAATTCATCACATTTAAAATCACAATTATTTATACTACATACAACATAAAAAAAAATATTTACATTAAAATCATATCTTTACCTCAGCTGTATGCCATCCTAAAACTTCCAGAGGATCTTTACCTTTCAAAACTTTTTTTGCTTTTGTTACCCATGCTTCAGGCATTTTCAAATCAGTGGCATATTTAGCATTTGATGTTAAATGAAGCTATTAAAAAAATAACAAAGTAATTGCTCAGATGTCTCATCTTTGCTTATTTAAAAATAAAAATTATTTTATTATTTAAGTCCTTGTATGTAAATGATGAATACATGAAAGTCATGAAATTGAAGGCATAAAAATTAATAAAGTTATTTTCAAATGATATAGCATAAAAATTAACAAAATTTTAACTACACTCAATGAGTAATTTTAACATTTACTTCACAGCCTCCTTTTTACTAATTATATAAAAGTTCAAAGATAATAAGTAACAACAGAGAAAAACAAAATGAAAAGTCAAGAGATTCTTTGATTGTTTATGAAAAACAACATTGTGAATGAAATCTGTATTAGTGTCAAATGTATATAAGTGTAACTGAAGCAGATTGCCCCCCTTTTTTTTGCCTGAAAGACATGTTTGAAGTTTTAAACATTTTCAAACAAATGCATTATATAAGTTTGCATTCAAATACATTATATAAAGTCAAAAGTCGTTAATCTGGACTCGTCGGGACTTCGCAATTCCAGATTATAGATCATCAGTTTAAATCTGGTAAGATGGCATGCAGAAATTATAAAATTAAAAATAGGAAACCGTAATTTATGAAATAAAGAACAATTATGATCTAAAGGGTATCAAAATTTACAAAAAAAAAAAAGCTTAATATTTATTTGTTTACTTTATTAAACATTTCTTTCAATGTAAGTTGTTTAAGTTGCTTCGTTTTATGTGATAATACTTTTTCTTTAATTCTATAAACAGACATAATTTCTTCTTCAGTTACAAAGTTCCGCTGTTCAAGTCCTATAATTGCTGTGTCAAGAATACCAACTAATTTTGTCAATCGAAATTTTTTCGTTTTCAATAACCTCTGTGTCACTTTCTTCACTATCGGAAGCGAATTATAATGACGAGCAAATTTGATGTAAAGTATTTTTCCATACTCTGTCACACAGTGAAGTATTATATATTTTACATGTAGCTCATGTAGAGAGACAATAAGCCAATTTGAAATTTAAATTCAGGCACAGAACACACTTAGCCCCATGGTAGTTTAAAAAAAAAAACCTCAATAAATTTAATTAAAAACGGAAATAGGTCTCATTTTTGCCTAAAATTAAAATATAGATTTTTCTTTCAAGAATACTAAATTTTTGTGTTATGAAAATTCATTTATGTGCTGTATGTGCTGAAGTACATAAAGTAACTAAATAAATACATAAATAAAGTAATGTAAATTCTAACACTTAATTACAGCTGTATTTTATTAAATGAACTTAAGCATTAACGTGAATTACTATATTAAATTATATAATACTTACATTCTAGATTTATATAATACATCACCTGAAATGTATTCAAAATTTCACTAATTTTTCCAAAATGGTTATTCCCAATATTAAAAATATATATATATATATATATAAGCTATATAAAGCAATACATATATATTTAAACTGAAAATAATATAAACTTGAAACTAGACTCTTGGCAAGGTCAAAAACTATGTACAGATGATATGATCAAAAGATCAAATCAATTCTTTTCATTTCGTGGAAAAACTATAGACACAACTAACTCTGAATTTAGGAGGTATGCTCTTTGTTAAAATGAAATTTCTCCAAAAAAACCAAATTTTTCACGTAATAAAGTACTCAATTCAAATTCAAATCTTCATAAAAAATTAACATTTTTAACTCTTTGTTAAAATTGCCTGATTTAATTTAACTATTAAATATATTTTAATGTTATGTTTTTTATATACTATTAATCTCTTTATAGAAATGTTTCTATCAAACATACATACTTCCAGCTAATACGCTAATTTCAATATTCTGAGATTGCACATGCTAATTCAGATCAGAGGTATTGCACATGTAAACAAACTTCATGAAATTTTTATTTTCAGTAAATACCTTATGAACATATAGAAATTAAGCATTTAATTGTTTATTAAATATGAAAAGATATTCCTTCTAAAATAATTATTATTATTTTAACTAAACTTCTGTAATTTGAGCACATGCAGAACTTTTTTTTTAGAATGCTACAAATTTGTTGTCAAGAATCATGTGGCTAAGATTTAATAATTACTTTTTTCAATCAATTAAATATTATTTTATTTATTTTAATTATTTAAAACAAAATTTTTATCATCATACTGATTTGCTTCAGAGCTTTCCTTTAATAAAATACAAATTAATACACATTGTTTACAGTTTTTAATTTTTCAAGTATATATATTACCTATAAATAGCTTTCAATGTGCAACCATATGTGAAAAGTTTTTGCAGAAAGAGGGCCAATGCAACATTTAATGTTTTAAGATAGCTTTATTTCCAAAATGACCCCAGGCTTGTACGTGATGTCAAAATAGTGCAGTTAAATTATGCTTGTCTTTAGAATACTTTATGTCTTTAGAATCTTTTACCTTCATGCTTTTTTTTTTTTTTAATTATTATTTTGGCTTTTTAAATATCTTTGATTTGTTCAATTTACTAAAGTTTCAATACTTTAGAAACTGTTTTTTACCTTGGCTTAGTTTTTAACTATAAAGAGAGCTTATGCCTTTTAAATGCCTTGATAATTTATCTGAAGATGCATTTTTATCTGTAAAAGCTAACGGCTGCCAAACACCTATTATAAAAATTCTAAAATCTTATATTTTTGATATTATTTGATAATGACATGAATAAATAATATGCTTATATCCTTTTGCTATCTGATGCTTAAACAGAAAAATCATTCCATCAGAATTTTAAAATGAATTAAAAATTCTCTTAGGATTAATCAGTAATCCCTTTATTTTTTAATTAATATTGTCTAACATTTTAATTACAGATTAAATTTTACAAATGTACTGTTTTATGCAATAAAATTTAAATCTTGATTAGTTTCATAATTTGACATCAAGTACTAAATGTAAATATAATAATTACATGCTAAGAAATAATTTACATTTAAGTTTGCATTCAAATACATTATATAAAGTCAAAAGTCGTTAATCTGGATTCGTCGGGACTTCGCAATTCCGGATTATAGATCATCAGTTTAAATCTGGTAAGATGGCATGCAGAAATTATAAAATTAAAAATAGGAAACTGTAATTTATGAAATAAAGAACAATTATGATCTAAAGGGTATCAAAATTTACAAAAAAAAGCTTAATATTTATTTGTTTACTTTATTAAACATTTCTTTCAATGTAAGTTGTTTAAGTTGCTTCGTTTTATGTGATAATACTTTTTCTTTAATTCTATAAACAGACATAATTTCTTCTTCAGTTCCAAAGTTCCGCTGTTCAAGTCCTATAATTGCTGTGTCAAGAATACCGACTAATTTGTCAATCGAAATTTTTTCGTTTTCAATAACCTCTGTGTCTCTTTCTTCACTATCGGAAGCGAATTATAATGACGAGGAATTTGATTTAAATCATATCAAAGACGAAGTACATCGAGATGAAATACTACATTTAGTAAGGAATTATAAGCCAAAGAAAATAAAAACATCTGCCCTCAAGATAAGGATAGTGCTGACAGATCAACATTCAATTCATTGCGTGCCGCAGCGTTCCCCCCCCCACACACACACCGCACAGCAGCGTGAAATTTATAAACAGATTTCCGAATGGTTAGAGAAACGAAGGATATACTTTTATCCATTTTTTGCAGCAATTCCACTTTTCATTTAATGGACTTCGAAACATACTTTCGTTTTGTAGATCCTTTACATATTAGTAAATATATATCGGAAATTCTATTTGACATAATCGAAAGTTCAAGCTTACTTTTATAAAAGTGCTCTAACAGTCTGCAAATAATAATAAGCTGGATCCAATTCAAAGATTAAGGAACAATGCAATCTGCAACATTAACTGAATTGGATAATTTTAGCTTAGCTTATACCGTCCGTTATACATTAAACGCGCATGCATAAACGTATTATGCGCATGCACACAAGCATATTCGCAGCCGTAAAGGTCTTAAGCGCATGCGTCAATGCGATGCATGCACAGAAAGTTTGTAGCTTTGAGCTCCAGATTATAGATTATTCGGGATTATGGGTGTCCGAATTAACGACCTTTGACTGTAGTATTTTTCTGTCAAAGCAATACATTCGTTTATTTGATTTTAGGTATTTCCTCATCACCAGTTATGTTTTTTCTCTGCTGATAACTGTTTGCATAAATATTGCCCATGTAATTATATTTTTCTAGGTACTTACGTATTATCGCAACCAGGTTGACGCTATTTGTAAGTTTGAGTAAAAAAGTATGAATAGAAAGAAAATGTACATTTATTAATTACAGATACAAATTATCTGTAATTTATAATTACAGATAATTTTTAATACAGTTTTTTATATTATTTTCTTTTAAAATATAAAATAGCAATTAAACCCTTCCGGTTTCGAATTTGAATAAGTTGCAGAATTATTTTTTCGGCGGAAATCTTTTGGCTATTGCTTTTAGCACTCATTAAAAACCGTATTCGCCATAACCATGTACACGTCGACTTATTTTTACTTAAAAAAAAAATCCCAGAATTGCACAAAAATGGCATTGCGCACACTCTTCACTTTATCCATGTACACTGCTATTTTCTCATAAATTACAAAAATTTGCACGAAAATGCAGGAAAATTTTGTGAATCTCCACATGCTCTTTTTACAAAACTACGTATAACACGTAGGGTTGCCGTAAGTAGGGTCGCCAAATTTCGCAATTTATGCGAATTTTGGCCTGGTTGCGTTAATACGTAAGTACCAAATTATGCTTGTATATAATTTTAAAATTCTACCTTCATGCTTTTTTTTTAATTATTATTTTGGCTTTTTAAATATCTTTGATTTGTTCAATTTACTAAAGTTTCAATACTTTAGAAACTATTTTTTACCTTGGCTTTGTTTTTTACTGTAAAGAGAGCTTATGCCTTGATAATTTATCTGAAGATGCATTTTTATCTGTAAAAGCTAATGGCTGCCAAACATCTATTGCAAAAATTCTAAAATCTTATATTTTTGATATTATTTGATAATGACATGAATAAATAATATGCTTATATCCTTTTGCTAATCTGATGCTTAAACAGAAAAATTATTCCATCAGAATTTTAAAATGAATTAAAGATTCTCTTAGGATTAATCAGTAATCCCTTTACTTTTGAATTAATATTGTCAAACATTTTAATTACAGATTAAATTTTACAAATGTACTGTTTTATGCAATAAAATTTAAATCTTGATTAGTTTTATAATTTGACATCAGGTACTAAATGTAAAAATAACAATTACATGCTAAGAAATAATTTACATTTAAGTTTGCATTCAAATACATTATATACAGTCAAAAGTCGTTAATCCGGACTCGTTGGGACTTCGGCAATTCCGGATTATAGATCAGTTTAAATCTGGTAAGATGGCATGCAGAAATTATAAAATTAAAAATATGAAACTGTAATTTATGAAATAAAGAACAATTATGATCTAAAGGGTATCAAAATTTACAAAAAAAAAAAAGCGCTTAATATTTATTTGTTTACTTTATTAAACATTTCTTTCAATGTAAGTTGTTTAAGTTGCTTCGTTTTATGTGATAATACTTTTTCTTTAATTCTATAAACAGACATAATTTCTTCTTCAGTTACAAAGTTCCGCTGTTTAAGTGCTATAATTGCTGTGTCGAGAATACCGGGCCATGTGTTTAGATAGATGATGCATTTCCAACCAAAAAAATAACCTTTTCGAGAATTGAGGGAGTAAGATGAAAAGGATGACCACCCACTAGATGGATAGATGATGTCGAGCAAGATTTAAGATTATTTGGAGTTAACCAATGGAAGGCTATTGCACCGAATGGGGTCAGGTGGAGGAAACTTAAGGAGACAGCCTTAGCCTCTAACAGGCTATGGGGCTAATGAAGAAGAATTTAATACTTATTTTTATTCTTATTTTTATTATCCAAAGCAAAATCTTCATTGAAACATATGCCCGTTATCACTATTTTTTATAACAATTAGTAAAATCTATGCAGCATAAGCTTTTTAAAGGTTTTAAAATTTACTCTACTTTTTTTTTTTTTTTAAACCATTACATTTGCAACTATGAAATGGACGAAATATAAGGTTATATGCTATATGTAATTATAACACACACAGAATATTAAGTTAGTACTTTTCCGTTTTGCCGGCGCAAGCGATAAAGTCGCTAATAATGGTGCAACCGATGCCAAACGGAATATTCTCGCTGGTAACCTTTTACGCCTCATTTTCAAAACAAGTCGCAGCTTTTTCTTATCAGATTGATTGTTTCTTTCAATACTGACATATAATTACATAGAATTTTTATCAGATAGTTCAGTTTTATGTCCAAGGCCATTTTCGGTAATTAAGTCAATTAGGATGCAATCACAGTGCTTACCCGAAGCCGAAAATATAGAAAAGGTAAAGTCAAGAGTTAAATTCATCAATTCTAATGAGAATGCATTAGCGAAGTAAAGCACTGCAGTTTTACATAATTGAGTAAGCTATTCGTACAAATTGAAATATTTCTTGCATTTAAACTTGTGTTCCAAATTAAGATTTAACTTGAAATTAATGTAGATAATTACTGAGAGCATTAGATTTTTGTAGAGAGTAGTTTACGTAAAGATGAGATCGCTTGGGGTCACGTGATATGAACCGGCGAATCAGGATGCTGAACCATGAAAGCGTAGTAAATTCTTAAATTAATGTCTTTTTACAAATTTATTGTCTTTATCGGTTTTTTATAAAATTTTAAACGATATTAAAATGTTTATGCCTTTAAAAAAAGAATTCTTAAAACTAACATTTTTTTAAATATTTTTTATGTGTATACTGTATGTTGTCGCCAATAAAGTCTGCTTGGCGAGATTTGCGCCGGCGAAACGGAAAAGTACCATTAATTTATACTAAAGAAATGTTAAAAGTTTGTTCATCATAACAAAGTTCTATTTAAAGATTATTTTGAAATACAACAGTCAAAGAAGAAAACTACAGTAGAGTCTTGCAAACTCGCACTAATGCGGTCTGAGAGGATATCCAGTTACAAAAAATTTCAAGTTTTACAGGAAAAGGAATGGCTTATTCACAACTCATAACATTTCACTCAATACATAAATCCATTACAATTTTCTTAATATTTTCATCTTTGTCCAATCTCTTAAGGCACAATTTCTAAATCTACGACCCACAAACCATGAGTAGCCCTTCAAGCCTTCCCTTCTGGACCTCCATTTCCAAAAAGACAAAAAATAAAATTCAAATTAACTGCATATATTATACAATGGCTGAAATTCTCAAAGTTTGGAAATTACATGCGTAATTGTGTATTGGTTTCTCCTAAGACCGACATTTTATGAAACTTATTACCAGTTACTACATACCTATGAACTTCACATTCAATAAAAGAGCAATTTAAAGTACAATGACTGTAACTCAGCAAAAGAGTGATTTAAAGTACAATGACTGTAACTCAGCAAAAGAGTGATTTAATGTATAATTATTGTGATACTTCTTGCGAGCATACATACAAATATAGAACAACTATATGAGAATGGGCAAGCTTATCCATCTCATTCATTATGAGTACCAACATTTATTTACTTGGTACTCTTCTGTTTACCGGGTCCGTCTTAAAAATGTCTGTACGCATGTATGTAAGTATGTGTGTTCATATAAGTATGTATGCGTATACATAGATACACACCTTTGCACACACATACACATTTTTTAACTGAATTTTTAAAATACAAGTACACTGGTGATAACACATGGTAAAAAAATGCTTTTAAACGGGCAAGTATAAGGTAGTAATATTTATAATTGTCTCCCTACAAATAAACATTTCAACAAAAACATTCTAAATTATAAAACTTCAAAAATATTATACGAAATATTGAATAACCGGGGAGTGTCGAGTTTGTGGAACTCTACTGTATTCTAAATATTTCAATCTGAAATATAAAAATACAGCAAGCTATGAAAATCTACAAATACGTAGTTGTCTGGAATAATTTTCCTACGTTAACTAAACATACAGTTTCAAAATTTTCATATTACATTTAATAAATTTATTTCATATTTATAAGCACCTGACGAGATAACTTTTTTATAATCAGTAGAGATAATCTTGACCGATACATTTGCGCCACAAGATATTAGGAGACGATTTCACGCACGACTTTTATCTCTTTCAGACCTTTTAAAAATGTTTTCATAAACCTCAGCCTGTTGCCAAATATAAAAACTTATTTTGGTTCGTTAACTGTGAATTTTATTTAAAACAACTAATTATGTGGCCATCTATCCTAATCATGCAGTGAAACTTATTCTTTGTGCTCGTTTCTTTACAAAACAAATTATTTTTCCTTCATTAAGTAATTATAACAACAAAAATACAGATAAACAACTAAGGATGAAGCAGCAACAGTATTCCTCAACATGTGATTTTTCGTACGCGGCAATCGATTAAATTTTCAAAATCGTCTGCTTTCTTATATTATAAGTGCTTCGTCTAAGTTGTTTCTTATTAAAATGTTTTAGAAATCTTTCTTCTGTATACCAAGAATTTATAAGTGTTTAATCATGGATGATCCTGATAAAAATAAGAAGAGAGAAATAGAAAATAATAAAGCTTCATTGCATAAAAAGAAATTCAAGAAATACTCACGAAATTTCGCAAATTCTGGAAAATGTCATGACATTCCAAGAGGTCGTCCTAAATCAAATGATGCATGGAATCTGTATCTTCCTGATAGTAACAAGGATGAACATCTTGAGAAGTTACGCGCTGTTAAAGAATATTTTTCAAACTTGGATCAAATGGAAGATGTGTTAACAAATATAAATAAGAAGCGATATTTTACCGTAAATATTAACGATCTTTCGAAGCATAAAGCCTTTAATTTTATGTGGCCAGAATTCTTGAATGAATTAAGAAATTCACCTAATATAGTAATTGGTTTGTTTAGTTTTTTGATGGAATGTTTATTAAAGGAGCAGAACATAGTTGATAGTGAGGGGTATTTTCTAGATGATACCGTAAATACTTCTAATCAAATGCAAAAACTTTATCCAAGATTTACTGGTTTAGTCGATTTTTTACATTTTCAAGATTTGAAAACATACAATTTTGGTAAATTTATAACTCTTAAAGGAAGTGTTATACGTGTAAGTGATATAAAGCCATTTTGCACTGATATGGCTTTTAAATGCATAAAATGCCAAGCTGTTCAAGTTATAGAGCAAATCAAAGGATGTTATACATTACCAGCTAGATGTACTGGAACGAATTGCTTTTCCCGTACATTTGAACCAATGCTCGACTCTTCACTAACGAAAACGATACCTTGGCAAAACATAAGGCTTCAAGAATTGAATATGGATCAAACTGAAGGTGGAAGAGTTCCAAAAGCTATAGAATGTGATTTATTTTGTGATCTTACAGATTCTTGTATTCCTGGAGATGTTGTTATTATGTCAGGCATTCTAAGTGTGGATAATGTTAATTATAAGAAAACGACTGCTAGCAAAGGTGCTTCTACATATGTATTTAAATTGGATGTTAATTCTGTAACTCATGTTAGAGGCAAAAATGTTAGTGGTATTGCATCAAATGATGTGCAATTCAAATCAGAAGACTTAAGTGCAATTCAAAAAGTTCATTCTCAAGACAATTTGTTCCGACTCATTGTAGCTTCTTTGTGTCCCAATATATATGGGCACGAACTTATCAAGGCAGGTCTTGTACTGGGACTCTTTGGAAGCGCTGGTTGTCATTCAGAGCGTGAGGCAGATGGATTTTGCATGAGAGAAAACTCTCATATTTTAATTGTAGGTGATCCTGGTCTAGGTAAAAGTCAGATGCTCTTAGCTTGTGCAAATGTTTCTCCTAGAGGTATTTATGTGTGTGGTAATTCAGCTACAACATCTGGATTGACTGCTACAGTTATGAAAGAAACTGGAGGAGAGAATTCTTTAGAAGCTGGAGCTCTGGTACTTGCTGATCAAGGTCACTGTTGTATTGATGAATTTGATAAAATGGTTCAGCATCATGCAGCTCTGTTGGAAGCTATGGAACAACAAACAATAAGTATTGCTAAAAGTGGTGTAGTTTGTACTCTACCTGCGAGAACATCCATCCTCGCTGCTGCAAATCTGTCTGGTGGCCATTACAATAAAGCTAAAACTGTCTCTGAAAACTTACGAATTGGAAGTTCTTTGCTTTCTAGATTTGATTTGGTATTTATTGTAGAAGACACACCCGATGCAGAATTAGACAGCAAAATGAGTGACCATGTAATGGGTTTACTGCATATACATCATAAAGATGAAATTTTAAAGAACTCTAGTTTCCAAAACTCAGTTCTGAATGATTCACTTCGTGAAGAAAGTAATCTATTGGAAAAATTAAGAATAAAGCCAAATGAGAAGCTGAATTATATACCTCATAATATATTACAAAAATATATTTCTTATGCTCGAGAGTTTGCTAAACCTAAACTGACTCCAGAGGTGAGCAAAGTATTACAGGAGTTTTATTTGGAAATGAGAAAACAACATCAACTGTCCTACAGCACTCCCATTACAACTCGTCAACTAGAATCCTTAATTCGTCTCACAGAAGCTAGAGCTCGGATTGAACTCAGAGCATTATGTACACTTACTGATGCGAAAGAAGTTATTGAAATTATGAAGTACAGTTTGAGAGAAACCTTTAGCGATGAATTTGGAAATATTGATTTTGACCGTTCAATACATGGCTCAGGTATGAGTAAACGTTCTGAAGCCAAAAAACTTATTAAATTAATGACCGAATGTGCTACTGTCAAAGCTGATGATCGCTTCACTGTCTCTGAAATAAGACATCTAGCAGAAAAGTTAAAAATAAACACAGGCTCTTTGCAATCTATCATTGAAGCACTAAATGATCAAGGTTTTTTGCTAAAAAAAGGAAGACAACTCTACCAGATCCAAACTGTGTAAGCACTATTGTGTTTTTGAAGTACTTTATCATTGTTATAATAACACTTTTTTATTATTATTACATGCATTTCAAAACTTTTGTGTGTAGATACCAATTTTTTCTTCTTTACTTTATCAATGCGTGTTTGAAGTATCTCTATTTACAACTGTGTTTTTGAAGTACTTTTCAAGTCTGTTTTGTATGGCAAATAGAAAAAAATTTGCTATATTTAAAGGAGTGGATTGATTTTGGCAAAGCACACTAAGGCCATCTGCCTAAAAGAAAGACTTTATAAAGGAAATTGCCTTGTATACATGTTACACATGAGGAAAATCACGACCATGCAGCCACCCCATTCACATGGAATTAAACCGGGTCAGAACTACCAGTGTTCAGCGGTTTTACTACTCGACTGCTGGTGGGCAATTAAAGAATTATATTCTCAATTATTAAATAAAAGACTTCATAATACTTCATTAATAAACAAGGGCCTACTATGGCTGAGCAGTAAAGTCACTGAACATTTGTAGTTTGGTAAGGTGTTCGAGCTCCTGCGAATGGACTGAATCCATGGGCATTTTTATGGTTTTCTTTATCTGCAATATGAGCCAGTTTCCTTAGAAAGTCATACACTAAGCACTCTTTTCCTAAGCACATAGTCCTCGAGTTCTTTGCCCTTATTAAATAAACCAAAATTTATTCAAGTGGCCATTAACATGCCTTTAATTAAAACTAACTTCTAAAAAATCAATCAATTGCATATTTAGCGAATAATCATTAGCACAAAAGTACTGAATTCTTTATTTTGTAAACATTATTTTAATGTTTTATGTATGTATAAAAAATATTTGAAAACATCTTAAACTTTGAGGTACTTTTACTAATTTTTTTATAATTTAGTGCAACTTTTGTAGCATTGTTAACTAAACATGTAAATAAAAGACATAGATACTCTGTATTAATTTGCCACTAAATGATTTTATTATACTTAAGAACAGAGAATATCATAAACCACTAAATATGTCTTTTCTTGTTACCAAATAGGTTTAAACGTAGATTTCTATTTCTTTGTAAAATATTTAGCAGTCGTTCTTTGAAGTCTTAAATTTCCAACCATTTTAACCCTCTCAGCGTTAAGGCCGGAAAATTACATACAGAAGGTTGCCTTCCACATTCATTATACATGAAAATTTCTGCTAGCTTTTAACATATCTGATTTCAGTTTGGATGTATATTGAAAGAAAATTAATCAAGGTACAAAATGAAAGAGTCATTTTTTAATTAAAATCAAGAAAATATCACTTATTCATGACATTTTGAGGAACTTTGAAATTTCAACCCGTAACGCTCAGAGGGTTAAACTAAAGATGATTTACCATACCGTGTAGCTGTACGATCGCCAACCATGATTCCAGCAACGTCATCAACAACAGGTGCATTGAATCTGTTTCATTTGGCATTGGCAGCAATGAGCCCACTTTGTGATAAATTTGGCCTTTGATTTTGAATATTGAATTGAATTGTTGACCATTTGCAACATTATTTTTAACTATTTCTGTTACTAAATATATTCAAGTGACAGAAATACACCTTGTAGTCATAGACTACTAGGTAATAGCTGATGATACCATTTTAGAATAAATATATCGAAGTCTAATAGTATTTATATGCCTATGGACGACTGGCGAGGATAACTTATCAAGTGATAATTGATCAGTTATCGACCAGGGTTAAAAATTATTAAATTACTAATATCGCTATTAAAAAATTGGGGTTGGTGGTAGAAGGGTGAAAATTTGGGGTTGTATGTGTTTTTTAATGGCACATCATAAAAAAAAATCTGATGTTTACACCACATGACTTCAATGTACGGAACATTAAATTATATGCAGTTTCTCTTGAATTTCATTTAAACTTATTGGATTGAATTAAATCTACTTCGTCGATAGTGCATAAACCACAATAGAATAAATGCACTCTTTAAAATTCACTATATTTGTTTACCATAGCGACAGTCTGGCTGTAGGTTTACATAACAGCATTACATTTCGTTCATATTATAACTCAGAATGCATATAAATTTATATCATTTGAAGAATTATCTAATCATTGCCACATGTTCTATTTAAATACTATAATAAATCTAAAACGATGTATAAAAGAAATTAAGCAAACAAAACAAAAAAGAAACAGTTTTTCACAGACGATTCAGTATTTCTCATTTAATTAATTCAGTTCTCACTTCCCAACAAGGCAAAAATATATAAAAACTTAAAATATCTATATTAAAAATTATGTAAATCTGAAACACTTATTTCCTCAAATAAATTCCAGAATGGATTAAGCATGATTTATTTCGCAATAATAAAAGAAGGCATTATCTTTCTTGTTGCGAAGCTCAGTTTCTCTAGATTGGCAACGAATCCGCTATTCTGCCAAGTTTCAAATTTAAACAAACATAGCTGCCACGACATGTAATAGTAATTAGGCTTAGCCGCACTTAAACAACTTTTAAATTGTTGATAACTCTAGAAATATTGAATGCAGATTTATTAAAGACATAAAAACAACATAATTCAATCATTTTTAAAGCAAAAAATGCACAATTTACAAACACGTAAGCATAAAGAAACTGAGATCACTGAGCCGGTTAATAGAGTAGATATATACATATATTTATATACATTTGGTGCGGCTGATTGCAACCAAAGTACGAGGCTCACATCTACATGTTACAGTAGTCCTATATACAAAATTTCAACATTCTGTGGCTACTCGTTTTTGAGTTATGCAAAATATGTACGTACAGACGCCACGAAAAATTCTCTTCAGAATTCATTTAAATCAGTTTTATAATTTTTTTTGGGGGGAAAAGAGTCTTTTATTCTGTTCTTAAGTGCAGATGTCAAGCAAAAACATCATTAAATTGCATTCGATAGCGGTCAAAATGGAAATTTTTGTTGAAATATGATGCCTGAAAATTTTCGCAATTACAATACTCCTTTTTTACTTGTTACAAGGAAGTAAAAAAAAAAATTGGGGGTGGACCACCCTTATCTCCTTAGGGGTATGAAAAACAAATTACGACTGATTCTCAGACCTACTGAATATACATACAAAATTTCATGAAAATTGGTCAAGCCATTTCGGAGGCGTATTGTTACAAACATTGTGACACAAGAATTTTATATATTGTGTCTTCAATTTATGCAATTGAATGACAGAATAATTAATTATGAATAAGTTTACTTTATTTAATCTATAACATGTATATTTTCTTTTATTATTTTACCTACCTTTCACAATATTTCTCTTTTAAAATGATTCTCACAAAATTTTGCACACACTAACTATAATATTATTATTATAGTGTTGTTTAATAATAAACAAAATGATAAATAAAAACTAATAAATGTATCACAATAATTTATACGTGTAACACAGTAGCTTGTTGTTGGCGGGAGCTCGTGGCACGTGTTGAGTACTCTTCGTCCCACTCAGCAAAAAGGCACTGAAGGTGCCGAAATTGACTTGATGCAAATGAGAAGGAGTAGTATTTAAGTTGAAGTTCCACTGACTCAAGAGATCTCATGAAAATCATACATTTAAAAGAAAGGAATGATTAATTCATTTTTTGATATTAAGCAATTCTTCCTTAGCACAAGCAATACCATTAAATCGGAAAATTACTTGTAGAATAGACTTGACATATTGCACCTCAACAAACTGCTAAATCTCGCAGATGATTTCAACGATTCCTCAGTTGTCAAACCCATATTTTTATCTATTGTAATATAGACTCTCATAAAAATGGATTGTAGGGATTCGAAAATGTGTTTTGTTAAACGCTGTCAGGACACAAACTGTCACCAAGGCCAATAAGGAATGAATTTGGCTGTAGTTTGGGTTCTGCTTGAGCTATATTTACAAGTTAAATGTTAGTGCACTCAAGAAAGGTCAACAATTTTATATTAGAAAAAACATTTAGTATAAAACGTGGCTACAAATCCTTAAACTTTTGAACCTTAAATTATCATCTCAAACACACACACACAAAAAATGTATTTAAATATTTACATCAGGGATTCTCAGCAAGGAGTGAATTCATAGATTCAAGAGGGAGGAAGGCGATCTCCACCTGTTTCATGTTGTGGCATTAAAATTTTTGTAAATCTAAATAAATAAATATATATATATTTACTTTTGGAAATGAAAGGGAGGAATGGGACAAAAAATGTTGGGAACCATTGATTTACATCATCACCACTCTCAACAACATATCTGAGTAGTGCAATCCCAAAGACCAGGAACAACTACTCCTAATTGCCATAATCAGGTGCAAGCTAATTACAGTGTTTTACTTTAAGCTTAGAAGAAGTTCTCTGGATACGCACCACTACGTCATTCAGTTTCTTGACCATACAGAAGGGCTCTTCCAAGGATATCTGCAGCTTAGGGGAGAACCCTGAACAACACTTTTAGTTATACAAGTAGACTTGTACTCCTTCCTTGAACTTCCTCTCCATCGACTTGACATTGCATCTCATTTTCATCTTATTGGTGTCTGTGTTGATCCATTACACAAATCCTAAAATTCTGAACTTGAAAAGTTAAAAAATCTGGACTACAGTCACCCCTGGCTATTACTGTATGATTACTGCTGATAATATCTCACCTATTTTCCTTTTCCTCAAAGCAGGACAACATGACAGGTATTTATAACCCCCCTTTTTTTAAACCCTTCACAAACAAGAAAAGAAACTTTGTGTGTGTAACTCTATAATCTTTGTGACCGTTGATGAAGCATGGGTTTACATCAATGACTGCACCAAAAAAAAAAAAAAAAAAAAAAAAAAAAAAAGGTCTATTTATTATTTGAAAAAGATGAGAAAAAAATATTACAAACTTGGCTCCATTAACACAAAGAAAGTTTCAATAAGGGTTTATGATTGTCACATGATTCTCTTACAATATGAAATAAAAGATAAGAAGAAAGGGAGGAAAAATGTTAAAATCAACTTAGTGTACTATCAAGAGAAAGTTTTATGCCTGATATTTACAAACGAAATTCCATTTCTTCATTTGAGTAATTTTCAAAGAGTGAAACTTCATTAACCCTTTGCGGCACGGTGGGTCAATATATGTCCCACCTAATTAATATTTATTTTCTCACTTAGCAATTTCCGTTAGAAATTTTCTAATCTTTTAAAAATAATCTATTTTAGTTATTATTTTTCTCAGTATATGTTACTACTATACCAGGGCTTAAGTTTATAAACAAAAAATATTCAAAATAGGATCACAAGAGTGATATCCATGTATCTCGCATTTTTCCATATTTTAAAAATTTTGGTATACAATTTATGATATGTATGATTCTTTTTAATATTCAAAGGTATTTTATTTTCAAAAATCTTAATTGGATTCAATATTTTATAACATATTCCTGCAAAGTCCCCTGATGTTTCACCTATGGACTACCGTGTCTTAGGTTTCTTGAAAAAAGCTCTTTCTAAGTGCAAACTCACTAGTATTGGTAGATTCTGGAAAGTAATGAAAGTGGAATGGAAATTTTATAAACAGTCTTCTATTACAGGGTTTGTACACACTTCTGCAAATTAAGTACTTTTAAAGACAATCAATGAAAAAATTAAGCACCCATCAAGCAAATAGGAACTGAATAAACTAAAGCAATTATCTACACCTGAACTTCACTAGTGTAATTTTAAAAATAAAATAAATCTGTAAGTATGCTACATTATTATTAAATTTAATCTAATATTTAACTTGATTGAAAAACAAATTCAAGAATAAAATTAGCTTCACAAAATTTTTCAAGTATCAGTATTAAATTATAAAATTTTTTGAAACATTTATATTTCACAGTACTAAAAGTTAGCTTTATATTCCTTCTTTTATGCCGCAGTTTGTCGTGTACTCACTCAGTTTAGAGGTATATGCAAATTTTATGTGAAGTGGCATAACTTAAACTATGAGGTAAAATATTAATCAGTAGGACTCATAACATAAGCTTAGCTGTTGCCACCACAGTTGCTTAGTGGCAGAGAGCTGCTAATCATAAAAGGCGTTAACACCTGATGTTGGTAAGTGTTGAAAGCAAGTGCACTTTGTCTGACACAGTTAGTGTCACAGCTTCGTGTATATTTGCTGAAGTTGTAACCCAGCTAATATACAGTATTTAAATTAAGTTCCAATAAGCCACTAAAGTACTAGAGATGATAGGTTATTTTGAATTATTTTAAGTCTCATGAGTCGCAAGGTGAGTAGTTAGTTAAGAAGAATTAAATTACGTAGTTACTCTTACTCATAATAGATTTACATGGTTACAATTAAACTTTGTTCTTTTTTTAAATTTCTAAAAAATATCCATTAAAAAAAAGGCACTAAGAACATTTTACAGCAGTTATAATTTATGAGAAGCATTCTAAAATATTAGTATAACACCACATTAAAAGCTATAAAAAAATTCACATGTAGCAACAGCAAACAACAAAATGTTTATGCATCTCATAAATTGAAAATTTTCCACATTTTAGATAATTTACATCGATTTCCTTCTCTTTAGCTCCTTTATAAGTTAATTTGTTTCAATAAACAAATCAGTATTCCCACTAGTCTCCACTTCATCTCCAATTTGTAAACCCTTTGCATTCGGGGCCTTTTCACACGGTGCACAAGCAACTCGAGGCGTTTTGCAGCCTTTTCGATGCATTTCTTACCAGTAACTTAAAATCATTACACACACAAGTTAAGGTATAAAATTGTTACATTTTAACATTTTATATATCTTTACACCTTTATAGATATAATTTCTTAAATATTAGTCTGCAATTTTTCTGTGTATGATATTTCATGTAATAATAGATGCATGCCTGGCTTGTCAGGGCAAGTATTACTATAATGTTGTTGCGTGCATACGGGTTTGTTATGAATTCAATGCACAAGTCCGATGAAAAATGAATAAAATTTATTACTATCACAACAATAAAACAAAAATGCTTAAATTTCCTCAGATCTTTGTACAGTATCCCAATAACTCACAGTAGTTATCTTTTAAACTAATTCTTTAAACTAGTTATCTTTAAAGCGTTCAACAGAAACAAATTCAAAATAGAGGAAGCTAATCCAATTTCACCGCAAATTCGCTACAGTAAACAGCAGCAGTTTCTTAAACAAAACTGAGCTGAGGTGTTCTCTTTCTGGCTTTTATACCTTTTTAAATCAGCCACTCGAGATTCCTCTAGCAATTTCTCGAAAACAAAAAGAGATATTTATTTATTAAATGTTAAATGCACATGCTCTTGTATTTTCAGTTTTCCAGCTTAGCTTTCTCTTAATATTTGTCACCTGCTGCACTGCACGGGGAATAAAACAATTTAATTTTAATTCTACTAACATTACCTATTTAAATACTAAATCCGTAACAATACAGTACAAAGTCCCTAATCCGGACTTGTCGGGACTTCGGCGATTCCAAATTAGCAGTTTTTCCAGATTATAGATCATCAATTTAAATCTGGTAAGATGGCATGCAGAAATTATACAATTAAAAATATGAAACCGTAATTTATGAAATAAAGAACAATTATGATCTAAAGGGTATCAAAATTTATAAAAATAAAAGCTTAATATTTATTTGTTTACTTTATTAAACATTTCTTTCAATGTAAGTTGTGTAAATTGCTTCGTTTTTTGTGCTAATATTTTCTCTTTAATTCTATAAACAGACATAATTTCTTGTTCAATTACAAAGTTCCACTGTTCAATTTCTGTAATTGCTGTGCCGAGAATACCGAATAACTTGTCAATTGAAATTTTATAGTTTTCAATAACCCCTCTGTCACTTTCTTCACTATCGGAAGCGGTATTTTCTGGATCTATACTACAGATTTCTCCGTCCGTTAACTGAATGATGATTGGAGCATTGTCGTGGCAATGAAAAACTTCTGTTATATCATCTTCATTTATTACTGCTTCTCCACATTTCTTTACAAAATCCAATAATTGAAAAAATTTAACCTTTAGTTTGCGATGTTCAAAAACCTTCAAATTCACAGCTTTCATCTTCATCGTCCTGACCATTAAAATGTGGTAGCTGGCTATAAATTATGTCGAGCATTTTTTAACGTATCTGGAGACACATCCTCCCAACACGCATGCTCATGCGTAAACGTACGCGAAAAAAGTTTGCGGCTTTGAGGTCCGGATTATAGATCATTCCGGATAATGGACATCTGGATTACGGACTTTATACTGTATATTGTTTAATACCTTTTTCTGGGTTCATTTCTCTGAGAACAGACTTTGTGATAGATAAGAAAAGATAAGATTTCAGATAAGAAAATCTTATCACCATTTAAAGGGGTATCATTTTACACTTCATAAGATTATAAGAGCTTCGAAGAAACTAAGCGCAAACAGTTATTGCCGTACATCAAGTTTCCGCATCGAACCAAGTGGTGAGCAAGAGTCACCTCTCAAATGCAAAGGATTAATATTTCAACAAATGTACCTTTAAAGAATAATTTTCTCTCTATAGAGCAAAATTCTTTTTCAATTAATTTTTTTAAATTAATTTTCTCTTTATTTTAGAATTTTCAGATTTAATTAAAGATTTTCATTATTCTAAAGAACTTTTTGTACTTAGAATGTATAGAAGAAACTGCTTATTTTATTTTTTTAATAATATCAGTATTGAAAATAATACAAATATATTCAATATGCAATAAATTTTCAATTTCCAGATAAGCAGCTTGAATTATATTCAAATAACTAATCCTACATTTATATTACATAATTCATTCAGATGCACTTAATTTCTAGTTTTTCTTGTTTAAAGTATTTAAAAATCATCAACAAACACCAAGGCAGTATAAAAGGAAAATACATTTATTGAGCAATCAAAATATTCACAGAAGTGACAACAGTTTGAGTAACCAAAAAATAAGTCATAATAATTTATCTTAAAAATTAAATAAATTAATAGACTTAATGTCAAAACCATTTTTTTTTTCATGTAGATTCAATGTTTAAAATTAGCTTTAACATTTCGCCAAGCCTACAAAATATATATTGGATTCCCAACTTCAGTCAAGAGGAAAAGCTATAGTTTGAAAGACAATGTTTCACCTACGAAAGGAATTAGGATTTAGTAAAATATGATCATATACTAATACTATAAAAACAAAATATTAATAAAATACTGATGTTGATATTTTTGGCATTATGCTTTAAAATGAGTACCAAACATATTAATTACATTTTTACAGCAATACTATAGTACATAATATTTTATAAAATTGTAAAATTAATAGCAGGAAGTATAATAGCTGGCAATCAATGGCTTCCAGAAGATTTGCCATATTTTTAGTAACTAGAGCTTCTCACTTTGAACAGTGTGAATACAATTAGACCTATAAATATTACAAAGAATCTAAAGTCCTTCTCATATTTGTAATAGGAAAAAGAAAAACGTGAAATTTTTTCCTAAAACATAATGCTAAAAATATATTTTTAATTTATATTACAAATATAATAATTTTTCAAATATCAATAGCTACAAATCTTCTAATAATATTATTTCACAAATAAAAATACTAAGTAGTCAGTGTGAAAAATTCACATATGGTTTAAATTTCCTGTATCACTGGCAGTATAGAGACCCTGTTAAATAAACAGAATCCCAATAATATATATATATATATAATATGCATTCATTTTAACAAGGTTATAGGTATATATATTTATCTTTAAAGGCATAGTGTTAAAAGACATCACATTTTTAACATATTTCATCAACTTACATGATTAAATGATGAAATGTTAACAATAAATATGTTACGTGTTTATAAAGAGAAATGAATAACAAAGAAAAATACTGACTTACCATTTTAGTATTTTAATAGAAACTGAAATTAAACACACTATTTCTCTTGAAAAACAAAGTCTATTAATATGCAATTTATGAAACAGATTTGTGTCTGCAATACATAAATTTATTACATAGATTAATAAATATGCACATTGGTATGAAAGTTATTACATAGCATCCCATCAGGGAGACTTGTCTGAATTAATCTGTTCAATATTTTCTTTTTCTTGTAATCTTACTTGCAATGATTTATCATATACCCAGTTTTCACAGATTTCATGGAAAGCCTATAGTACACGTAAATTAAAAAAAAAAAAAAAAAAAAATTACATTAACTTTTCCATATTAATAATATAATGCACAGATAATATATACACATAATACTTTCCTTTTTAAATTTAACATCTGATATACTATACTGAATTCTGATAAATAATCATGTATATTTAATTACACAAATAAAAGCACAATAAATTTCTCATCTTACATTTTAGCAACTTTCTGAAGTGCATTAAAAGGTAGTGAATTTTAAAAGGAAAAAAATCATAGAAAATAAAATTTATCTCAATTTCAAAGATAGAGCTATGAAAGAAGTATGCATATTACAATTGCTAATAAAACAAAAGCCAAATATTAAAATTATCGTCAAACTCCATGGTGCTTAAACAGCAATGATTCAGCAGAAAAAAATTTTCTACAGTAAAAATTAACCACACACATAACAGAAAACACAAAAATAAAAATATAAAAAAAAAAAAAAAAAAAAAAAAAAAACTGAAAGGTTTCAGATTTAAAACTATGTCTAAAGGGGTGTTTTTTTAATGTTTTGTGTGCTACCTTTATTTATTAAATATCATGTTCTTCGTACTTAAACCATAAAATTCAGTTCAATAGCAATGTTGAAATAATTTTAAAATGAGTCTATCTTTAGAATTATGGATACACAGTTCTGCAAAAGCTGGAGATAAAAAGGTTTTTTATTCCCGGTAGAGTGTTGCCATGGCTCGCTTTGAAATCCTTGGGTTTGTTAATCAAAAATTCGTTACAAAATACACTCATGTTTGTGAAAATTGCAACACCATGAAGGACTTACGCGAGTGAGCTGAAATTTTCAGGAAATGCAAAGTAGCGCATGATATGCAAATGATTAGAATTGTAAATCCGTAGCGCATGCGTATGCTGAGCAGCGCCCTCTGAACGGCTGATGGATCCGAATAAATAGACGGCTGTAGCGAGGCGTGTATGGTACAGATTGAGTACAGATTGAGTTAACGTGTGGTAAACGTTAACTCAATCTGTACTTATGCCTCGTCGACGAAAGAGAGCGAGATTTGAACAACTTACAGAGTTTGAACGAGGGAGAATCATCGGCCTTCGTGAAGCTGGATTGTCGTATCGTGCAGTAGCCTCTCGTGTGCAGCGTAACAGCAGCACAGTGATGCGCGTTTGGAAGCAGTGGACGGACGAGTGTCGGACAACTCGGAAATCCGGGAGTGGACCCCGAAATGTGACGTCAGCTCGCGATGATAGACAACCTGGTCCGCATGGCGCGGACGGACCGTACAGCTTCCTCTAGACAATTGGCAGCACTGTGGTCAATAGCTACAGGTGTTTCATTGTGTGCTTCATCAATTCGTAGACGTCTGCTGCAGTGTGGACTGCGCGCACGGACTCCTTTATACAGGATCCCCCTAACGCACGACCATCGCCGCCTGCGGCTACAATGGGCCAATCAGCATAGAGACTGGCGTGCTGATTGGCACAGCATGTCGTGTTTTCTGACGAATCCCGCTTTAAATTTGTGGTACCATGATGGCCGCATTCGTGTCAGACGCTATGCCGGTGAACGCCACCTTCCGGAGTGCATTATCGAACGCCACAGTGGACGAACACCCGGAGTTATGGTCTGGGGCGCCATAGCATATCATAGACGATCTCAATTGCTACGAATTGTGGGCAATCTGAACAGCAACCGGTATATCCGTGAAGTTCTACAGCCCGAAGCTGTTCCCTTCCTTCAAAGCTTGCCAGGCGCTGTATTTCAACAGGACAATGCCCGCCCTCATACTGCTCGGATTGTTAAATCCTTCTTTGCAGCGCAGCAGGTACAGCTTCTTCCTGGGCCTGCGTGTTCCCCGGATATGTCGCCAATTGAACATGTGTGGGATGTCATTGGTCGGCGTCTTGCTCGTGATCCTCGTCCTGTTGCGTCTGCAGACGAACTTTGGGTACGCGTACAAACGATATGGAATGCTCTTCCTCAGTCAGACATTCAAACTTTGTTTGACTCCATGCCACGTCGTGTAGCAGCACTTATTGCGGCGCGTGGTGGCCACCAAAATACTGATTCTGATCTCTTGTTCTTGTTTGTTTGCTTTGAACATTTAATCATTTATTTGTACCACTACCACTCAACTGTGTATTAAATTGCATTCAATTATGACGATTCCTTCTTGGTGTTGCAATTTTCACAAACGTGAGTGTATGAAATCAATAATAAAACCAATTCCAAATTTCCCATTTGGTCTTCCACATGCCCATATTCGTAGGAAGATGACGTCATTCAAAATTCGATGGCTCTATGTACCGTTGTTTTATCACAATGCGAGAAATAGACAGCCATTTATGCAGATTTTTCATTATTTAATTTCTTCAAATATAATGCAGGACTCTAACATTGGGTGGTAATAGTTTGAAAAGTGAAACGGACATTTATAGCGATTCAATGCAAAAATCGCAAAACAAAAATAATAGTCCTTCAGGGACAAAGCCCCTTTCGACTAACAATGCAGTAAATTCCCAGTAAGAGTGCAGAATCAATAACGTTCAAAAAATGGAATATAACTGGCCTTCCCCTTTTTTATTATAGCAGCAGAAAAGCCCAAATGAACAGTTGTTGAGTAGACTTCTGAACAAAAGCAAAAATTATTGATTCAAAAGAAGGGGGAGGAACATATTTTTAAATAATAAGGGGATTAAAATTTACTGAGGACAGATGGAAAATATGGGTACTGATAGTGTCATTCTTCTTGACGATTCAGAAGACATGATAGGATAATGACAGTTCAGAAGAATTATATTCTGAATGTGAAGAAGACTTTGAAACTGATTAACCCTCTGGCTGATCATCCCACGATTTCCACTGGCAACTCAAATGTAGCAAAATTTGCTTATCCAGCGATTTCTGCGGGCATATGTTTTTCTTCCTTTATTGAGGTGCGCATCCTGTTTTTTCCCCGTTTAAGCATTGAAATAAATTATATACAGTATTAGGCATTTAGTTTACGTTTTGGCCAACAGCTATCGTTAGTTGTTCACTAGATTGCGGCATTTGAAGGCACGTGGTATTAGCGCTCAAACTTCACTTTTTCCCACTTTTTTCTTACAGAAATGGCTGCTAGAAAACGTTCAGCTATTATCTTGATTATTTAATTTAATTATTGAATTATTAATTATATTTATTGATTAGGTTAATAATTAGATTGATTATTAATTAGATTTATTGAATCTGGTGCAAAAACTGTGAAGTTGGACTTTGCCTTGAACCCTGAACTCTATCATACTAAACTGCATTTCTACGGTATTTTTCCCTCAGCGCTTTATATTTTCTTGAATTTTATACATTTTACTTTTTTATATTACGCAATAAATAGAAATTAACTGTAATTCGACTGAAATTTATTTTAAAAAAGATTTTTTTTCGTGATAACATCTGAAATTGGTTTTTCTGGCAACTTAGTTTTTCATGATAAAAATCTATATAAAAAATATTTTCCAGAAAGAAAAAGTGCATTTTTCAATTCTCCAGTATATATAAATTTAAAAATATATATAAAAAAAAAAAAAAAAAAAAAATGGAAGCAATTTCGGTTCTCAAATTGAGCAGTCAGAGGGTTAAGATGTAACTGCTAAGATCTCAGAATCAAACTGATACTAAATAATGAATAATAATGTCCTAATAAATAGTTAGTAGAGTTGATTAAATCGAAGTTTATTAAATAAAATAATCTGTTAGAAACATAGTAAGATTTTATTTTATTAGAATCAAAGCCCATTGGCAATCTTAAAATCAAGGGGCCGCATCCAACAATCAATTAATCTAATCTTAGAATTGAAGAAATATGGTACTGAATTTTTATTTATTTGTTAATAAGCAATTTCTAATGAAAAGCAGGTACAAATGGCCTTTCATCAGTAAACTTTATTGAATGGCATTTACATAATCAAAGAACCATATAAAGTGTCTTATCTTGTCCACATACTAGGATTTTTCAAAAGATTTTCAGAAGAATATTTAACTTTGTTCATATATAGATTGAAAAACATAGCTACAAGCTTCACTTTTTTTAAATACAGATCTTAAATTACAAAGTTTTTGAAAATAAAATACAAACTTTTATGAAAACAGTTCTAGTGCTATGGACAGCATGATTCTGCAAATATACAGTCTGATTTTTTAAATGGATTCTGTAGGACAAAGATTCTAATCAGCAAAATATCCACTTTGCTTTATTATGTCAGAAAAATTTACGGAAATATTACTAATTAACAGCTCATGATATCAATTTCAAATTTAATAACGAGTCCTATATCACCTTATTACGAAACCCTGAATCACCAAAACAAGCAATTTCTGTTTAGTTTCTTTCTGAATCTAAAAAAAATTGTTCAAAACTGATCTGCTTAGCAATAGGCCTTGAAAATCAGATTCATTTATTATCGCAAATTTTGAATATCACCACATAGTAAACATTTTGCTTACTGAACTTTGAGTGTTAATGTAATTTTTTGTACAGTACAAAGTCCGTAATCTGGACGTCCATTATCCAGAATGATCTATAATCCTGACCTCAAAGCTACAAACTTTTTTTTTTGGTATGGTTTACACGTGTGCGTTTAATATATAACGGACGGTATAGGCTAAAATTATCTTTACTGATTCTAAGGCATTTTAGTTAATGTTGCAGATTGTGCTGTTCCTTAATCTTCTAATTGGATCCGGCTTATTATTTTTTATGGACTGTTAGCACAATTTTATAAATATTAAGCTTGAACTTTCGATTGTGTCAAAAAGAGTTTTCAGTTCTGGAGCTGCCAAAGGATCTACAAAGCGAAAGCATGTTTCGATGTCCATCAAACAAAAGTGGAATTGCAGCAAAAAATGGATAAAGGCATATCCGTCTAAAAATTATGCAAGGAGTACGACATTAGAAAGTCATCAATCAATTAACGGACGACAAAAATCTTTAGTATGGTTCTAGATCCAGAAAATATCACTTCCGATAGTGAAGGAATTTACAGAGAGGTTACTGAAAATGACAACATTTCGATTGACAAGTTAGTCGGTATTCTCGACACAGCCATTACAGGACTTGAACAGTGGAACTTTGTAACTGAACAATAAATTATGTCTGTTTATAGAGTTAAAGAGAAAGTATTAGCACAAAAAACGAAGGAAATTAAACAACTTACATTGAAAGAAATGTTTAATAAAGTAAACAAATAAATATCAAGCCTCTTTTTTTTTTTTTTTTTTTTTTGTAAATTTTGATACCCTTTAGATCATAATTGCTCTTTATTTCATAAATTATGGTTTCATAATTTTAATTGTGTAATTTCTGCATGCCATCTTACTAGATTTAAATTGATAATCTATAATCTGGAAAAATCCCTAATCCGGAATCCTCGAAGTCCGGATTACGGACTTTGTACTGTATTTAAAACCAATAATTTTACTAACTGAGATTTTTTTAATGGCCCATATTTTAAAATCGTTTTAATAAAATTCTCAATCTTGTTTTTAGAAATTACATAATTAGAAGAGTATGTACAGGATTGATATTTAAAGAACTAAAGCTTGCAGATACTTTTAAAAACAAAAACACTGTTTAGACTTTAACAAACAAAAATACTTAATCGTGTAAATAAATAAATCATTACCCTTGTTTCCCACTTTCTTTTGTTTTCCAGCCTTTCCTTCGCTTCCTCTCGCTGCTTCTGCTCCAGCAAGAATTTAGCTTCAGTAGCAGCTTCTACATTTCTTAATCTTAATGCTGTAGTTACATCTTTCCATAATCTAGAAAGTGTTAAATGCTATACATGAAGCAAATCATACCTAACAGTTATATAATATGATTAAACTTATGATATGAAAAATTTATGCACTAGTTAGCATTAAGTGCAAGATTAAAATTTATATTAATATGTTTTTAACATCAAAAATATCCCAGCAGCATATGTTTTACATCTTCATTTTACATGACAAGATCTGATATTCAAAATAATGTTGTCGTAAACATCATTATTAGTTTAAGCAAAAATAATAAGTAGTTTGTTAAAAATTAGGTAAGATGGTTAATCTTCCATATAATCGGAAAGAGCGCCAAACTTGGCGAGAGTTTTTAATTTGCACGATTTTGATTTGGTTGTGGTTTCCGGCTGCATGTTTTCCTGTTGCAAACCTAGAGCTTTATTTTGGTGACTGATTCTTCACAGATTTTTTTTTTTCTCTTAAATATTGTGTTTGTTTTTAAAAGTTTTACTGTTTAACATTTGCAGGAGGTTAAGCTGTTGTTGGTGGGGAAATGTTGGATTTCAGATGATGTAAAGTTTATAATTTATGAATGTTTCCATTTAATTTTATTTAGTTACTGTTTTATCGTCAGTTAATTATTACTTTTTTGAAAGTTTTGTGTCTTGCAATGTGGCAATCAAAAAATGTGGAATGTTTAAAGTTTTGAATGAAAGTTGTTTAGTTTGTTGAATTCCAGGAGGATATTAACTTTTATATTATAGTGAGTTGTTAGTGTTGTATATTTAGCAAGTTGTTAGTATGCATCTGTTGTTAGTGAATTTGAATATATTTACTTGGTTGACAATTTTGGAGTACAAGGAAAGTGTTATACAACTTATTATTTAATTATTTTATTATTCATTATACTATTATACTATTTTATCATGAATTACATAGATAGAACTATTTTTTTAATTGCAAAGCTCATGGACTTTGTTTTACTCATCTAGTATTTTATCATCTCATTTTTCTATTCTGTTCACATAAAAGAATGGCGTTTCACTACTACGAAACTTAAAAGTTACTATTCTGTTTACATTTTAAAATCGCATCTTAGTGCTATCATTGCCGCAAAAAAAAAAAAATTCACCACATTTTGAAGGCCAAAATAGTTTGGCGCCAACTTACCCCACTTATGGATAATTAGCCGATGAGATGAAAGATCTTTTAAAAAATATAGTATTTTAATACTCTTCATCACAGTGCAATAGGTTCATTTACAATATCTACAAGAAGAAAAAAAAAAAAGTTATAGCTGAATTCAGTCATCTATCTTTAGAACAACAATCTTCCTTTCGTTGCCTTTCTATAACAACTGATTTTCCAACAAATGTATCCTCAGTAATCTTACTTTTATTTGGCCTATGTTATGTTCTTAAATTTCCCTAATTTTATTGTATTATATCACCTTCTTCCTGTTCGGTCAATAGGTTATTTCATTTCTTATTTAAAATATTCATAAAGTATAAGAATGTTTTTCAAGCAGTTTTACTTTTAATAGATATATCAATAATTAAATGCCAAAAGACGCACTGACACTCAAAAATTAAAAATTCAAATCTTTAGGTTAAGGCAATTTATTTCCTTTATGAGGCACAACACACAAGTTTCTGAAGTACCTGCTATGGATTTTTGCAGCTGGTTTCTGCAGATTCTAACAACAGGTGAAGACACTGACATCCATTAGTGTGGTTATGGTCATGAGCAATGACATGACATCTCAGAATATTATATTGAAATACCCATGAAATATGAATAGCACTGATAAAAATAGTTCACTTTTCCCTTATATTCAAACAACAAACAAGAACAGCCAAGCAGTCTAGAACAATAATATAATAGTTACACTACCTCGACTTGTCGAGAATAAAAATAAATCTCAATATTTTTCATTTAACATATGAGGCTTATTAATTTATATAACATATATATATATATAATTATTTGCAGAATCTTTACTGCCACTTTCCCTCCAAAATGCAAATTAGCTCCCGTGTATTTAAGTGAGGTTTGAATTTGTTAAGTCGGAGCATGTTCTGCTGTTGAAGGCCATGCTACTAGGTTTTATATTCTACGAGGGTTGGAACTTTAATAGTGGCAACACAGCTGAAAAAATGCTATGCAACAAAACCAAAGAATATCGTGTATACCACACGTAAACTACATACCTACCTTACCTCTCAGCAAAAAGACTCGTCCTGCCTACGTCACGCACATGTGGAGTGACGCGAAGACCGCGAGCTTGTATTAGCTCACGGTCTAAAGTAAGTGTTGTCAGGATGTTTTCAAAACAAGAACAACGATGTTGGATAAAAATTGAATGTGCCAGAGGTCGTACAGCACGACAGTGTCATCAAGGGCTTCAAGAGGCTTGCGGGGAATCTGCATTGCCTTACAGAACCATAGCAAGATGGGTGATAGCATTCAATGAAGGGCGCCAAAACATGGCAGACATGCTGTGACCAGGTTGTCCGAGTGTCAGCGATGCAGACATTCAAGCTGTTGCCGCACTAATGGACAGTGATCGCCGCCAAACGATTCGTCGGCTGGCCGGACAAACAGGATTAGTGCATACGACTGTGCTGCACATTCTGAAGGAACGCCTGTCCATGATAAAAATTGCTTCATGATGGGTTCCACATCAATTGAAAGAAATGCAGAAATGGCTACGATACGATGCTGCCCAAACCCACCTGGAGCACTATGAGCGCAAAGGAGATGCTTTTTTATGCCGTATCATCACACTGGATGAGACTTGGGCCCGATCGTACCAGCCAGAACTGAAACACCAATCAAACGAATGGTGTCATCACGGGTCACCACGATTTTCGAAATTTCATCAGAACCCCAGCAATGTGAAAGTTATGGTGTTATCCTAACGCATACCGTTCCCCCACAGCAAAAACGCCGACACTTTCTGCAGAACGCTCCTCTCATTTTGCATGACAATGCTTGGCCGCATGCAGCGCAAGCTGTGACTGATTTGTTCAAGTGATGGGGCTGGGAAGTGCTTTACCATCCACCATACTCCCCTGATCTAAGCCCTTGTGACTATGACTTAATTCCTAATGAAGGAACCACTTCGTGGCACTCGCTTCCAAACTGTTCCTGAGATTCTTGTGGCAGTAGACTGGTCCGTTCAAACTATCAACAAAACAGGCACTGCTACAGGTATTCTGCGACTTCCACATCGTTGGAAACGGGTTGTACACAATGCTGGCGACTATATTGAAGGACTGTAAAACATAGTGACATGAATCACTTTTGTATTCCTTGTAAATAAATAGTTGCCACTATTAAAGTTCCAACCCTCATAGATGAGAGTTCCGGTCTTCGGTATTGCTTCTTGCCAATAGTTTTTATTCATGCCAGTGAACATGAACTAAAATCCCAAATCAACTTTTGAAATTAAATTACTCTGTGTAGCCTTTGGCTATTAGCTATTTCGGTTTTACATTTGAATTTCGAATTGCCTGCCCAGACGGTTAAGTATTTAGTGATTGTCGTACCTAAAGGCCCGAGCTCAAATCCCTGAGAAGAAATGGATGCAAATTGTTTCTCCCTGTATAAGTTCACTTTTTAGTTTTGCTGCTCTCCTTCCTCTTTGCTTGTTATGTCTACAGTTGCCTTTGTAATCTGGCATTAGGGGAGGAAAAAGGTCTAAATGTTAAAGGGCAGTGCCTCTTTGGTGTTTACCTTACCATTTTTTGTACTGCAAAGTGCATTCAAAAGACTGGATATTACCCCTAGTACTAGATCAATAAAATATACAAATGATTTCATGTGAAATATTTTAACCTTTTAACTGTCATGCCCGAGATAATCTCGGGCACAGCACTGGTGTTCGAAAATGTCACGCCTGAGTATTACTCGGGGTAATTTTTTTTTTTTTTTTGAGTGCATCGTATTGTTATACCCAAATATATATCGGGAGACGTTTATTTCGGCTTCATTTCTTTGTCAAACCTGACTATATCTCGGGAAAAGTTAATGTGCACTCAATTCAATAGATGACAGCACTTTACTGAAGATTTCAAAGGTTAGAGGTTATAAGTTCTTTGGCTCAAAGTGCACGAGATCTTTTTGTTATAAAATGGCGTCCAGTTCTTTGAAACGTTATATAGATGATTTAGATTCTTCAACCGAAGATGAAGGATGTGTGTCTGATGAGCAGTATTCATGATACTTCCATGGTCAGCCTCAAAAATAAAAAAATGAAGATATACTCAAGCCGAAGATTGTTTCTAACTACAGTCTAACTATGGGTGGTGTAGATCGCTGTGATCAGGAAATATCCTTTCATCCAACAATCCGAAAACGTTAGAAAAAATATTATAAAAAGATATTTTTACATATACTAGACAAGGTACTTTGGAACTCATATTTACTGTATAAAAATGTAGTTGGGAAATGTATTACATTTTTAGAATTTCGAATCCAAGTTGTAGAAGAGCTTTTACATAAATATGATGATGCAGCTTCTGGAGAAAAGAATACTGGAAGACCGCCTACAATAGATAACCCTGCCCATCTTACTGAACGACATTTTATTTCCTATATTCCTCCTACTCCTGTGAAATGAGAGCCTACAAGACAGTGCAAAGTGTGTTGTTCGAAAAAGAATAAAAATGGGAAAAAGATAAGGAAGGAAACATGATTCTGGTGTAGTGATTGTGGAGTTGGTTTGTGCTTGGAAAAGTGTTTCCAGTTGTACCACACAAGACTGAATTACTGAACTACTAATAGGTATTCACTTTTATTTAATTTTTCATTTATTATTTTTTTTAGAAAATAATTAATTTTTTTTTTTTTTTTTCATTTTTAGAAAATAACGCTCCACTAGAAGCAAACTTTACAACTGCAATGTTGAGTGGCAGCTGCCTCAAGCAAATATGCAGTGGCTACAAAACTTTAAAAATTTTACCCATGTACTTCAAAATATCAATTTTTAACTACTTAAGTATATTTTATTTTGTACTAAACATTTGATTTTTCCAATAAAAAAATTTGACAATTTGTGTACCCAAATCATCAAAATAACTCGACAGTTAAAGGGTTAAATCTCAATTGGTGCAATCCATTGCAATAAAAGCAAAAAAAAAACTAAAACTATAATCAAATGAAAAGTGATACATAAATTACATGAGCAATGAAGATAAATGAAGGACACACAGTTTTAAATTTTCAGAAAATTTTTTTAAAAAATTAAAAAATTAATTTTTTATCTTATATTCTAAATGTTTGTCTTCATTCAAAGTGCTAGTAAAAATTATTCTTTACGGCTACTCCAATGCAAAGAATGATTTTTTTTTTTTTTAAATAAAAAAGACCCATGGCGACAAAAATCTACCTAAGTGGAGCTGGGCCCTTCAATTTCTACCAAGAAAGACGGCAAAGCAACTCGCAGCACTTGTTCCTAAAGAAATATACCAAAACAAAAAAAGCACCAAGTGTTCAACTTTAAGGTAAAAGAACAACTCAATTACCATATGATATAATGCCTTCACTTTTTCTTTTTGACTGTTGTGTACTTGTTTCTAAATCATGCTTTCTATTTATTAAGAATTTAAATTGCCAGTAAAGACCATTTTAGTGAAAACATGATTATTTTTACAAATCAGCTAATGTGATTTCTCCACTTAAATATATTAAATTTATATATCAAATTAAGATTGCATATTGTACAAGATTATTAACATAAATGAAGGTAGCAAAAGGCTAAGAATGAAATGAAAAATGACTTACTTCCTAGATTCATACTCTTCTTGTTCAACAAGTGGTTTTACTCTTTTTTTTATTATTGGAATTGTTCTTGTGTCAACAAATATTTCAGTTTCCTAACAAAATAAGACTATATTATAAAAACAAAAAAATATAAATAAAGAGCCAAAATTTATTTCAGCAACGTCTGTGAAAATTTATCAGATGGACCAAGCAAACCTTAAATAAGGAATTTTGAAAAATTAATGTTAAATAATAATAGAAAATAAAAATCCAACCACAGTCTGAGCAATTTTTCAAAAACTGTAACTTTATTTAAAATATTAAGGGGGGGGGGGGAATCAAGCATTTTTAACACCACCTTACTAATCCATTATAAATTAATAAAGGTAGCTTCTAATACTAATAAAAATATTATGTGGGCACAATTTGCAAAATAACAGACATCTCTGAAGCAGTTACGTCGATTTTTATATGCTGTCAAATATTTGGACAGAACCTGAGTACCATCCAGAAGTTTCCCACATCGTCAACAACATATTTTAATGTTATTTTTTTTAATACAATTTCAATATATTACCATTATTTTAATGAAACTTATCAATGTTACAATGTTTAAAAAAAAATCGCCGAAAAATTGCCAGATCTTGGAATTAAAAAATTTACTATAGAAACTGATCTTAAAAATCGCCAAACTGTTCGTCGCCAAATTTAGAGCCGTCAAATAAATGAATTCCCCTCCCCCAAAGCAAAAAGTTGTTTAAGATCTCTTCGTTAGAAAAAGTGAAGCAATTTCGAAATGCTCATGTTTCACTTCTTGCTCAGAAACTCGAGTATCCCACCATTTACATTAGAAATAGGAACACATTATACTCCATTCAATAGATAAAAATATTTATCAGTGAAATGCCAAAAATATACTTCCAAAATGCTAATTTGCACTCAAAATTTCAGTCATAAAAACAGACAGAAATTTCACATGATTAAAATTAAGGACCTTCTCCCGATTTTGGCCGAAATTAAGGACTTTTAAGGACTGACTCTTAAGGACTGTACGAACCCTGCCTACAGTGCAAATGATTAAAAATGGATGACTTATCTATTAGGGAAGCACTCTCAGTGCATATGTCTTGCGGCTTGACCATTTCCATCCTTAGCCCCATACATGTAATACATATGGGTCAATTCCTCATTACTGAACCTATTCATCCTTCTCCTGCTATGTCCTTACTTGATATGATGTTAACGTGACCTTTTAAATTTAACATTCTGTGATTCACAAAAAAAGAGCCTTTCAAGTGCAGCATGCCTATCAAAAATATAATAATAATAATAATAATAAACACTTTAAAACAAGCTTTAGTACTAAAATTAAAAATAATTACTTGGGAGACTCTGTATCAGTATCAGTTACACAGAACTGTTATTCTCCAAAGGCATTCTACACAAATAATAGTCACTAATATGCAGGCATCAGTTTAGAACACTGCTTTTAATTCAGATAAAAATGGTTTCAACACTTTTTTCCCACTATATATACATTTAGAATTCACATCTCATGCGTTAATAGCAATTAAATCCTCCTCATTTTCTTTTACAGAGTACTTTTATTTTCATCAACAAAACAAGTATATCAGTACTTCTGATAATCTGCGATACACCATATGATGTATGAGAGTTGATATTTCAGGTAGTAATTTCAGAAACCATTTAAATACACAATAAACAATAATAAAAAAGTGTAGATATAATGATATCAATGAAGCTTTGGAAATTTTAACTATATATCCATAATGATTATTTCTCACTAATCTACTTTTTTCTTTAGCGAAAAGATGTTCATAAATCTAGAGGACTTTTGCATATCTTTAGACAACCAAACATTGCTCATACAATTAAAAAATGTTTAAATATTTCTCCCAGTATTCTCTCTATAATTTTCATCTGATCTTGATTCAAAATTTAGAAATCTAGCAGCAGATATTTTCTAGTATACCAATTATATTTGTAAACAGTTTGAATTTCATACCATTTCCAAATGCACTGCAGATAATATGCAAATTATAAGAACCAATATTAAATGACCCACATTTTCTAATCAGTTTCATTTCCTTATCTAGTAACAGAAATGCAGCTTTATTAACACTGGAAGGGTCTAACTTTAACAACAATAAGTAATTCAAGTCAATATTGCATGATTAAAATATGGATTTAATGCTCACTCAATTGTACAGAATTATAGCAATAAAAAAATAAGATTGTCTGTTTTTATGTCTTGGTATCAAGTTAATTGTAAATAAAATCTAATATGTTAACAAACTTTATGGCTCAACTATAAACACTAACTATTTTTTTATTATTATTATTCTATTATCTCATATAATGGATAATGATAATTACACATACTCATGTACACATCCATTCTCATGCTTTCATTTGAAAATATTATATCAATCATAGTATATTTTCTGGTCATATATTTCTTCAGATTCACACTTCAATAACTTAAGAATACCAAAATTTTTAAAAGCATATCTTTAGAATTCTAGATACAATGTTAAGTGTTAATATACACTTTTTCCCAGTCTTTTCTTGGCTTATAATATCAATGTTAAGTTTTTCTTAATAAGATGACAGTGTTTTTATTTGTGCTCTTAGTTTTATCTAATTTTCTTTGCACTTATATCACATAAAATTCAACTACAAAATCACAAAACCTTTGGAAAGCAGTATATCTTTAAAATTTCCAATAGAGTGTTAAATTCTGCCACATTTTTTTAAATATCTGTTATATAGTCATATTTGCTATATCATTTCTTTAAAAATAAGCATAGCGATAACATTTGACGACAGCATCCTTTCATTTGAAAAGTAATTCCACGCAAGAGTGAAATGGACACAAAACTGAGGATTGAGGCTAATGCATTTAATGGCTTCACAAAGAGAGCTCATCTTCATAATGAGCTTATTCTCATTGCATTTGGCATAATTCAAAGAATACATTTACTGCTTACAAATGCAATATGCTGTTCTCAATCACATAAATGTTCTAAATATTTATTTTATTTGTCAAATGCCAGTTACATTGGCCATTAGGCCATTAAACTCCTTGCTTGAAAATAGTGCTGAAATCTACAAGAAAAATTTGTCAGTGCTTCACACTCGTCCAAATGTTCTGCCATCATTGGCCATCCACTATTACATAAAACACACAATGGTGAATCAGCTAGTCCAATGTGAAATAAATGATTCTGTAGACAATCATGTCCCATCAATAGTCTAAAAGATGCAACCGCAACTGTTCACGGGTGGTCAGGAACAAAAGCTGGGTTTGATAATAGAACACTCCAAGGCTTGCCCTCACAAGCCCGAGTGGCAAAATTTGTAAAAGTCTTTGGATATGTTAGCGACGTCAGAAGAAGCTTAATAGAATGGAGGCTTGCACTCGTTTTTGGCTTTTGGAGAACCGTAGCTTGCTTTTTTGCAAGCATATCAGCCATCTCATTCCCATAAATACCGCAGTGTGAAGGTACCCATTGAAAAGATAAATATCAAATCTGAGAAGTTTTGGATTATCTCATAATTTTTTTTTTCACAAAAGTTTTTTCAGAATTTTAAGTAATGTACCTCTTCCAGTTCAGCAATTTCAGTCAAAATCTAATATAAAAGTTTTGGGTTATATTTTTTTATTAAAAACTTTTATGGGCTTCAAAATTAAAAGTAAAACTTCCATTTTACCCAAAATATAATCAACTCTTTACATAAATACAAAAAATTTAAATATGGAAAATGGAAATTTTTGGAAGTTCCATATAAGAGTTATTGTGGACAGAAAAATCGTCACATGCATACACACATATAATAGTAAAAATGGTAAAAAATAGTGAAAATGTGTTATGGAAACCCTAATTCATGCTTATTCACTGAAAACACAGTATTAAAATTTTGTACCGAGTTTATTACACCTATGTACAGAGTGCAGAACGTAAAACCAGCCCATCCCTTCATGAGACATCAGGAGATGAATAGAATCAATGATTAAAGAGTCAACACATAAAATTAAATGTTAACAATGTGAATATGAATTCAACAATGACAACAAGCTCGGGTATCGAACATGGCATCATCAAACACTCACCCGGCTTCACACAGCGAGGCCTACTTCTCAACTGGTTTTGGCTGCGGCTGCAGCACGGAGGTAGGAAATAAGAGGAGAGGCTCTAACCGGTTTTTTCCATACACTGCTTTGAAGTACTGTTGATCTTTTCATGGAGACCATAACATTCAATAATTCGCCATTAAGATTGATGGGTTTTGACACGATCAGATGTAAACATTTTGTAATTACATCGTAAATTTACGTATAAATGTATATATATATAGATTATCTACAATATTTCAGAGTTCTAAGTATGTGAAAAGAATACACTTTTAAAGAACATTTCATTCTGAACGGAATTAAATGCTATACTTTTCACAGAACAGTTTAATTTGAAAGAAATATTTTCACAAGTTTTCACTAAATACATTAGAAAAAAAAATTTAATGGTAATTTGATTTTAGTCGGTTAAGGATTACAAAAATTAAAATAAAATTTTATTGTAGTATTAATATTAAAATTACGCATCATTTCTTTTCTATTTACAGAGCTTCTTCCTAAAATACTTTCTCAAATATGAATAATATTTTAGCTTTTGGAGCCTCTTTTAAATCTAAAATCTGAGTAAATTTATAATTAATGCTCTATTCAGTTCTATTTCAAATTAGAGCACCTTTTATTTTAATAGTGAAATATATTAAATATTGATACTGATTTCCATGAACTTAATTTTCTCTGAATATTTCTGAAAGGGAATAAAAACATTTTTTTTTTTTTATATCATTTAATACTTGTAACCGAGTCATTATCAAATGTAAGGGGATAATTCTTTTAATACTTATCAGAATTTTTTTACCTTTAATTTCAACAATTCAACAATACATATTCTAAAACTCTTCTTTAGTACTTTCTTAAGTACGCATCTCATAGAATTTGCTTTACAATACTATTTAACAGATTGCTTTCCAGTACGAACAATTCATGTTTAAATAGTTTTATAAACGTATTTGTCAACAGAATTTCAATTTATGTTTACAATTAAGGTTATTTATATATTAAATATTAGATAATATTTAAATCATTATAAATTTAGATATATTTAATAACTAGATTTCTTCACAGTAACTTCTTTACACTTTATGAATGAATGAATCCTTCATTTCCAAATACATTTATATATAATTTTATAAATATTTATGATTTTTTTAAAGGCAGATCCTTGCTTTTTGCAAGCATATGCATAAATACCCATACCTATTTCATATTTTTCGTTTTTGGCGTGCGCAAATCTTCAATTTCTGTGCATTCATTACATTTTTCGAGTAAAGAAGTTTATAATAATTTAGCATATGCCAGAAGTTATTACATAAAAAATAGGTATAAATATAATTTGAATGAAAATTATTTTTAATACGAACTCAAAGGTCAGTCTTTCTTCGAAATTCCTTCATGATGGCATTTCTCCCTAAGGCCTTACTCTATTTAATAAAAACCTAACCTATGTGCCTAATTACAAATGTTTTAACATGCACAATTTTATATTTACATTTAGCCATCAAGTTTCAAACTTTTGACATAAAAAAGTTTTAGGATACATTCTTTAAATCTTCAAGTAAATATATTTTGGCATGGCACTCAATACCTCTTTTAGCGATTTTACCCATTTTAATAATTCTCTGATAATATAATAAATAATAACTATCTATTTCCCATTTAAAAATTAACCTCATTGTCATCAGATTGCAATTTATCACATAATAAATGTTTCTTTCATGCAGAAGTGTGCCATTTTTCAATTTGTATGGAACTGAAATACTATCAAAGCTGTCAAGGGAGCTTCTGGATGTAAACAAAAAGCACTCTATCTGGAGACCAAAGCCTGAGAGCAGTGCTTCACTTGTAGTGTGGGATTGCCCCTCCTTTCCTTCTTACCTCCACGGGCTGCAGCTGCCTTACACCTGCAGGTCACATATCCCGACCCAGCTCAACATGCCATCTCTTGGTAGGAAGCTGAAAATAATTTAATTGTTGGCAAATATGCAATATACCCTGATATTATGACAGGTTGGTTTTACGTGCTGCACCCTGTATAATGGTCAGCAGGACGCTACGAAAAAATATTCCACAAAATTTCAAATGTGAAGAAAAATATAGATAAACAATCCACAAAAATGTACAGTATAAAGAACAATGTAAGCAATTTTTCTTTTTTGAAAACATAGAAAGAAAATATAAGCCAACACAGACCACTGTATGAACAAAGTTTCAAAGTAATGAAATTGGATTATATTACTACAAAATGGATTACATGACTGCTCAAAGAGATTACTATGCAATTCTCAAGTGGCATTTGACTTCTCATCTGGAAGAGGTTTTGTCAGTTTCACAAAGAAGTCCATAAACATGTGTGCCCAAGATGAAAGAGCACAAAGAAGCTTTTTGGATAACTAGCAGTGCCAGTTCATTATCTTAAATTATATTAGGTGCACAGAGATTTGAGAATTTCCTAAATATTATTATAAATGATAAAAATTATAATATAAGTATTCTGAAAATATGTCTACCTGCATAAATTTACTCTAAAAACCTTACAATATGCATAAATTAAAATGATATCGTGGAAACCTTATTAAGAGTTTAAGAAAATCTTCAACAAAGGCAATTCCATATACTACTTCACTTCTTTTTTCTTTATTAAATATAAAAATAATTATACTAATAGTGTTTCACATATTTCATCAAATTACAAGCATCATCACTAGAAGTTTCTGCATATAACACTTATTAAAATCAGTGATTTAAAAACAAATCTACTGAGTAAAAATAATACACTGTAAGTAATGAACTGCCATATATTTTTAAAAGATTCAAAACTTATTTTTATCATAACTTTTAAAAATTTAAATTTTACAGCTCATTCATGAGAATCTACTTCTAAAAGCAGAATATTAATTAAAAATCATAGAATTGAATTAAATAAACAAATAAAGTATACTGTAACAAGAAATTCAATGATGCAAAATTAATTTCACAGCTGTTTAATAAATACTGCATCCAGAATAGTAAACTATTAAAGGTTAAGTCCTTAAAAAAATCACTGTTAATATATATGTAATTCATAACAAAATCAGCAACATATTCTCATTTTAAAATGACAAAAACAAACAGTGATTGAACAAAAGTTCAAGATATAAGTTAGTAATATTATGTCTTTGGTAAAAAGATAAAAAGTTTAAATCTGCTTAAAATATTATAAAAATTATGCAAACAAACAAAAAAAAAAACCTTAATATGCTTGCATTAAAAAGCTGTATGGCTGATATAATTTTAATATATATAAAGTATACCCTCACAAAAATGTAGAGATTTAAATTACGATTCCTTGGTAAAATAATTACACAAATTATCTTCAGTCTTACCCCAGAAGCCCATTTAGCTTCCATCACTCCATTCCATTCACCAGTTACAGTAAGAAATGATTTCTTTTCATTTGGACCAAACAATTCTGCAGTGATGCGGTGTTTTTTCCCACCATAAATAGGCTAGAAAAAGAAAATAATTAAATGCAGCACAAAATAAATATTTTTTGACCTTTCTATTAAAAATACTAATTCAATAAATCAATTTTGAGCATTAAACAGCATTTTGATAAAATAAATAAATAAAATTACTAATTACCAAATATCTTATTTTTGTCACTCAAACCAGCAACAAAAATTTATTGCAATTTACACATATCTATCATAATTTAATAGTAGGTTTATTACTGCAAGTTCACACAATAATGTTACACAAACAACTTCTAAGTTGTCTATTTACAAAAAGCAAACAGATAAGATACCAGAATAGACGGAGCTGAGAATAAAGTTAAGTCTAATTTATGTAATCAGGGTCTAACTTTATATGCATTTTAGTTCAACACAACCAAAGACTTATACATTTTAGTTGATAGAACCAAAGGCTAAAAAAAAACTTTTCTTAATTTTCATAACCTTTCAATATAAAATAGTATTGAATATAAGATGTATAAGATGTAAGTATGCTATAATATATATAAAAATATGCTGCATAAAATTAAATTATCTGGATGGTGAAAAATTCAACATTTTTATAAAATTAAATAAACTCATCTGACAATACCATGACATTTTTATCACAGATAATATTTCATAGCAAAAAAGTAAAAATTTATAAAGTGCATTTCATTTTTATTATTATTATTAATTGCATTGTAGCTAGATCACATTTCATATTACAGTGTACACGCTCCAAAATTTGTTACCCTTTTTCAATTGAGCCATAACCTTTTGCCAAGCTTGCAATTGTTAAATACTTTTCTGGAAGATCTGGATTTGAGGCCACCAACTTCATTATTAGTGATTTCTTAATGGGTTTGATTGTGAGCTCTTTACTATGAGAGTCCAGTTTGCTGATGCTGCCACCATCCACTTTCAAATATAATTGCTTGGTGAGACTGAAATCATCTTCTAATGCATGAATGATTTATTAGTTTCTGGCATGGTTTTCATCCAACTTTGGAAAAGAATGGACAATTTTCACTTAGATGCCATTAAAAGGTTTTTGGGAAATTTAATTTCCAACAATTCTTACAGCATCTAAAATACTGAGTTGTATAGGAACTGGAGGAGGGGAAAATTACTAATTGTACAACTTCGAGATTGTGTTACATTTTGATCTAATGTATATAAATAACTTACATGGAAAGGTACCCATAATATGTGCTTAGTTATTTTTCATAATAAAACATAATGCTAACATTTGTTTACATGTTTGTTAGTCAAACCCCTAACAAAAAAATAAAAAATTATAAAATGCATTTGCTTGAATTATCAGAACTATTAACTTTCAACTACTTAACTAATAATGACAATTCATACAATTTCAATGTAATTAAAGTAACATTTTCTTAGCATCTCTACAAAAGAATGCCATGAAAATTCTATGTACACTATCAGTCATCATAGTAATTAGCAGAATATCTGTGTTAAAAGTACATAGAAGTATCATAAATCACAAAATGATCTATCAGTTCATTCATGATTAAAAAAGTACCACAATTAAAATATATGTGGTTCAATCAAAATAAGGGCAAATTATCATAAAAAAGTATGGTAATTCAGAAATAAATAAATCATAATGCTAGATCCAATAATAATCATAATCCAAAATTTATGGAATTTTTTTTTTCAATCGTATATTCAAAAACACTTTTATTCAGTTCCTTAATGAAATAATTTTCCATTTCATAATTTAGTAACATTTTCAAAATCACAAAAAACTTGTAATACATTTTAAAATATTATAACCAATTTAAAGTTTTTTAAAGACTTTTATCAGATCCCATCAACAAGAAAAACAATTTGAAGCTTAAATGGTTTTGCTATCTCTGGCCATGCAGAGAAGAGAAAGCCATCAGAAAAGGAATATGGTTTGAAAATTCACATGTTCCATTTCTTACTAATCTACAATTTATTTATTTGTGGTGCAAACAGCTGACTTTCCAGTGATTTTTGTGAACGACAACTTTAAATGAATCACTACACGATGCTGGTTTGGAACAATTATCTTATCTCCAAGACATTTGTTGCAATTCTTTGATGTCTAATCCTAAAACTAAGATCAGAGGTACAGGTAAAATAGCACATGAAAGTTTGTTCACAAAAAGGAAATATAATGTACATCATGTATTACTTCAGTGGTTTTTTGGAAGTTTATGTCAAGAAAGAGGATTGCTATCCAAGATCACTCTGCCAAAACTTTAATGGATGTGATAAAGAATAATATAGCAGATGGAACAATTATCTGAAAAGGTTACAAATCATCCCAGTTGAACGCTGAGAGATATGATCTTTTCAGAGTGAATAATTCGTTCAGTTTTATTGACCCAGTCATGGGTTCTCGCACCCCAATCTATCAAATGTTTTGGGGACAGTGCTAAATGGTGGAACAAATGCCAAAGAGGTATTACCTATCAACATCTTGGCTCCTATTTAGTAGAATTCATGTGGCATTGCATACATTCGAAGGCCAAAATGCAGCACAGTTATACTATACTAATGGATATATACTATACTAATGGATTCTATACTATACTATACCAATGGATTCAGTTATACTATACTAATGGATAGTTGTAAATTTAAATTGTCTAGTATTCCCACTCATTTCAGCTTATGTTTTTTCTCTAGTAATTAAGAATGAAATAAATTATTTGTAATAGTAATTACTTGTGTAATAATGCAATAATGCTGTTGAGAAAATCACCAAAAAGCTCATATGTAACAAGCACTGTTAGAAGGGGACTTCTTTTCAGTTTGCTGAGAATCTTATCAGTTTATAAAATGTGGCCTCGATTAGGGAAGGTAATGTAAACCAGCACTAATCTTCAGAGATATGAAATAAATGATTACTTTTGCAAATATGTAGTTGTCTTTCATTAAATTTCTATATACGAAGGTAAGTTGAAAAATAAGTTTCCCCTGTCGACTGTGGTCAGAGTTGTGTATGAAAGTCAAAAAATAGAATGAGACATTAAAGATATGACATACCTTTATTTTTCCACATAGGTACCAAGTACATTGAGACATTTGTCATATCGCTTGATAAGCTTCAAAAGCCCTCCAGGAAAAATCAGGGCTTTTGCATATGGGAAGAAGCGTTTGAACGTCTTATGGGCGAAAGGCGGCACAGCAGGAAAACGCGCATTGTCAACCGATACACCATTGGGTAGAGGTCGCTGCAAATCAAGCAGATGGCGCTGTTGCAGTGCCGAGCAAGCAAGAGACCAGCCTCTCATTTGAGCCCGGTAGGTATGGAGAGAAGGTGCGTTTTGAATTTGTGCTCAAAGGAGGAAGTGAGAGCGGTTATCTGCTATGAATGGGCACGTGGAGTATCAGGAACAGAAATTCACAACTGCCTCCTGGAAGTCTATGGGCCAGGTGTGATGTCGAAGCAAATAGTGCGGAGATGATGTCGCACATTCAGTGATGGACGTCAGCAAGTGGAGGACATACCGAGAGCTTGACGGATGCGCACGGCCACTACAGATGCAAATGTCAGGAAAGTGGATCACATGATTAGAGCAAACCGGCGTATCACCATTGATGAAGTAGCGGAAGAACTTGGAATCTCACATGAGCGAGCTCAAAACATCATCCATTACATTCTTCGATACAGAAAAGTGTCAGCACGATGGATGCCCCGACAATTGACCTCGACACACAAGGAACAACGCATGGGGGTTAGCCTGGAACATCTCATGTGTTACCATAAAGATGGCAATGACTTTCTGTTTCGGATTGTGATGGGGGATGAAACGTGGGTCCACCATTTCACGCCAGAATCGAAAGCTGCATCTATGGAATGGAAACATCCGTCATCACCTGTCCGAAAGAAGTTCAAGACAACTCCCTCTGCAGGTAAAGTGCTCCTCACAGTTTTTCTGGGACGCCCAAGGAGTTTTGTTTGCTGGACTTTTTTGAGGTTGGAACCATCAATGCTACACGCTACTGTGACACCCCTGTCGAAATTGAAAGAGGCGATTCGGAAAAAGCGGCCTGGCCTTCTCACATCTGGCGTTCTACTGTTGGATGACAATGCCAGACCATATTCAGCGACGGCAACGCAGACCATATTGCAACTCTTGGTTGGGAGCGCCTACACCATCCGCCATACAGTCCTGATCTCGCACCAAGCGACTTCCATCTGTTCCCCGGCTTTGAAAAAAATCTCGGGGGGAGGCGCTTTGGAGCAATACTGAAGTGAACAAGCCGTTAACGCCTTCCCTCCATATGCAAAGCCCCCTGATTTTTTCCTGGAGGGCTTTTTGAAGCTTATCACGCGATATAACAATGTCTCAATGCACTGGGTACCTATTTGGAAAAAAAGGTATGTCATATCTTTAATGTCTCATTCTATTTTTTGACTTTCATACCCAACTCTGACCACAGTCGACAGGGGAAACTTATTTTTCAACTTACCTACGTATTTAACTACCCCTACTTTTTTGTCAGTATATTATTTTATCCTGCTATATTTTAAATAAACTGACTTTATTTTTAAATTATTTTTTACATTTTCTCTTCGCTGAGAAGTACATAGGATCTCAGCAAACTTGCATGGATGTTCAATTTCATTTCTGACCAATAAAAAATCAGCTAGTATATTCAAATTCAATGTATGTCATTATAAACATAAGTCGAAAGTAATCTGTTAAGAATATTTCTGACTTCCACCAGAACAGTCCTAAATTCTTTGAAATGCAGTTGAGCTCTGCCTAAGACCCTTTTTTAATGCTTTTCATTAGGCATTTATAGAATCCCACCCATCATGGCACAAGCTCCATAATAAAATTTCATGGTCAAACCTTTGGTTGTTAGAAAATTTTGAAAATCTGCTCCTTTTATTATACTGTTAATCTTTGGTAGCATATTTAAATGTTTTTGCATTGTCTGAATAAAAGGTGTGACAGTTCCCTCTTCTTGACATGAAAATTTGGTTGTAAATATATTAGAAAAGAGTTCTTTCAATGTCTGAATATCGAGAGGGGAAAATTATGTGAATTAATTTTTGAAAGACACAGTTACAATAAAAATATAACAAACGAAAAGTAGTCATGGATAAACTACAGGTAACTATCACAATATTGTTTCTTTAAAAGAGACATTTCAATAAGAATGCATAATATTAACACTACAATATTTAGTAAGACACCTTCATTTCTACTTCCCTTTAACTCCTGCTCATTCTTATTGTTGTCTCTGCTACTTCTTAAGCCTCAACTCCTGCATGAATAATTAGAGGATGAATGAGCAGCTGACTTGATTCAATAATACATTAAATGTTGGTTTGTTTTTGCTTCACTGTAATTATCCAGTTCTTGTATTAGGCAGGCATTAAGTTCAAGAGTTAGAAGGGAAAGATTAGGCGTAACCTTCGCAGATAGTTTAAGAGGGATCTTTCTCAGTAAGAAGAAAACAATCACTATGTGGATGGATGCATTTTAAAATTCAGGGGAGCTCGCTCTCTGAATGCATTAAAGAAAGGGAAAATAAAGCGAACACTTAAAATTTTTAGACCTTGGTGCTAAAAAGCTTACAGGAAAGAATTATATTTCTTTTACAGACTCAAATTTTATTTCAAAATATAATTTCTCTTTCAGTTGCACAGTAAAAGCTTGATTACCCACAACACTCAGAAAATGACAAATTTCAGATTACTGAAATTTCCAGACAATGAATGTGCACAAAATGCAATTAATGATAGAAAATCCATGCAAATGTAGAAAGAAATTTCCACTCTAAAATTATAAAAACAGGTGTCTTTGCTATCAGCTTGAATACCAAAAGCCTACATCGAAATTATGTAGATTTAAAAAAAAAAAAAAAAATGCATTTCGTACATAAAATCTGACATATTTAGTAGGCCCTGAAATTGAAACACCTTATCCAATCATAAAATACCATCACCATGAAAGTTGATGGAAATGCCAAGTCATTCTGGTAGAAGCTTAAACAAAAAAGATCATTCTTTACCTGACTAGAACCATAAAATTCAAGTTAAAGGTATAGCATATAAAAAACATAAACTGCATATAATTAATCATAACTTTTCATGTTGTATCCCCATTGTTTATTCATTTTTAAATAAAGTTACACATCTTGGCCAATAAAATTCATTTTTCTTGATGCCACAATTGAGTAGCTTTGAAAATACTACATGCTGTTCCATATAAGAGAGATCCCAAATTTAAACCCTTTTTTTTTCAAATTATTGGTGCTAAATCACATTATTTAACAACAGTTTCATTTCTTAAAAATGATCAACAGGAAAGAACATTAATTACAAAATTGTTTAAATAATTGTAGACTTTTGCCTAAAAATGCATTTAATAGAATGAGAAGGTCTGTTGCTCTACCAACAACCCCCAATAACCTTTTCGCGACGGCGCACCTTTGTTTAAGACGCTCGTGCGGGACGGAAGGAAATCGAAGGCAGTCACCGCACAGGACGGAGGTTTTGCATCGCTAAGACTAATTTTGTAAAAAGAAAAAAAAGAAAAAAAAAAGTTTCGCTTCTAGCATCGCAATTTTAGGTATCATTTTAGATTATTACTTGATCTCTTAATGTTAAAATTAGCACTTAATAATGTTTTTTTTTTTTTTTTTTTCCTTTATTTTACATAAAAATATACTTAATTGATAAAATCCATCAACAAAGTTTAAAATTAATAAAACACAATAATAAAGACTATTTACAGTGAGAAGTAACAGAATTTAAAATGAAGACTGATGTGGTAAATCTTGAAGCACGGAGAAGTATCACTTTCGAACTCTCAGAAAAAGTATCACATTCGAACTCTTAGAAAAAGTATCACTTTCTAACTCTTTAGAAAATGAATCAATCACTCTCAATCATCTGCGTTAATAAATGGTTCATTGAACCATATGAGGGTATTTTTCCTCTGATAAATAGCGCCTTCATGCCGCCATAATAGACTGGAGGTGAGGCTTTCCCGAAATAAAGAGAAGAAACGGAAATATATCTGAAAAGCAATGCAAAACGTAACAGAACTCCACATGCTAACCCTAAAAGACTGTAAATAGTAAAGGAAAAAATAGAATAAAAAAGGGAATTGGATATAAATCAGACACGTGAATGTTTTCATTAGCACGCAGCGATTTAAAGAGCTCACCTCTGTTTACGCTTTCCCCTCCCCCCACCTTGAAAGAGCTGATGAGTAAAATACCAAAGCAGAATATATCAAACTCAAGGTCAGGAACCTAAAAATGTGTTCATTTCAAAAGTAATGGACATAGGATGCCATCTAGTGGCCTTCAGAAAAATGTTCCAGCTTAAAATGCATATACGCATCACCCGTCGTCTGTATGCAATCTCTAGTGATGCGTGGATGGGACGCCTGTCCTGAAAGGGTTAAAAATACTGGTGACAGTAAACATTATGAAAGACAAATGAAATGCATACTGTAAAACTGTGGAATCTCCATGTTCCTGTGCCATAATAACAAAGAACTTCTAATGGGAACTCTGATTAGAAATTATTTGATAGTAACTCCTCATTTTTATTTTATGCACTCTATTCCAAGGAAGAATTCTTGGAACAATATGATAGACACATCAGTGCAGGTGGGGAGGTGTAAGCAACATCCTCTTAAAGCCATGCATCTATTTGCATTTTAGAAGTTATCAGTACAATTTCGAGTGTCCTGTACTCCTTTGTAATGGCTTTGTAAGTCTCCTGTTGGCTCATTCTACAATTTTCTGATTACTTGAGATTTTTGGTTAGTTGAATATGCCAGATAGTTGGGCTTCTACTGTACTATACTATATTTATACAGTCAAAAGTCGTTAATTCGGACACCCATAATCCAGAATGATCTATAATCCGGACCTCAAAGCTAAAAACTTTCAGCTCATGCGCCGCGTTGACAGATGTGCATAGGCGTTTATGCATGCGCGTAAGACCTTTTACTACTGCGCATATGCGTGTGCGCAAGCGCAGAATACGTTTTCGCGTGCACGTTTTACGTATAACGGACGGTATAATCTAAAATTATCTAATTATCTATTTCAGTTAATGTTGATGATTGCGTTGTTCCTTAATCTTCGAATTGGATCCGGCTTATTATTTTTTGCAGACTGTAAGAGCAATTTTATAAAAGTAAAACTTGAACTTTCGATTATGTCAAATAGAATTTCCAATTCTGGAGCTCCCAAAGCATCGTACAAAATGAAAGTATGTTTCGATGTCCATCAAACAAAAAGTGGAATTGCTGCAGAAAATGGATAAAGACATGAAGAATGTGACAGAGAGGTTAGTGAAAACGAAAAAAATTTCGATTGACAAGTTCGTCGGTATTCTCGGCACAACAATTAACGGGACTTGAACAGCGGAACTTTGTAACTGAACAAGAAATTATGTCTGTTTATAGAATTAAAGAGAAAGTATTATCACATAAAACGAAGCAACTTAAACAACTTACATTGAAAGAAATGTTTAATAAAGTAAACAAATAAATATTAAGCTTTTTTTTTTTTTTTTTTTTTTGTAAATTTTTTAAATTTTGATACCCTTTAGATTATAATTGTTCTTTATTTCATAAATTAAGGTTTCATATTTTTAATTTTAGAATTTCTGCATGCCATCTTACGAGATGTAAACTGATGATCTATAATCCGGAATCGCCGAAGTCCCGACGAGTCCGGATTAACGACTTTTGAATGTAGTATTTAAAAATTTTCACAATGAACTGGAGTTTCTAGAATTATGGAATATTATCTTCAAAATAATACTTACTGTTAACAAAGTTTTATGCTCACTCCAAATGATGCCAAGCGTATGTGTAAGTACTAGCTGTCCATGCTGTTTATACTGTCTGTGTTTTCCAGTATTTGGAGTTTCACTATTTGTGTGTTATGCCTTCAATAAATGTGGTTTTTGCAATGACGTGCGCCTATGCCTACTTTTCCCTTGGTTCTACATAACACTTACCACCAATACATACTTAATTATTTCAAGCAAAATAGCTGAAAACTACCAACTAATGGGAAAGTATGCTTTTATGAAGAAAAATTTTAGGAGAAACTGATTGATGTTCACATTTGGAAAATCACAAAAGGCTTGTGTAACCAGCCCATTTTGGAAGCATACAAAAATTACAGCTACATCAAATCTTTCACATAATTTCTACCAGTAAATCTAGATACATAAATTTATCTGGATTACCCTTTGCTATGTCAGGGTTTCAAGGAATTCAATTTTTATTCATCCTCTTTTTATTCATAATTCCTTCTTTTTAAAAATAAGCAAATTTTCCCAAAATATTTTATAAGAAATTTAAACTGGGTATTGCACAGAAATTACATTTAAACCTTACAGATGGTTACATATACTGCAAACAAATAAATGAATAATGCTAAAATATTCAATTACTATTAAAAGAGACAATATAATACAGAAAAGTATATTAATATTTCCATAATAAAAATCGAGATAGAAATTGAAAAGCTAACAAGTAATGTGACGTAAGACCTTTTTGGTCTTAAAAATTTTTTGCACAAAATGCTGCAAAAATATGAAATAATAGGAAGAAATATTGTAGTGATCTTGCTAAAAATAGAAGTAATTTAAAAAAAAATTAACATGGAAAAGTGAAAAAACAGCCTACATGCGAAATAAAACTGTTAAAATCAATGTTGGAAAACTAGTGAAAGCACAAAAAAACTAATCTGATCATTTGTGATATGTGACGTTTGTGTTTGTGTTAACAGTTTTATTTTGCGTGTAGGCTGTTTTTTCACTTTTCCATGTTAATATATTTTTTTAATTACTTCTATGTTAATATTTAAAAAATACTGCGTTGAACTATTTCATGGAGCCAAAGCTCCTGGTAACTTTTTAGCAAGATCACTACAATATTTCTTCCTAATATTTCCATAATTATATAAACAATTTTTAATCATATAATAGTTTGTAAATAATAAATCAACGAATATATACCCTGGTATGGAATTCAATATTTGCATGATAACCAGTTTGTGGACATGAAACAGTAACAGATCCTCCCAATTCAATCCATGGAACTCTTAGAATAGATCTGAAAATGAATATTTTTTATAAATAAAAATAAACTATTAATTTTCTTAACAAATCAGAATCATAGTAATAAAATATCAACATGCATAAATATATTTACCTGCCATATCCATTAGGAAATGTTAATATATATTCCTCATTGTGTTTTAATACATTTATAATAGCCTGTCCAATATTCTGAACGCCAATGGAAAGTCCAAGAAATTTTGATTTAGTCCATATGTGGGCAGTACAGCTAATGCTTTTGTTCACATGCTCAGCATAAAAAGCAGAGACTAGAAAAAAGATGCTCAAATAAATAAGAAAATCTGAAAGGTTTCAGATTTTAAATTATGCCCTAAGGCACATTATTTTAACATTTTGTGTGTTACATTTATTTATTAAGTATCATCTACCATCTATCTGCTACCAAGAATTAAATCTTAGAGGCAGAAACTGTAGGCAAATCAAAATAATTAGAAATTATAATTTTCGTGGAAAAGTTACCAAGCACAGTACAAAGTCCGAAATCTGGACTCGTCGGGACTTCGGAGATTCTGGATATTAGATCATCAGTTTAAATCTAGTAAGATGGCATGTAGAAATTATAAAATTAAAAATATGAAATTGTGATTTATGAAATATTAATGAAGTATTTATGATCTAAAGGGTATCAAAATTTACAAAAAAAAGCTTTAATATTTATTTGGTTACCTTATTCAACATTTCTTTCAATGTAAGTTGTTTAAGTTGCTTTTTTTTTTTTTTTTTTTTTTTGTGCTACTACTTTCTCTTTAATTCTGTAGACAGACATAACCTTTTGTTTAGTTACATTGTTGAAGTCCTGTAACTGCTGTTTCGAGAATTCCGACTAACTTGTCAATTGAAATTTTCTCATTTTCAGTAACTTCTCTGTCACTTTCTTCACTATCGGTAGTGGTACTTTCTGGATCTACAACCATACTACAGATTTCGCCATTCATTAATTGATTGATGATTGAGAAGCACTGCCATTACAGTGAGAAACTTCTTTTATATCATCTTCATTTATTACCACTTCTCCAAATTTCTTTACAAAATCTGTTAATTGGACAATTTCACCTTAGTTTTGCGATATCCGAAAACCTTTAAAATTTGGGGCTATCATCATCAAATTTAGCCATCCTTCACTACACACATTTGGTTATGTATCATGAGCTTGGCATCTAATGGCAAGTTTTTCTGTTAAATTTTATCTTCCTTCTATCACGCACTGAGACAATTAAGCCTGAATTGTATTAGTTCAGTATTTATTATGCTTATGTCTTATTTCTTGTACATGCTTAAGGCTTATCAGAGTTCTGAATACATAAATTCCCACATATACTTAACATTTATTTATACCACATATTACAAATAAATTACTGTGGGCTACATATCTTACCGCCTGATGTAGTCTCTGTGGGTCCTATATTCTGCGACTCAGCGCGACCGTACGAGTCCTGGCATTGGTTCTGGGTTTAAGTTAATAACAAATCAGTTCATCTTAATTCAAATAGCCATAAATGTAATCTTTGGGTTTATGAGTATCATCAACAAAATCTATTTTTAGGATATGGAAAGAAATTTTTGGTAAATGTTTCGTCAACTTTTTTTAGCACATTTAACTTAAATCTGTAATTATCGCCAAGCGTAATGTCAACATAAAAGGTTACCATACTCCTTTATTATTCAACTACTAACATAAAAAAATTGTTTAGGCATCACTACATGAGTCATTACTCAAGTTGTCATGTTTTGATAAAACATGCGGTGGTGAAAGGAAAGTATAATAAATAATGATTCGCCAGGTTGGCGTCAGATCAACGATGTATCTATGTGGAATGTTTCGGTTTGAGATATGTGCCAAGCAGATACACATCAACGGAGCCAAATTACTGATTGTACAAACTTATGCTAAAATGATTGTTTCTTCAATAACAAGGTACTATTTTATTTAGTGTCGAAGTGAAATTAAGAATTAGGACTCTCCAGATGTTTTATTATGCCCGGAGAGGGAAATTAAATGTGCATGTGTAAAGTCTATGAGAAAACATTGTTGATGGTTTTGAGGTCCAGATTTTAGATCATTCCAGAAAATGGACATCTGGATTTCAGACTTTGTACTGTATGCTTAATATTCCCCTGTTGGTTTTCAATATGAATAGAACTTTCTGGTGAGCAGTTTTTCCTCAACCAACTACAGATAAAGATACTAATATTTTTTCTGTATTCTTTTTACAACATATTCAAATTCTGTGTTATTATACAATAACTTTGTTTAGTTTTATTTCTATATAATAACTTTCCCTCAGAATAATTATTTTAACAATTACATTACTTTTTAAAAATTTTCTTGTGCAACTTTTAGTTTGATTGAGTGGCACATCAGAGGAAGGCAAAACATGCCAGCATGAAATAATTAATTTATTAAAATAATAATGAAATATTTACTAGGAGGATGATGTGAAACTTGCTCTGCTATGAAAGTCAAATGATCTCTTGTTGCCCATGGTACAGGTCCATCTTCCACCTTTTTGGGAGAATCCTTAAATATTGTTACAAAATAAAGCAGATTAAAAAGAGCTTGTAAACTACATCAACAGAAAAAAATGCAAAATATAAACATCAATTCAATAATTTATTTCAATTAATTACCAACATAAATAATTACATCATCTTCCTGAACGTTTGGTATGTGCCAGAAACATCGAAATATTTCTCCAAGGATTGGATTGTATGGTTTCTTAGCAACAGAGCTTTTACGGCCAGCATGAAAAGCTGATAAATACCATCTAACAACTTGCACAAAACGATCTTTAGGGCTATCAAAATCTGGAATGCTACAAAAAATAACTGAACTAAGTATTGAATATATTTTTCATATCAGTGCCCGCTTTCAGGCATACAAAATTGCAATCAAATACCAAAAATAAATTAATATAAAACACATAACTATCCATCTAAAATAATTTGAAAATGCTGTCAGTCAGTTTTACTGAAAAAACTATCCCAATAATAGTTTTAGTACTTTATTTAAAACCAGAACAGTGCCCATGATTTTCCTCATTAAAAAGGCTATTAAAAAAACATAAGCTTATTTACACATTACCTAACTGTAAATAATGCATAGTGAAGTTCACTACTTTTATCCTCATAAAAATTGACATTTTGAATAACTCATCTTTTCTTAAAATTTTGTTTTGCCTCATATATTGTGTTATGTGGGGGAATGCACAGTAAAATGAATAACTTCCTGCCTAAGTCAAAATTAATTTATCTTAAGTCTCTTCTTCAATACCTGGAAATTGCTATATTTCCCAAGAATGCTTTTACTCAAACAGAGAAAGAGAATGAAGATAAGAAATTAAGATAAGAGAATGAACAAAAATAAATTCCAGCTTTTTCGTAAAAAATAACTTTCAGTCACCAAATACAGCCTCAGATAGATAACTTTTCTTTTTTTTTAAGTACCAATTAAAAATTTTTTTCTTTTCAGTAAAAATGTCACCATACAACTCTTATTCTTCCACCAAAACTAAAAATAAATTTAAACTTCAAAACATTTGGAAGAAATTTAATTTTGCAAAGGAAAATTTTATTCCTGATTCAACTGTGATTACATTTATTAAAAGCAAAGAAATCATTTTAAAGATTCTTGAAGCATCAAATCGTTGACAAATGCTTTACTTCGGTTTAAATCTGTTCATCAGATGTAATTGAGAAAAGACTGAAGAATTTTCTATATGACTGAAAGCAAATAAGTTTCCAGCAAACAATGGCTAATTAAATTGCTTTGAACACTGTCATGTTTTCAGATTGACATAGCATGAAAAATGCTCTGTTTTTCAGGCTGCTTTTACAGATGAAAATTGCAGTTGCTGGGAAGAAAAAAAAGGAATTTTTTTGAAAAACTTTTAATCACCCTTATTAACCAGTTCACCATTTTCCCCGAGAGAGATACGTTCACAAGAAATGCATCGTCATCCGTTAGCATTGGCAGACTATCGTCGGAGTGAAATTTGGGCTAGACCGTAAGCCACGAGACAGATACGTCGTAGCATCTTTTTCCAGCCCCCCAGAATGAGTCGAAAATGAAAAGGGGTTATTGATGGGTTACTTATCTTCTTAGCAGTGTCGCATTAGGATCACAGCGGGGCTGTTTCAGGAACGTAAAGGATGGGGGACACTGTCGTCGTGTATATACCCCCTCAACCATATCTTAAGAGATCCACAATTATTCTCTGAACTACATTGAAATGTTATACCTAATATGCGCATTTTGTTTTATCACTTTACCTACGCAGATGGAAATATTACTTGCTTTAAATTTCATTATGACTATGTTGCGCCAATTATGAATGACATCGTGAACTGAAATTTTTTAAGTTACATTTCATTTTTCAAAACTTGTACTATTAATGTTTATTAGTCCAAATGGGGCAATTTGCACAAAAGCACTATTAATTTCGTTTCGGCATTTTGCATTGATTCTCTGAAAGAGTTGTTTCATTTTTAAAATTGTTGCCACCAAATACTATCACCCTCTTTAAATAAAGAAATTTATTTTAAGAAATTAAATAATTAAGAATCTGCATAAATGTATGTATGTTTTTCACATTGTGATAAAACAACGGTACATATAGCCATCCAATTTTAAACAATGTAATCCTCCTGCGAGTATGGGCATGTGGAAGCCCAAATTTGAAGTTTGGAATTTGTTTTATTATCGATTTCATATTTTGTAAAACTTTAACGAATTTTTGATTAACAAACTCAAAGCTTTCAACGCGAGCAAAGGCAACATTGTACAGAAAAATTTTTTTATCTCCAGCGTGTGAGACTGTGTATTGGAAATTCTAAAAAGATATGCTTTATTTAAAATTATTTTGCAATATTGCTCTTGAACTGAATTTTATGGTTTAAGTATGAAAAACATGATATTTAATAAATAAAGGTAACACATAAAATGTTAAAAAAATGCCCCTTTGGACGTAATTTAAAATCTGAAACCTTTCCGATTTTTTTAAAACTTTTTAATCAATACCTTTCTATTGCTTTAAATCTCATTAATTGTGAAAGCTACAGCAATAAAGGTTCGAGAATTTTAAAAGATAGAATAGTAATATATGAAATTTGGATTGCTGTATATTTTCTTTCAGTTCCTTCCTAAATATGTAATTATATTTTTTACAAAACATTTTCAACAATATTTACTATTTTGGTTTGAGAGTAGTCGCATCTGCATTTCCTACAGGAGACAGATTTATATAGGAGACTTTACAGGAGTAAAGAATTAAGGAATGTTAAATTTTGCTTGGAAGAGTTAGAAATGGCAGATATGCCGAATAAATGCAACGACGAAACAAAACGTAATTGTAAGCAGTTTTATAAACTGTTTTCCAGAACAAATATCGAACTAAAATTAGAATATATATCTAATAACATGCATGACATAAAAGAAATAAATTATAAAGAAAGCGGCAACAATTATAATTTAAAAAATTAAAAATGATCATAAATTTGCTGCTTAATTATGAACTTTGTTGAATTTTCAGTCCATTATTCAAAGGAATGGGCAATCTCTCTGAAATAGGCACTTCACATAATTAAAACTTTCCTTGCTGTATAAAAAGAGCAAGTTAAAAAAAAAAAAACTCTAAATTAAAAAATTGCAACTTTTAATAAGAACCTTAAATATCTAAGATAAAGAAAGATCTTTTTATCGCATAAGGAAATTAAATCTTTTAATTAAGTATATAAAAATATATGGGAAATAATTCGATCACTATCTTTGTTACAGTGCATCAAGAAAATAATAAAACAAAATCCAACGACATTTCAAATAGGCAATACTAGCTAATGCACTTATTTTTACTTTAAATAAAGCTTTTACTTGACAATTAAAAATTACATTTCAATTGAAATAGATTGCAATGCATTTGATGTTAAGTGCGGGAAGTGGAAGTGGGGTTGAGTGCAAAGGGAAAAATATCTGCTCTAAAGACTACACCAGTCTTTGTGTTCTATGTTGCTTGTTAGGGGGTCGTTATTCAGCATTCTTCAGTGTGACAGGTACGCTGTTCAATCTGATTTGAACAGAACTTCTAAATAGGTTTTCATGGCTGGTGAAAGGGAGAAAGAAATACTCTGAGCCCGATTTTAGACACAAAAAGTTTGCCTTTGGATGCGAAAAATGGCACGAAATGTTTGCGATTTTCCTAATGTCGAACTCATTAATTGTACTTCCTATCCTCGTAGTGAACATCTCTAACTGTTTTTTGCAATGCAATAACTGTACTATAGCCTGCAGAATAGGCACTATTCTCAAACTGTGGTCTGTGGACCATTAGTAACCTTCAAAGCCTGCCCTTATGGTTCTCATAGATTTTACATAATAGCAAAAAATAAAATTCAAATTAACAGCGTAATACCACACAATAGCTGAAAATCTCAAGAGTCTGGAAGTTATGCATGACTACTGTCTATCACTTATGCTCCCAAAACTTATGATATTTATTAATAATTATTACATCTACAAACTTCCCAATCTAGTCTCAGAAAAAAAAAAAAAAAAAACACAGACTTAAAACACTATAACAGTAGTGCTTTTTACTAGCATATGTCCAAACATAGAACAACTATGCAAGAATCAGCAGGTTAATAAGGTAAAGATGATGCAAACATCCATGAATTATTAAAAACAAATATAAATTATATTCTATTAATTTAACTATGAAATACCAATAAAAATTAAAGGAATTTTATAGTTTAAATTTATTTTAGAAATACAGGGTATGCTTTTTTTTTTTTAAATGACACTACTCAGAGCCACCAAATTGGAATGCCACCAAATTTGTCAGGGGGACTATTGATAACATGGTGAAAAATATTCCATGAAAAAGAATTAGCTCCAAAAGTTGTTGACAGGAAGAAATGTAGTGCTCTTCTAGCCTATACAGCTCAGAACTAGACAAATCAATAACAAGTAGAAATTTCAGTATAACACCATTTTAATGCAGCAAATGAACTGCCCCCAAAAGTTACAGAGATTATATTTCAAGGAACCATAGCAGTTCATTCAATAAAAGTGCTTCCTTGGTAAAGGCAATGTGACTGCCATTGTCGTAGATAAAGCATTGCATCCTGTACACCATACTTTTTATAGCCAAATGTAACATGCCACTAGGAATGCTCAGCACAGCCCATGATATGTTGTCCTTTTAAGGTTGTCAAGTTGGAACTCTAAACTAGATCCCGAACTTGGTAGAGACATTAGGTATTCTTGAAGCAGGAAACACGAAAATTAGCAATGCCCTCGCTGGGACTCGAACCAGGACCTCTCGAATACATGCCAAGTGTGCTACCATTATACCATGCAGGCATGCAGAAAGGATGGAGACAATACCTTATATGCTCCCCCTTTCAAAAAGCGGCTAGGGTTTAGGCGACTCAACTGCCAAATCCTGGTGGTGAAGAATCATCATCCACTACGTTTTAGTTAAGGCATCACTGAAGTCATTAGGTTATTTTGAAGCAGAAGACATGAAAAATGAGCAATGCCCTCACCAGGACTCGAACCTGGACCTCTCGAATACGTGCCGAGTGTGCTATCATTACACCATGAAGGCAAGCAGAAAGGAGGGAGAAAATACCTTATAACTTGAAATAACCTCACAGGAAAATGTCATGCGGGGTTAGATCCAGAGAGCAACATGACCACACAAGGGGGAAAAAAAGCAATTTATGACCCTTTCTTCTGTCATCCCACAACAGATGTAATGATAGACCAATGTGCGGTGCTGCTCCAAGCTGCATAAAAGTTACCTGATACAGCATCTGCCTTTGCTGAAGTTGTAAAATGACAAAACTAGTCAGTATATCAGACTATCTTAGCATGTTAGTAGCACAGATGCGTGTTCTTGTTAAAATAATGCTCTCAGAAAAGAATTGTCCACTGATGAAATCTGCATAAGGCCACACAAAACAGTGGTGTGACTTTTTGTGAATGCAATGGGATTTTCTGAATTGTTCAAATATCCAAGTTAAAAAATTATGAATGTTACCAGTGCAATTTAGGTAAAAATGGGACTCATCTCCCCAGAGAATTTTTCATCCCAAGCATTGTTCACCTTTATCCTGACAAAAAATGTCAGAGCAAATACCACTCACTTATCATAATCATGTTTTAATTCCTGCATGCAGCTTATCTTTTATGGGAAGAAGTGAATAACTTTCTGAAAGATTTTCGGTACCATTAAAAAATTCAAATCCAATTGTTGTACTATTAACTGGACACTGCCACTAGCGGCAATGGTGCCATGGGTAATGTTACAGACTGCAGTCGTGACATCAGAAACTGCCTATTTTGACAACAGTTTCTGCCAAATCAAACTGCTAAGGATTCTGTTTCTTTAAACACTTGGAATCATATCTTTCAATTCCTTAATAGATAGAGGGTCTTTACATAGGTTGTTACAGCTTCTAAACCCACAAAGAGCGGCGTTGCATTCGATTGATGAAAATAAAATAACTTCACAAATAACGTGCACCAAGTTAAAGTGAGATGCATTTTGAACCCAGCTAACATTTAGAATATCCTTCGGTGTTTTCCTCTTATCTTTATAGACTGAGTTAATGATGCTGTTGTTGTTTACGTAACTGAGTATTTGCATTTGCAAATTTTGCCTGCACTTCATGCATGTTCTTAGTTGCGTAGATTAGAACAGCACTATATTTCCCCCTATTGGCAAATTTCAGAACTAATTTTTTTTTCATGAAATCTTTTCTTCCCAAGTTACCCTACCAAATTTGGTGCCATTCAAGCCGACAGATCAAGTTACAGATGGCTCTAAATAGTGTCAGTTTTTAAAAAAATAGTATAAGTATACCAGTAGTAAGGAAGGCTAAAAAAGTATTTAAAAGGAGAAAACATAGTCTGCCAATGACTCTAATTTATAAAGTTAAAAAGTTCTAGAAAAGCTAAACTGAGGCATTATTCAAAAAATTATAGAGAACATGGATGATCATGATAACGATCATTAAATTTATAGTGCTACATCAATGTGCAAAAATTAAGAAAGCGGAGAAACTAACATAACAACAAAAGAAGTTAAAAAAATAGCAACAAAAGGGCAAAGCTAAAACACGAAATATAACAGAAAAAGAAATACTAATATTTGTAATTTACGTTAAATTCATAAAATAAATGAGGCAAGGAATAAACATTAAGAGAAATAAATATCAAAAATTTAAAGTAAAAGTTGCAAAGCTCAACATAACTGAGCTATAATTATCTTACCTAATGAATAGGTCAGGATGGGCAAAAAAATCAGCATACATCTCAAGCAAAGATCGACGTTCAAGTATAAAAGTTGGGAGAACAACTTTCGTCAGATCCATTCCAATTTTGACTTGTGAAAGTAAATGACTAATTACACTTCCTTGTCCTTCCAAAGATCCTACTACCCAAACAGAAGTAAAAGTAAACTAACATGACTTACGAGGAGAGAAAAACAATTTTATTAAGTTTTAAAAAAATGCAATCAGTTAAACATGTGAGGGTAAGTTGAAAAATAAGTTTCCCCTGTCAACTGTGGTCAGAGTTGTGTATGAAAGTCAAAAAATAGAATGAGACATTAAAGATATGAAATACCTTTATTTTTCCACATAGGTACCAAGTACATTGAGACACTTGTCATATCGCTTCAAAAAGGCCTCCAGGAAAAAATCAGGGCTTTGCATGCGGAAGAAGCGTTGAACGGCTTGTTTCACTTCAGTATTGCTTCCAAAGCGCCTTCCCCCGAATTTTCTTTCAAAGCCGGAAACAGATGGAAGTCACTTGGTGCGAGATCAGGACCGTATGGCGGATGGTAGGCGCTCCCAACCAAGAGTTGCAATATGGTTTTGCGTTGCCGTCGCCGAATGTGGTCTGGCATTGTCATCCAACAGCAGAACGCCAGATGTGAGAAGGCCAGGCCGCTTTTTCCGAACGCCTCTTTCAATTTCGACAGGGTGTCACAGTAAGCGTAGCATTGATGGTTCCAACCTCCAAAAGTCCAGCAACAAAACTCCTTGGGCGTTCCAGAAAACTGTGAGGAGCACTTTACCTGCCGAGAGAGTTGTCTTGAACTTCTTTCGGACAGGTGATGACGGATGTTTCCACTCCATAGATGCGGCCTTCGATTCTGGCGTGAAATGGTGGACCCGCGTTTCATCCCCCATCACAATCCGAAACAGAAAGTCATTGCCATCTTCATGGTAACGCACGAGATGTTCCAGGCTGACCCCCATGTGTTGTTCCTTGTGTGTCGAGTCAATTGTCGGGGCACCCATCGTGCTGACACTTTTCTGTATCGAAGAATGTCGTGGATGATGTTTTGAGCTTGCTCATGCGAGATTCCAAGTTCTTCCGCTACTTCATCGATGGTGATACACCGGTTTGCTCTAATCATGTCATCCACCTTCCTGACATTTGCATCTGTAGTGGCCGTGCGCGTCCGTCCAGCTCTCGGTATGTCCTCCACTTCTTGACGTCCATCACTGAATGTGCGACACCATCTCCGCACCATTCGCTTCGACATCACACCTGGCCCATAGACTTCCACGAGGCGGTTATGAATTTCTGTTCCTGATACTCCATGTTCCCATTCATAGCAGATAACTGCTCTCACTTCCTCCTTTGACCACGAATTCAAAACGCACCTTCTCTCCATACCTACCGGGCCTCAAATGAGAGGCTCTCCACGTTGCGCAGGCACTGCAACAGCGCCATCTGCTTGATTTGCAGCACCCAATGGTGTACGGTGTTGCGTGTTTTCCTCTGTTTCGCCCATAGCCCATTGCCTTCTTTTCCATATGCAAAGGGGACTTTAAGCTTTTAAATTTATTAGACTGTCTCAACGTAATCGTTAGAATAATAAAAAATAAATGTCATATCTTTAATGTCTCATTCTATTTTTTTTTACACACCTCTGACACAGTCGGCAAAACTTATTTCTCAACTTACCTTAAAAAAAAAAACTGTTGATTTGGAAAAATCTCACACAAAACATAAAAAAGATTTCACCCATCAACACACAAGAGCTTTCTCCCCTTAATGCTTTTAACTTTAAATTTACATGAATTTTAAAAGTGCAAAACTTTGTAAAAAATTTACTATAAGTAACAAACATTTAAACTTAAAAGCTATAGCAAATATATATTAAAATGAAAAAAAAAAAAAAAAAAAAAAAAAAAAAAAAAAAAATACATGCCTATCAACAATTCCCAAGAACTCATTTACAATTCATACAACTTGAAACAATTATAGATATCTAATTTAAAATGTCTTTTATATTTTTCAGACCTATATATCTCTGAAATAAAATGTTTATTTAAAAGTCTGTCTTTTCGATTCTTATTATTATCCAAACTTAGCACACTAGTTATCACAAATTAATATTATATTTTATTACTTAAACTGCATCTCACAGACCCAGAAAGTATATGTTATATTTGACATTTACAAATCTATAACTAAACAGAAACAATTATTAAATGAAATTTATAAATCAAAGATAAGTATGTGTTTAATGTCAACTAAAGGGAATGAAATATATAAATTCTTACATTCCTCTTCTTCATCTTCATACAAAGCTGTGAAAAAAATTTCAAAATTTATATAAGGTAACTAAGAAATTCAAGAATGTATTTTATATATAACTTACAGACTAGTTTAAAATCAAAATATTTATATAATTTTACCGTCATAGTCTTGAGCTGTAAGTCTATGTGGATGTGATGTTCGCCGCTGTACCGTAACTACGTCAGAGGATATAGGACCTTCAACACTTAAAAGAGAACAATACGTTAATTATAAAATTTACTGGCTCTATCAAATACACACTTAAACTGCTTAAATTCCTAAATGAAAATATTATATCTTCCCTGTTTAAATTACATTAAACTAATTCACATACTATAATTTCCTTATTTGTTTAAAGCTCCATTATGTCTTTTAGCAAAAGGCAATGATTTCTTTTAGCAGGTATAAAAATGAAGTGAATAAGTACTTACAAATATATCTATTACTGAATAATATAAACTGTGATAAAAAGTAGTAAGTCTGATCATGTTCTTTCCCTCTGAATATCTCTTTGATATTCAGGATGAAATTTCACAGTCCGTCTAAATATGTGCAAATTAAGAAAATGCTCTCTAGATGTGTGTTGTATTTTAGTATAACAGAGTATCAGATTCTTGAGCAATGTTTAAGATACGGTTTTACACAGAATTCACAGAAAATTTAAGTGAATCATCTGAAAAGGTGAAACATGTACACAAATAGTATGTTTTAGCAAAAGCAAGTTTTCATGAGGCATAACACCTTTTCATGGGAGTTGTAAAGTTTTTTAAGTCACTTTAGTCTATTTAACATATCTAAAATGGACCGAAATGCAGTAAGAAAAGTCTTGTACAATCAGATCACCTATTAACATCAGCAGCAAATTGAAGATGATCAGCAGCAAATTGAAATACAGCTGTTTCACAGTACATAAAATTTTAACCTAGGAATTGTGGTTGCAGAAGGTATGTGCTCTATACTGGTTTAACAAACTTCATCAAATTCAAGCAGATACAAAATATATAAAATGTATATTTGCATCATCTGAGATGAATCAAAACTTAATCATTAAGTGAATTTTTCAATTATAATGATAAAAAATAATTAATCTTCTAATATAATCCAAAAATAAGAATAGCATACAACAAACTCATGACATTCAAAAAAAGAAAAAATCAAAATTTGCTAGTGGTCAAGAATTTACAGCATGTGGCTGTATATCATCTGTGGTCATGTTATTCTCCAAATATGAGTTCAGATAACTTCTCAAACTGAAAATTCACAAGAAAAGTTGCCTTTTAGATATGATGCACAGTATGTAACTTTCCACAGGAGCTACTTTGAAAGAAATACCACTAATTTGCAACTTCTGAAGACATATTATTTACAAAAAGATGCTACAGCTCTAGAGGTAGTGAAAAAAGTCTCATTACTTTCCTGCTAGGTCTTCAAAACCATGCAATATGGACATTAATCAGCTTTGCAATCCACAAGTTCTATTAACACTTTCACTGCTGGTTGTGTGAGGTTATATTGATAGTTTGGTTTATTTAATTATGGCAAAGTACACTAGGGCTATCTGCCTAAAGGGAGGGATGCCTTCGAGGAGGACTTTCTAAGGGAAACTGGCTCATATGCACGTTACACATGGGGAAAACCATAAAAATGCCCATGCAGCCAGCCTGTTCGCTTGATTCGAACCTCGGACCAAACTACCAGTGTTCAGCGACTTTACCACTCGGCTGCTGGTGGGCTATATTGATAGTTAATGCTGTGTCATAGAAATAGATTGTACCCATATGCTGACTTAATTATTATAAGAAATACGATTTAAAAGAGAAAATAAAAGATTATCATATGTACCACATTGACTATTAAGCCTTTAAGCATCAAATTTTATAACTACACACTAGCGCGTGATCGGCACTAGAGGAAAAATTATTTCTGCAATGCTGCATTACCTGCTGGTACTAGTTGGAGCTAACCCATTTACAACTAGTTTCTAACCTTCATGCAAATACCAACATATATATTCAAAATGTAATGCTGCTTGAACATTAAAATCAACGAGACATTGCTTTTCCCGCATCAGCATGTGACTAGCACCTGAGATATCAACCTATACCATGCGCAAGAGCGTGATTGGCTCTTCAGCAATGATGCCAGTGCGTTATCGGCAGCGAATGTGTTAAAGATGCATTTTCAATCAAAATTTTCATAAGCATATCTTTTAAATGCAAAACTGTTCAGCTGTAATACTTCAGAATGAACAAAAAAGAAAAAAGAAAAATATTACTTCACAAATATACATACTAAAAGGTGTAGGGTACCTTCAAAATGATACATACAAAATGGCTACATATTACATTTGTTATGTGAATATGAGATTCGGCAACAGAAAAGCTTGCTCTATATCATACTACCTCTAGAACTGTAGCATCTTTTTGTTTAGCACAGCTATATTGGATACTATCAGAACATATTAGCATTTTTAATTCAAAGTGGAGAAAGGTAATTGCTTTTGTTAAAAAATTCCTTCGGATCTCACAGACTTTAGGTTGGCAAAATGCCACCTGTGAAACATGTTTCATGTTTAAAGAAATTCTCATGTTTCTCATGTTCTCGCGTTTAAAGGAATTCTCAATCCGATCAGATAGTCACATGAGCATCTTATAAATATAAAATATGAGCCAAACTTATATTACAATATCTCAGACAAAAACCAAGATTTTTTCATCTGATGGGAAACTATTTGTATACTTAAAAAGTACATTTCATGGCTATAGGTTATTATCAAAGCTTTGATTCTAAATGGAATAGGGAAAGGGGGAAAAATAAATTTGTTTAGAATGATAAAAATGTGGAGCTGAATGATAACAATCTTATCTAATGATGATTCTACTAATGATTATCATGAATATAATTTCTACTGAGAAAAAATAAACCTAGTAAGTGAAGAAAAACAAAAATTGTGACACTTTCAGAAATAAAAACGAAATACTGTAAACAAACACACAGGAATTATTCTATATTCTAAAGGCAGTTTTAAAGAAACTGAAGCTTTTTGAAATATATTCAGAAGCAATATAACTCACAAAACAGTAAAATTTGCTACCAAATACACAAAATATATGTATTCAATTTATAATACATCATTTTTATAAAATATTAAAATATTTATATTGAAAGTAATTTTTTGTTCTTTTTAAAAAATTATCAAATTTTATATTTAAAGAAAATAAGATTAATGAGTCAGTTAATATATAAACAACTGAACTAAATTTAAATGTGGTTCATTAAAAGGAAACATAAAATAATACGGAAACAGCCTCCATAAGGAAAGTTGTCTTGGTGGGAAAAAATACAACATGCAAGTACTTCAGCACAAGAAAATTTAGTATACATAATGGAAAGTCAATATAATTGGCATCATTAATTGCTCAATACACTGGTTCATATATCAGGTACAGATGTAGTTCTTTTATAATTTTTTCAGTGAACTCCAAAATAACTGCTCTCACATTAAATAGTTTTCTTCATAAAGCAATGACTCCTATTTGTGAAACATGGTCTCAGGTTCTAATAGGTTAATGTTTGCACATGCAACATGTTTGTGCATTATACATTTGGGATCACAGAAAATTATGTATGTATTTAAAATTAATAATATATTTATAATTAATAACTTTATAACTAAGATACATACAAGTATGATAGTAAGATTATCATTAATGTTTTTAGAATATATTCCAAAGATTACACATTGCCAATCAGCACCATTTTGCCACTGGGATGTTTCGCCGTAAGTACATATTTTTCTTTACATGACTGTATTATGTCTTGCAGTATTATATTAAGTTGATTTAGTTTAATAATTCTGTTTACCTATTGTATATTTAAAAGACATTTTTCTTTATATGCCTATATTATATTTTGTCACATTATATCATTAAGTTTATTTACTTTAATAATTTTATTTATATAGTGTATACCTCTGGCTGTTTTTAAATTAAAAAAAAAAAAAAAAAAAAAAAAAAAAAAAAAAAAAAAAACTTTTGCAATTAAACTTATCTTCTAGAATTACTAAAATCTTACCTAGAATTAATAACTTTTCCCCCAGAAAAGAATTTATTTGGAAGGGTTTATTAATTTTAAGAGAGTAATGTGCTGACAAGATTCCAAGTAATTCTGTTTTCAATTCAGATTTCATAAATTGTAAATTTCCTGCTTGCATGAGCAATTTCTCTGAACTAGTAGATTAAAATTTCAAGCAATTTTTGATGAAACATGTAAATATTGTACCTGCATAATTTTAAAATCGATAATATAACTTCTGTTATATCAGAGGTTTAGCTCCAGTGTCCTATGATACTAACATATTTTTCTAACTATGTGTAATTTCTTCATATCTCATATTTGTAAACAACTATATACAGTCAAAAGTCTTTAATCCGGACTCGTCAGGACTTCAGCGATTCCGGATTATCGATTTTTCTGGATTATAGATCATCAGTTTAAATCTAGTAAGATCGCATACAGAAATTATACAATTAAAAATATGATATCATAATTTATGAAATAAAGAGCAATTGCGATCTAAAGAATATCAAAATTTACAAAAAAAAAAAAAGCTTTATATTTATTTGTTTACTTTATTAAACATTTCTCTCAACGCACACATGCGTAAAGCATACATTACACATAGTCGAAATTAGAAAATTGCAACCAGAAAACTATTTAATGTGTATTCGTGATATTTATAATGAATTTGATTTAAATCATATCAAAGACAGAGTACATCGAGATGAAATACTACATTTAGTAATGAACTATAAGCCAAATAAAATAAAAACATCTACCCTGAAGATAAGGATAGTGCTCATAGATCAATTTTCAGTTCATTGTGCGCCGCGACGTTCTCCCCCCCTCCGCACAGAGCAGCGTGAAATTTATAAACAAAATTTGGAATGGTTAGAGAAACAAAGGATATGCTTTTATCCATTTTTTGCAGCAATTCCACTTTTTGTTTGATGGGTATCGAAACATGCTTTCGATTTGTAGATCCTTTGGCAGTATCCAGTATCGAAAATTCTATTTGACAAAATCAAGTTCAAGCTTACTTTTATAAAATTGCTCTAACAGTCTACAAAAAATAATAAGCCGGACCAAATTCAAAGATTAAGGAACAACGCAATCTGCAGCATTAACTGAAACAGATAATTAGATAATTTTAGCTTAGCTTATACTGTCCGTTATACATTAAGCGCATGCGTAAACGTATTATGCGCATGCATACACGCATGCGTAAAGGTATTACGCGCATGCGTCAGCCCATATGCGCATGCGCAGAAAGTTTGTAGCTTTGAGGTCCGGATTATGGGTATCCGGATTAACGACTTTTGACTGTATATTATAAGCAACCTTTATTACATATACAAAAGGTTAACAGAATCATTAAACTAAATAAATATACAAATAATAAAACTAAATACAAGTATAATATGGCAAGATATAATACAATCATGCAAAGAAAAATATCTTAACGAAGAAGTGGCCATGGTGAAATGGCGATAGCAAAAAGTCCTAGACCCGTCCTCTGGGTAGTGAACATGTTAAAACATAATAACTAAGAATACATTCTCAGCAAAATTTGAAAGCTTGCTTTAAATTCATATAATACATAAAGTTTACATATTCACTGATTAAAAGATACTACAGAACAGTACTACATTACATTGGATTTTGAAGAGAACTAATTGCTTCTTCCGTAGCATCAAAGAAATCTTCGTCGTCACTGCTTGAATATGACGTCTCGGGAACAACCAAATTTAAGTTACTAGGTAGATCTTCTACATAAAATATGAATTTTTATAAGTCCACAAAAAGTGAAATTGTGTTAAAAAAAACAGATAACGAGTTTTCACATTATATTCAGAATAATTATATACTTGATTGGCACAACTAAAGATGGCACATTTTAAAAATTTAAAAAACTGTAATGAAACCCTTCCAAAATAATTCATGGACTAGTGACTGCTTAAGAAAGTGAACAACAACAATTTAATTAAAACCTGAATGAAAAGATATGAAAATATTTTCCTTAAATATAATATATAACTAGTTGTTAGCCGGTACGTGTTGCAATGCTACTTACAGAATGTTTGTTAATGATTTCCATGCACTGACAAACATTCATTTTTATATATACAAAGATGAAAATTAAATTAGCTTAGAAATTCAATTTCATTCTTCATTTCTCATTGTTTGTCACATTTTTATTTTTCATTGTTTGCTTGTCTTTTATATAAACGAAATACTGTAATCATAATTGGCATCGTAATCGAATGAATGCATCAAAATTTATATCAGCGTGCAGTGTTCGTCTGGACTGAGCGGTGCACACTTGAAAAGTTTTCCAATCCTGCTTCCTTTTGCTCATCTGTTTCAGACGAATGGGCTTGAGTAGTGTATACTCAAGCATTTTACAGTCTTGCATCCTGTTACACATTTGTTTCAGATGAATGGGCTTGAGTAGTTCATACTCAGATGTTTCAATACTTTGCAGAGTGGCAATGCAAGGTTTTTAAATCACTGAACTTTTAATCAAAAGTTCATTAAATTAGCACAAAATACCTGAAAATAAAGAGTGCAGACCTCATGGGCTGGTTTTTGAGAAATCTTATGTAAACAGTGACCTTCCTCTTGCTTTGAAAGTCGAGTGAGGCAAGTTTCATAAAGATCAGAATTAAACCATAGATTTGTATAAAAGAAAGACAAATAAACAAACATTTATTTTTATATAGAGAGATTATAAGATTTTCTCTTGAAGTCTTTTATGAGAAACATACACCTTTTCAAAATAAATACTCTATCAACATATGCCATAACATATACTGCCATGTCAGGCATATGTGGCCAACACTTTACCATCCATTAGACACATGAGCTAACAATGCATTTGGGTTTTAAACTAAAATATATTTCAGTCACTTTTTTCAAGTATTATTGTTTTCAATATGACTAATATGGCTTATTACCTCAATTACCACTGGCATTAGCAACTATTACTACATTAGCAGCTGCTAATGGCCAGCTGTGACTAATAATTTTTTTCATTATTATTATTTTATGGACAGGACATTAAAAACATTATAATAGCAATTTCTAAGTATTGATTAATATAATTGTTACCAAAAATTGTAATTTGATCATAATATCTAGATACAATTATTTTTGCTATTACGTGCCATTTATTAATGCAGCAGTATATGTGTTAACTAAGTGTTCATTAGGGTTATATGTGTTTATTAGCATGACAAAAAGTATGTTAATCAATAAAAAAAGTATCTCAAGAAAAAATGAATTTCTTACAAAAAGATTATCAAATATAATGCTTAAAATAATAATAAATATTTACATATTATGGTCTACACTGGTGTGCAAAAATTAAGGACAAGACGGTTTTTTCAATATAACTTTGTACAAAAGCTTTCCAAATCAACACATTTAATACCGTAAAATCCCCAATACGTAAGGACATGAGTGATGTAAGCAACACTTACTAAAAGAGAAATCAGAGGGATAAAAAGAAGCTTTATTGAAAAAGTAGCATGAAGCGCAATGCGACTGAAGGCCGAAACATCCCTGTGATGGGTGTCCAGCAAGAAACATCCGGTCTTTAATAGGGGATATGATCTCCCCTGACTGCTAGGCAGGTTTCACAGTGTCTGCCCATGCTGAGAATGAGAGTGTCAATGAGTTGTTGAGGCATTGCTGCTCATTCGTCTTGCAGCGCCAATCGAAGCTCCGAAATCGTTACTGGTGGTAAGGTAGAGCGGTCAAGCGTCTGCCTAGAAAATCCCATACATGCTCGATAGGACTGAGATCCGGAGATCGTGCCGGCCAATCCATACATTCAATATCCTCACTCTCTAAGAGCTGTTTGACAGCTACTGTGTGATGACATGGTGCATTGTCGTCCATGAAGAGGAACTGCGGACCCATAGCACCTCTAAAAAGATGCACATATGGAAGAAGAATCTCTTTACAATAACGGGTCCCGTTGACTGAACCTGCATCGAAGATGTGAAGGTCTGTACAACTACCAAGCATGATGCCTCCCCAAACGAGAACACCACCACCTCCATACCTGTCCCTTTCAATGATGTTCGAGGGATGACTGCTTCCCCGCTCTCTCCAGGTGAGTATGCGATGAGAATCGCTACTCAGACTGAATCTGCTCCCATCTGTAAAGAGTACTCGTCCCCGTTCATTGTCTCTCCAATTCCGGTGTTCCCGGCACCACAGAGAACGCCTTCTCCGATGGGCAGGCGTTAGAGGTACACACCGTACAGGGCGTCGTGCAAACAAACCACCATCGTGCAGTCTTCTGGTAAAACGCGATATCGGTCGTCCAGTCGCCTGTGTCTAGCGATTTCTCCCGCTGTCTACCGCCTGTTTCTTCTGGCCTGTAAGGCAATATACCTGTCATCTGCGGGTGTGGTTCCTCGTGGACGACCACTACTAAACCCACGGATAGCTGTTCCTGTAGTTTGAAATTGTCTCCAAAGTCGTGAAACGATGCTGTGAGCAATTCCGAACTCTGCAGCCACACTTGTCACACTGCGGCCTTCCTCCAACTTCCCAATGATTCGACCTCGGGTAAAAGCATCCAGATGTCGTCTAACAGATTGATTATTCGCCATTTCTCGCTGAGGCAGCAACTCGGTGTGATTTTAACTGCTATACGGCGTGCAATCTCTTTGTCAGAAATACTGATCTTACACCGACAACATGCTTTATACTACTCAGACACTCCCCCATTACGTCTACCTGCATATCTGCGCATGTGCTACCGTACATCACCTTACTGAATCTCCTGATTGGTCTTTCTGTCCGCTCTGCCTCTTCGTTCAGCTGATATGCTAATTTTTCGACTTCGTCCTTAATTTTTGCACACCAGTGTATATGCTATGAGCTTATAATTTGCTGTTTTTTAATAAAAAAAATTATAACACTGCACATTCAAAAAACACAAAGATTTTGGTACTTCCTTATTATTACAGCCCCTGTATTTTAAACATCAAAGTAGCGCCATGGTTACTACCAAATTCACGTTTATTTTTCACATACATTCTATGACTGACATGTTTCTGTGCTACTTTTTAATGTGACATTGGAAGCATTCTCCTGTTCCAAGGATTTCCCAAGGACAACTTCTGCAAGGTAAGACTCATGATGATAATCAGCTCAGCTTTGCTGATTTTTATTTTGCCGCTCAGGCAAGCACGACAGTCTTTCAACATTCTCTGCAGATGAGCAGTTTTTGTTGGATCTGCAAAATGGAATTTATGGTTTGCAGTAAAATGCCGCTAACCTTCATTTTATAGTTTTTCTATTTTATGTGTTTGTTAACAGTTTGAATAAATTGTCAATCCTTCTTATATATGGTTGACGACTTTTGCAATGAGTGCGATTCCTCTCTATTCAGAATCAGAGAAGGAGAGAAAGAATTTAGAATTTCCCCATGCAAATAGATTTTTGGTTATATCCACAATTATTCAGAGCCACCTAGTTGATTATTTGGCTGGTGTAAAGAATGCAACTCTCTTATAAAATTGTTTCAGTCAATAGTTGTATTTTATAAAGGATAAGTTGCTTCTTCCACCACTTAATCCATATCAGGTTTTCAGTCTAACATAAACTGCCACACTATTATAAACAGCATTCTGAAACAAGTTGTTAAAACACATGCTTTTCCAATTCATGTTGCATCTCAAATGTTTCACTGACATATAATTTTGTTTAATGGCCATCTCGAATATGAGGTAACTACTCTTAAAAGAATGATATAACATCTGCTCCCACTTCCAGGTAAATTACACATTTTTATCATTTGAAAAAAAAAAAGGTTTAATACTCGTGATGGAAGAGAATTAATGCATTTTCGATTATCTTGCATTAATCTCTTCTTGTGATGAAAAAATTAGAAGTGATTTTAAGTTCTTTAAAAATATATGAAAAAAGAAAATTTGACAACATATGGTTTACTGAGTTCTTATCAAGAGCAAATTGTTGTCAGCTGTTTGAAGATGATCTCTACTTGTGATTTATGGAAAATTTTAGCATCATTTACAAAAGGTTGTAACAATAAAAAAGTACCAAGAATAGTTTTTAAATTAAAAAATTTCTTTAGCACTTGGAGAGTTACAACAAAATTTCCAATACATACAGGTTACGTTATTCAAAAATGGTACCTTTCTAAGTATAACATAACAGTGAGTATAATGTGCTAGATATCAAAATACAAAACAGAAGTTACATATCCAACAAAAAAGAGACTGATTTTAACAAATATTTCTAATACTACAAGGTCTGTCTATAAAGTAATAGGACTGGCTCAAAAAAAGATATTTATTTACAATTTAAGGCAAATCTATTATTTGTCTCCTTTGATGTATTCCTATTTGGCCACTCACACATTGAACCATTTTTATTTCCCACTGGTTGAAAGTGTGTTACAGTTCATTTCCTGATAACTGTTTCAACAGCTGTGACATTTTCTTCTTAACAGGCCCCAGTGACATCAAATGGGTCCTTTTCAGCAAAGATTTTATTTTTGGAAAAATGAAAAAGTCACAGGATGCTAAATCAGGGAAACATGGAAGAATTTTCCAGTGTTGCAATCTGCTGTTCAATCAAAAACTGCTTCGTGGAAAGCACTATGTGTGAAAGAGCACTGTCTTGATACAGGATGAAACTATTCTGCCTAAGTTATGGTGCTTAAAAAAAAAAAAAAAAAAAAAAAAAAAAAATCTGAGAACTTTCAGATTTTACATAAAGCTGAAAGGGGTGTTTTTTTAACATTTTGTGTGTTACCTTTATTTATTAAATATCCTGTTCTTCACACTTAAACCATAAAATTCAGTTCAATGGCAATATTGTAAAATAATTTTTAAATGAACATATGTTTAGAATTTCCCATACACAGTCTCGCACACTAGAGATAAAAATGTTCCTTTTTTGATGCAGTGTTGCCATTGCTAGCTTTGAAATTGCTTTATTTGTTAATCAAAAACTTGTTAAGTTTTACAAAATATGAAACAGACAATAAAACAAATACCAAATGTTGGCTTCCAGATGCCCATATTTGGGTAAAAACGTATGTTATTCATAATTGGATGGCTCTAGGTACCGTTGTTTTATCACAATGAGAGAAACATACATACATTTATGCACATTCTTCATTATTTAATTTCTTTAAATATAATACATGGCTCTAATATTTGGAGGTAACAATTTGAAAAGGGAACCGACATTTCAGCATAATATATATAATATTTCAGCATAATATATATAGCGAATCAATGCAAAATGTCAAAACAAAATTAGAAGTCCTTCTGAGCAAATTGCCCCTTTGAATTTAAAAGAAAACTTTCTCTCAATCAAAATTTCTTTATAGTAATACTGGCTCACTGTCTTGCCTTTTGATACTCACTCTTCCACAATCATGGCATTAATATTAAAAACTGCTATCGACAATGTTTTAATTTTAGATTTGTCCAGATGAAATTTTTAGATTTTGGGGCAAGCATGAGTTTCCCAATGTATGGTTGTCTTCTTGTTATCGTCCCCATGTTATCTGACTCTCATTACATCCAAAAGGACCAAAAAGTTATTTGATAGACAGACCTTGTAAATGTAATAAAACAACAAGCTGGAAATTTTGGTACTTATATATATCTTAGCACTACCCTCTTAGTAAAATTTGTCTTATTTTCAGATTGAATCAAGCTCTGTAACCCGGCTCAAATGAATTTACAATACCAACCTAGTATAGCAACTTCACATAAAAAAAAAAAAAAAAAAAAAAAAAAAAAATAATTGAAAAAATAATTTCATAATACATTTACTTAAAGCTTATAAATAATGATAAGTTTTTACTGAATCTTTTACTTATATGCATGCTATAACAGAAATAATGCACTTATAAACTATAACAGGAGTTTTCAAACTTACTTTCAATATTAATGTCTTCACTACACTCCACAGCTCGTTCAATATTACCCTCGTGATCATGGCCTGAAACCTGCTTCAAACCTCTTTCTAAAGGCCAAAATATATGTAAGCTTTAAGATCAACAGTATATATAAAACAGTATGCCAAGAGTATAGATTAGATAAAATAGAGCACTGCATTTCAAACAAATAACCAGTTCTTACAATAACTAATACAAAAAAAAAAAAAAAAAAAAAAGCTAAAGTCTTTAAAAATGTATTTACTTGGTACACTTTGCTTTATTAAATAACTACCTTTCCAGATAGGTATTCTAAATGTTCTACTAAAGATGTTCTACTAAAGAAGCATAAAAATTTGTAATTTGTGCTGTTAAAAACTGTTAAACTTATGATTTTTAAAAAAGGCGCATTTTAGATACAAGCTTTTTGGTGATATTTTCCCACAGTCTTGGATAATGCAGAAAACACAGCAAATCCAAAGGTAAATTTTTACTGTCTCAGAGGAAATAACGATGAAACAGCCTTCTCAGTTTCCCTCTCAGTCTATTCAAGGTAAAAGGGGGCTGAAATAACCTGTAGGCAGATTTTAAGATTTTTGATTCCTGGTTAATACTTAACTGAATTTTAAATATATTTTTATTTTGATGCATTCTTTTGAAATGCATAACATTTTTATATTACTAAGCTAATGATAGCACAAGATGATTGAAAAATCGTTCTTATTACTATTATTACTGTGATTAGCATTAATTATCATTATTATTAATATTAGCATCCCTATAACTTTATATGTAGGTAAGTGCATTAACCTTTGAGGTGCTTGGTTTGTATGATAAGTACACATTAATCCTCCATTTTTCATGTGTAGACTGAGAGCCATTCTTTTATGTGAACTTCACACCCAACCCTCGCAGGATAAAAATAATAAATACAAGTGAACTATATGAGGAACTCAGTATATGAATTTGTATATATAGTTATGTTACATTCTTAATTCATTATTCAAAATTATGGTACATTAAACATACTCATAAAAGTATTCAATGGAGAAGTTACAGTTGAAATTTTCGCAGTGAAGATTAGTATTATTTTCTTATGGCAATGCTGTAATTATGATTAATATAAGTAAAACAAATGCTAAATACAATTACATGAGTAAAGTTACATTATGTAACAATTATTCATATTTTACTCTGGCAATTGGTTGGGAGGCTACAAGAAGTTAAGGCTCATTCTATTTTCTAACTACTGTTTAGCTGTTTCTAAATTATACGAAGCTAAGGAAAATGATCATGCGACAATTTTGTTTTCAATTTCTTGCATTTTCCTTATCCTTTAAAAAATGTCCCTTCAGTAATTCAGATTCAAAAATCAATCCATCATTTTGCTGCACCAATAGCCTCACTGACTGGCACTTGTTCGCCCGCATATCTGAGCATGAGTCACCAAGAGTTACATTTTTTTCCACTACTGACCACCCTACTAAATATTCATGTTTAGGCATTTTTAAATGTAAAGACACCAATCATGTAAAAAATCACGAAATCTAACATTTTACATGTCCACTTGGTCACTATACTTGGTCACTATTTAAGAAAATTTCAAACTCGCCCCCCCCAAAAAAAAACACACAAAAAGTTTCATTTCCATGAGACAAAAATTAACTGAGATATTTAATTTCAAAATCTGCAATTTTTGACCGTATTGAGGGCTCGACTAGCAAATAAATTATAAAATTTGAGGTCGATTTTTTCCCCTTAAATGCTATATTCTGATACTGTTTTGTGATTTACGAGAGACTTTAAATTATAATTTTATTATATTTGATATGCTGAAAGAATTTTCAAGCAAGTAATTTACAGTTTTCGGTCTAAAAAGTTTTTAAAGTCAGTAAAAGAGTTTTTTTTTTTTTTTTTTTTTTTTTTTTTTTTACTTTAGAATCATAAACTAGTTAACATTTAAAAGAGTGATTAAATTATAAAAATTTTTCATTTTTAATTAATGCAAATATAATTATGCCCCAGCTGCATGCCAATACTGAAGCCTGCCAGTGTTTGCTAGAATACAAATTCTATTAAGATTCTGTGAATAAGATCTTCATTTTGAAAAAAAAAAAAAAAAAAATTATAGTGATCAACATTGTTCAATCGTATTATTGATCAATATTACAAAATTATATTGATCAATATAATTTTATATTTTCAATCAATATAATATAGCTCAATATTGTTATTATATTGATCAAAACTGATAAAAAAATTATTTAATCCGGACTCGTTGGGACTTCAGCGATTCCGGATTATTGGTTTTTCCGAATTACAGATCATCAGTTTAAATCTGGTAAGATGGCATGCAGAAATTATAAAATAAGAAATATGAAACCGTAATTTATGAAATAAAGAGCAATTATGATCTAAAGGGTAGAAAAATTTTCCAAAAAAAAAAGCTTTATATTTATTTGTTTACTTTATGAAACATTTCTTTCAACGTGGGCATGCGTAAAGCTTACATTACGCATAGTCGAAATTAGAAAATTGCAACCAGAAAACTATTTGATGTGTGTTCGTGATATTTATAATGGCGAGGAATTTGATTTAAATCATATCAAAGACGTAGTACATCGAGATAAAATACTACATTTAGTAAGGAATTATAAGCCGAATAAAATAAAAACATCTGCCCTGAAGATAAGGATAGTGCTGACAGATCAACTTCCAGTTCATTGCGTGCAGCGTCGTTGACGCATGCACAGAAAGTTTGTAGCTTTGAGGTCTGGATTATAGATCATTCTGGATTAAAGACTTTTGACTGTATATATATTTTAATTATGTAGATATGCAAACATTTCACTCTTCTTCTTGTGCATGGCCCCTAAATGTGATCTGCAGCTTTAATACCAAATATCTTGATAATTTTTTTTTTTTTTTTTTTTTTTGTTGAGGAGTCAAACTTTCTGTGTTTAATTTTTTATAACATGTACAAAAGTTTACTAAATGTAAATTTAGGAACTGGGCAATGTATAAGAAATTACATTTCCTATTTTATACAAAACTCATTTTTTAAATTTGAAAATACAATGTCTTGCATCATTTAAAATATTTTTTTAACTGTAAGTATATGTTTACAACCACCAACTGCTAAACTAAAGGCCAGGTAAGGACATTTCTGGACATGGCATATATAAAATTTAAGTATATAGTATATAGTTCAACTATATAATTAAAAATAGGATCATATAAAGTTTATTAAATAAAAAACTGCACCAAAAACTAATACACCAAATTACATAATAAGAAGCAACAAATGATACAATAAGAAGTAATTAAATGATAGCATGAAAACTCTTCACATGTTGACTATCATGGCAATTTTCAGGACTCTGCTCTTAGAAACTAATTTAAATTAATTGAAACTCAGTTTTGATCAATATAATAACAATATTGAGCGATATTAAATTTGAAAATACAAAGCTTTGCATCATTTAAAATATTTTTTTAACTGGAATTCTATGTTTACAACCACCAACTGCTAAACTAACCCCTTCGCGCCGACTGCCACGTCTACATGCCAGCAATGAACACACTCATTTCCTGGCCAAAACGCAGGCGTGCCAGAGCGTTTTCCTGTTCAGCCCCGACTGTCACGTATTTGTGCCAGTGTCTTGGAATGTTTTAATTCCAAGACACTGCCCGCAGGCGTGTCCGGCCGACTGGCCGACACGCAGGCGTGCCAGAGCACTGTTGCGTTTTCTACCGAATGTCACGTATTTGTGCCAGGACCTTGGAACGTTTTTCAAACTATAATTTCTGCCACAAGATGGCACTGTATGTCCATATGGTTTCAGATACATGTACATTAGACCTTCTACTCAAAATGAGAGAAGCATGACTCACGTGTTTTTGATTACATAAACAAAAGGGGAAATAAATGTTTCCGAATGGCGTGATTTATGACGTCTCTTTAAATTCGCATGTGGTAGTTGTTTATTGTAAGTAGAGAAGTTTTATTTTCGCTAAAGCGTTGGATATTTCGGTTTGCAGTTCAGTTTTTAGAAAATAATTAGATCTTGTTAGACATGAATTCTTTCTGTTTTTACCGTTGCAATGCCAAAGCGTCGAAAATGTTTAACAGAGCATGAAATAGCAGAAATGATGCAAAATATTTCAGATATTTATTCTGAAATTTTGATATTCTGATATTGATTCTGAAAGATTAACTGAAAGACATTTTCCAAAACTTTGTTCAGAAGAGACTGATAAGAAAATGAGACGACGATGATAAGAAAATGTCGCTGCTTCATTCCCGGAAAAATCCTCCAAAATGGCAAATGAGTTATTATGAGTGCACGGAATGTAACGTAGGACTATGTGTAGATCTCTGTTTTCAAATTTTTCATATGAAAAGAGAATTTTAAGTAATATATTTAATTTTCAGATGTATAATGTTAAAAGTCATAAAATGGTGAGTAATGAAAATAAAATGAGTAAAATATGCATTTAAACAAGAATTAAGGTAATTAAAGTATATATAAAAATATCTATAACTATAACCTTATTAAAGTTTATTAAAACTAGATTTCAGGAATTTCATTATTTATATGGTATCGCACCAATACGAATAAACAGCATTTGACACAACAATGCAACTCAAGCACTCAAGCAATAAAATATATGCACTCAAGCAATAAAAACATCAAGAAACATATTATTTCTATCTAATTTGTGAAAAGAAACCAGCCTTTAATGAGAAAGATTGTTTTAAAAAACATCACAAAAAATAAAATCATTTCTCACTTGTTGATTTTTACTTTGATTAAATAATAATACTGAAGTTAATAAAATATTTTATGCTTATATTCCTTATTCATTTATTACATAAATTTTCAGTTCATGTAAATATTTCATTTTCATTTTTATATTTTTTTCCAGAAGCCAACTTTCCTTATATACATGGACAGTCTAACAATCCAAAAGAACATGCAGAAAAATTATAAGCAGTCACTTGTATTGGATGTCCTGGATAATAACATAAAGTATGAGTTATCACGTAGGTAGCCTTCAATGTGTCAAAAGAAGGAAATTATGTGGCATGTAAATATGATTATCTAAGATAAATAGTAACATTACAAAAATAAGTTTAGCTGATAACAAGTAATTCTGCATTTTACTAGATAGACTATAAATGCAATTTTCCATTTTGATTTTGATATTTGTTTCCAGAAGCCAACTTTACTTACATATATGGACAGTCTAGCAATCCAAAAGAACATGCAAAAAAATTATAAGCAGTCGCTTGTAATGGGTGTCCTGGACAATAACATAAAGTATGAGTTATCATGTAGGTAGCAGTCAATGTGTTAAAAGGAGGAAATTATATGGCATGTAAATATGATTATCTAAGATAAATAGTAACATTACAAAAATAAGTTTAGCTGAAGAGCAATCTGAATACTGATTGCATGAAAGTATACATGCAATAACAAGTAATTCTGCACTTTACTAGATCGACTATAAATGCAATTATGTGAAATATAACTAAAAGGCATTAAAATAAAGCTTATATAAATCACAGGAAAATTTTTACATAAAAACTTTAAAAATATTTATGATTTACAATACTACTATCTAACTTTAATTAAATCAATGGGGAAAAAATGTTTCTTGAATTTTGATTTCATTGATACTAAGCTATTATAAACTATTATTGTTTAAAGCAGTTGTACTACCATTTTATTTAAATTTGTTTCTATGAATTTTAATATGTGAAAAAAAAACTGCATTTGCTAATTAGGCTACTTATACAAAAATTGATTAGCTTAAATTCCACCCCAATTTAAGGGTCTCAAAACACTCTTCCTTCACGCCTATTCAGAGATTATGATTAACTTCAGCTGAACTGATTCTGAATACTGCGTGAATTTATTGCATAATTATGAACATGTATATAGAATGTTAGCTAATTTCTCTCCCAATACTATTTAATGATATTAAAAAGCCACAATATTCCAAAATAGCATTTTCAAATGGTTCAATAGCATAAGAAATAACTTTTACTAGTTTACTTACTGCTATTTATGAAAAAACTAGCAGCTCTGGTGCCAGCCTTCGTCTGGCATTTAAATGTATCGGAAAAAATGGCTGAAGGGAACACCAAACGTTAAATTTAAAAACTGCGTAGAATTTTACTCTGCAGAACAACTTCATAAAAAAGAAGTTATTATGTATAACAAAATTACAATGAAATAAGCAATATCCCTTTATACAAATGTTAATTATCCTAATAAATAAATTAACCAACTTCCCTTTGCAAAATCTTAAGGACTCAAATGGTATAAAGGAGGTTAAGAACTTCGTTTCCTAAAAAAATCACTCAAAACTTTTCAATATCTTCAAAACAGTGAAATGAGCAATAAATAACATAAAAAGAATACAAAAAAAAAAAAAAAAAAAAAATTCTGAAAAGCAAGGTATAATTAATGATATTTTATCTTATATTTTCAAGAGAAAAAAATACAATGAAATAAGCTATATCCCTTAATACAAATATTAATTATCCTAATAAAAAAATTATCCAACTTTCCGTTGAAGGAAAAAAAAATCATGCAAAACTTTTCAATATCTTACAAACAGTGAAATAAGCAAAAAATAACATGAAAGCAACTCAAAAAACATAAAATTCTGCATAGAATTTTACTCTGCAGAACAACTTTATCAAAAGATAAACCAATAAAAATGTATTATATATATATATATATAAATGACAATGAAATATGCCAATCTCTTAAAAACACCGATATAAGAAATACGATGAAAAATTGTTGCCAAACCTGTATTTCTAAAAGAATGAAACTATTCAAAATGATGCGATTTCATAAAAAATCTACCAACAACAATAAGACAGGAAAATTGTTGCCAAATCACATTTTTAAAGATGTGAGATGTGAGAAGTGTACTTGGAAGCTTCATTTAAAAAAATTTTTAAAAATACAAAATATTATCATTTTTCTAAAATTCTTTTTGTAAAAGCAGTCACAAGGATGAAAGTTTAACGTGTCCAAAAATCAAAGAAAAATAAACTGTACATTTTTTAAAATAAACCTTTTTAGAAAAAATCCCATTGAAAAGGTGTTAAACTCCATTTGCGATTTATTGAAATACGAAATTTATTTTAAGTTCGTAAAATAACTAAGTGCCTACGTTTCATGACGATGTGAAAATGGAGTGTGTAGAGTAAAATCTCGCTTTCCTATAGCCCCATCATTCCTCAAAATGACGCGATTTCGTCACAAAACATAAAATAAAAAAACATTCTAATTCTAATTTCGAAAAAATCACTTCGAGGTGCACTGGCTCTTCTCTAGATGCACCTATGTACCAAATTTCGTAGCCGTGGGTCTTATTAGCTTACGCTCAGCGCGAATGAAAGACACACACAGACTGACTCTTTCTTTTATTATATGTAGAGATAAATAGTCTAAAATTTTGCTTCAGAATTAACTTACTTTGTTCTTCACCTGTGGAATGTTTTAAATTGATATCAGAATTCTTAGGTCCATTTATGCTATAAATTCCATTTACGGGATGAGTTGTATTCTGAAAATATAACAAAGTGTCACTTGCAGAATTCATAAGAATTTTCAGTAACATTTGTAAATCTATGTAAAATTTATATCAGGCACATTTCTTGATTTATTCATTCACAATTATTTCACTCACATCTATAAAAAATTAATAATAAAAGAAATGCTTTAATGTTCACTCAAAATAACATCAAAGAATACCCCCCCCCCCCACACACATTTGGCACTGATTTAAAACTTTTAGTGTTTATTTCCTTGATAATAAACATATTAAGTTCTATGTAGCTGGCTAATAGAGAAACAATTATAAAGTATTTTATTTGTACTGTATAGTTGATGTACAGTACAAACCAAACCTATAACCATACAAATTTGAAAACCTATAACATTTTACACAACATAAATATATGCTTCCTACTTTTAGAGATATATAAATGGTGTTCATTTTATTGATTTATAAATGAAGATAAAATCTGAAGATAGAGTTTTTCACAACATTCCCAACGTCATGGTTGACATCCATGAAATGGCGTAACAAACAGCTTAATATGTGCAAAAGTGCTGCAGCTGACTGGAAAATTTATATGTGATAAAATAATAATAATAAGGATATGGATTATTAAAAATTTTCTTAGGAAACAACATGCGAGTATTATTGTTATTATTAAAGTATGTCGTTTATTTTTTCATTCGCGCTTCAAGAGCTTGGCGAAATTATAGCCGAGATCTTGGTGTAAATCTAAAATCGCCAAATATAGTTGTTTGCCACCATAACAAAGAAGTACCTCTTTTAATAATATTATTAAAGACACAAACTACCCCAATAACATTAATAAAGTTTTGGCCCCCATCAAGTTTCTTAATTTCTTCCTTCTTTTTCAGAATAGTGAAGACTGTTGATATTGAATGGCTGTCAGTCTTTGCCAATTCTGTCACTCGTACACCATGCTTATGTTTATCTACAATTTCTTTCTTAATTTCAATGACCATGGCTTCCTTCTTTTTCTTTGCAGCACTATCTAAGGCAAATATCTTCTTGGAAGGCATCGTGAAATAATTATTTTCACATTAAATATAAAAACAATTAACTCAAAAATGCACAAACACATAGATCAAAGAACACTGAGGGATCTGACAAAAGGATTCCCCGAGTCGAGCCGGATCGGGAAATGGTGCCATGCATACGAACAGCCTGGCTTCTTGCTCATTAGTTGAGTCAATGCTCCTATTTAAAGATGAATTTTTTGCTCACACTTTCTTCGTATCTCAAATTTCTCATATACAGAGGTGCTTGTATCTCGAGGTTCCACTGTAAATGTTTATTAAAAAACATTTGCAATATTGGCAGTTTCTGAATTGCCAATGGCAATCTTATTGCAGATTTGGTAGCACACTGCAAGTGCACTTTACAGATTTTCAAAATAAACCAATTTCTGATTTTTCTAAATTTTCCACAAAGAGTTTAGTGTTTATCTATGTTAGGTCTTTAAATAATCCTTCTGCTACATTTTGATTTCAAAATCAGAAAATTTGTGAAAAATAGAGTTGTTATTCAGATTTTTTCTTCACGTGTAAAGAAAATGAAGCTCAAGATTCAACTATTATTCTTATCTGAAAAATTTAAGAAAGATGATATCCAAAAGCTTTGAGACATTCAAGATTATTCGGTACTCTTCTATTAACGAGACCGGATTTAGAAATGTATGTATGTGTATGCAACCATATGCACATATATGCATAGTTATATGCATACATATATACATATCTGAATCCGGCCCCTGTAACAGAAAAGTGCCAATTATTTAGCAAATGTAGATATCCCTCACATATACTTTTTTACTCTGCTTTGCCTTGCTTTGAGATATTAAAAAAAAAAAAAAAAATAAATTCTGAAGCATATAACAATTTTCAAGCAAGTTTGTTAACATATTTAAAATTTCTGATTTTTATTGGTACTTTTATTGTTTTGTTTTATTTATTTATTTATTTTTATACATCATCTCTCATTATTTGAAGGGCTCACCAGCGGTCGAGCGGAAAAGTCACTGAACACTGGTAAGTTCGGTCCGAGGTTCGAATACCACGAACGGACTGCCTGCATGGGTGTCTTCGTGGTTTTTCCCATGCGTAATGTGTATATGAGCCAGTTTCCCTTAGAAAGTCCTCCATGAAGGCATCACTTCCCTTAGGCAGATAGCCCTCGAGACTTGGCCATAATTAAATAACCTAACATTATTTGAAGCAAACTATTCCTCTTTATTAATTTACTTTTAATAACATTAACTTATCTTACTTATGGATTTCATATTATTAACAAATTCAACTGGATTATATTAAATTTTATGGATGCATCAGCAACATAATAAAATCCTATCTATTAAATAATTGTTCAAAGAACTTTGTGATAATTATATTTATTTTGAGAAAAGGGATTCAATAACAACAAAATTTAACAATATCAGTAAATTCCCAATTTTTTCTCAGTTTTTTATGATCATCATTACAATTACTGCTGAATCAATCAAAAAATAGTCAATAAGTACAGCATAGCTGCAAAAACACTTCAGGAAAAATACATAAGCACTTTTTTTTTTCCCTAAATATACAAGTTACATCAATTAAAAATAATAGCAAGGAATAGTACAATTCCTGAATACTACTATTTCCTAAATAGAACTTTTATATAAAGTGTTGCGGTATATATAAATAACTAATTTTGCTATAAAATACAATTTTAAAAATTTAATAAATGTATCATCACAAACTGAACATTGATCACATACTTTAGCTATTTGCAAAAGAACTATGGAATGCTTCACTGCCTCAAGAACACTCTGTGGAAGAAATTTAAAATGAATTAAAGAATGGTTTTTAGTCAAAATAGTCACATAAATATGAATCAGAAATTAAATTATTAATTTTTTGGTACTTTTCTGTTAACAGGGTGCCCCTTTATGTCAAATGTAAATGTTAACACTAAATCTAGTTAGAAAGATGACAGCAATTTTAATGATACATAAAGCTTCATGAAAAAAAAAAATCATATATATAATAGAAAAAAAAAAAAAAACAGATTTATAAGAGTATATAATAATTTCAAATACACAAGAGTATAAATAAGTATACACACAAGAGTATAATAAATATAGATGTATATTTATTATATACTCTTGTGTACATAATAAATATACACGAGAGTATAATAAATACACAAGAGTATATAATAATTTCAAATACACAAGTTTTATAATAATTTCAAATTACACAAGATTATAAAACTACCAATTTCGTCTAAAATTGGCAAAAATATCTGCATTTTTCTATGCAATCACTCCCTGTGAATTCAATGAGGTAGGAATATAGATGGTGGCAGGCAATGCCACAGTGATATTTATTTTGCCTTTTTGCACATTGCATTCCATATCAGGATCAAGAATATTATACTTAAGAGTTAATTTCTATGTGTTTAAATCCAGCAGGTGCCAATTCATCTGCTTAAGCAACTGAAATTCAATGAGAGAAAATTCCTGGATTGATGTTCATTCTTCCCACTTAATTCAATGACATCATTGTACAACTATTCAAAAGGCAATATAAACACGGTACCACATTTGGTGTTTTGGCATACACTTCATGATTAAACAGACAGAAAAGTAAAAATATTTTATCCCAAAAATAAAAGTATTTCTTTGCACTAAAAACATTTCTCGTTATACAGCTGTGAGATTCACCAATGCATGAAATTGACAAAATGAGGAACAGAGAAAAAAGTATGCTTTGCATTTTTTCTTCTACCAAAAAATACCATAAAAACTGTAACTTTTTTTTAATCTATTTCTCTCAATAACCTATTACCCTCTTGTCTAATTTTCCAACAAATATTAGCTAAAGGATTATAAGGTATTTCTCCCACCTTCTTGGCGTGCCTTCGTGATTTGCACGCTAGGTGTGTATTTCAGAGGTTAGTGGTTTCTGAATATCTGCACTCCTCAATGAAAAACCACAAACTCACCGGTGACTTTGAAGAGCATTCATAAACTTGTTGGCAAGTTTGGACACAGCAAACTCATTGGCAACTAATTTTTCGCCAAGTTAATGTGCAAAAGGCAACAGGAATTTTAAAACTAATGGAACATTAAGAATACAATACAAAAGTACTGGTAATAAAGCATTTTTTTTTTCAAAAAAAATATTTCTTTTCTTCTACTATCATTCTCCCAATGTATACAGCTCAAAAATGGCAATACAGCTCAAAAATGGCAAACAGAATGGGACAATAGTCCACATGATTTTCTCCCAAAAGTCTGCACCTCACAGCACACTAGATATATCAGTGAACATGGCCCATTCCCCCGAGTACTTCTTCACTCCAGCCATCATGAACACGGACCTTTGCATTTGCGAAGCACAAGGAAGCCCTGACTACTATGTCACGGAATGTCCACAAACCGAAAGGTTCCATATCAGAATGCCTTCCACCAACATCAATCCATTTGGATGGCTTGTATTGAGAACGCCAGCTCTACAACATCATTAACCTGCTAATGTCATCAGGACAGGATATTGTGGGCACAAACTAAGTAAAATCTCTGTCAATTTTCTTCCTGAAATGCTTTCACAGTGTCTGTACGAGCAAATGTATGATATTCTCTACCACCAGAGACAGTGCTAATGAGTGCCACCAATTGCAACAGTAATAAAATAGGTAATTAAGTATTCAAGCTTATATGATTTTATGTATTCAGTATAAGCTATAATACACAGGTATATTATATATATGTATATTATATATATATATATATATATATATACAGTCAAAAGTCATTAATTCGGACCCATAATCCGGACCTCAAAGCTAAAAACTTTTTGCGCATGCGCCGCGTTGACCATGCGCATAGGCGTTTACGCATGCGCATAAGACCTCTTACTGTTGGAAAATACAGCTTATTTTTAAACCTTTTACTGCATCATCTGTCCTCCTTGAAATGTTTATTTAGGCTTAGTTCTTATTTTTAATGTAATATAGTAGTTACTTCTACTTCGCTTTTTCTTGCTGCCACTGTTTGCATTGAAAACGGACTGTTTCAACCTAATTAAGATGGAAAAACGAAACGTGATGTTACGTCATCTGGAAAAGCCGAGTCGTGCCGATAGCTGATTGTTGCCGTGAGATGACGTCATGCCTACTTTTGCTATAAGTATCTTGCGTCGCTCTGGCTCAACCCTTCTAGTTCCTGGTTTCCCGGCTAGTGAGTAAGCGGTTTCCAGCCCCTTCAAGGATGCATGCAGTCCGGTGAAAGAATGCCTTGATTCCGGTTTGATGGTTCCAGATTAAAATTCTTCGAGGCTGTCCTGTGAGTAAATGCCGTGGGCGGCATCCATATTTCTTCAATGAGGGAGGAATTAAAAATACGTGAGCGGCAACGACTCCTTGTGCAAACGAAGTTAGGCCGGTTTTTAAGTGGTTTCACATTTAAATTTTCAGTGTTTTCTTGACCATTGATTTATGGACTTATTGATGGGTAGCCTGCTTTATTTTTTTTAGGCTGCAAGTATTCATTTTTAGGACATAATTCATGTTTTGTGTTTTTTTTTGTTTGTATTGAATGCCAGTGTTTGGAGACCAGGTAAAATATTATTGATGAATGATGATTATGTATGTGTTTTTCCTAATACTCTATATTGTTTGACATTTATTTTATGTGTTTTTTATTTTTTATTATATTGTTAATAAATTGGTTAAGTTCAAAATCTTTTATTGTCTTCAATGTCTGCACAACATATCTCAGGGAGCTTTTATTGCTACTACCTAAACTGCTAATGTTTAATTTCTTTAAACTTTGCTTTAGCATCATTTTGGTTATGGGCCCAGTAGCCCTGAGTTATTTTTAGTGCAGACTTTTGAAGTTTTAAAGTTAATTTAGGACTTAAGAGATTGGGGGGCGGCGGTTTTTGTTAAAATTCAAATATGGCTACTGTTAGTGTCATGCATAATATTGCTAAACTTGATGCATGTAATTATTTTACATGGTCCAAAGATATGAAGTTTGTCTTGAATGAAAAAATGCATGGCTTTTTGGTCAAAGGTATTGAGAAAATGTCCTGATTTGGATGATGTTTAAGGGTATTACAAAAGAAATTATTGCCGACTATCAAAATAGAAGTCGATTGGCATTATCGTTAATTTATATGAATGTAAGCCCTGAAATATAGAAACTTTGATATGTGAAATTGATGACCCGGTAGTGGCATGGAATACCTTTGCCAAATACTTTCCAGCCAGATTATCGGTCAAGACATATGTCCCTGTTTTCAGAGTTCTTAAATTGCAAAATCAAAGCCAAATGAAAGTATTAGTTTCTTTTCTTCTTCTAGATTAAAACACGTAACTGAACAGTTAGCTGATATTAATCAGGCTGTAAGAGACGTATATATATGTTTCCAGTTTCTTAGGTTTCCTTCCAGATAAATTTGATCAAGTAGTTCAGAATATTTTGAGGTGGCCAGATGAAAGTTCATTTTTAAAAAATGTTGAACTTGAAATTCTAGCAGAGGAAACGCGTCTTAATTTAAGAGAGATAGATAGGGAAAACTCCAATAAGACTATAGAAGTTCAAAGTACTCACTGTGGAACCCAAATTTAAGCAGATTAAAGGGCTCAAGTGTTATAAATGTGGCCGTCCAGGTCATATTCAAAAATACTGTAGAATGAAGGTAATTTTTTCCAGATCACCCTCACCTGCTTCTTCTGTTTCCTCAGCTGTATCTAGTAGTAATAAAACATCTTCCTAAGTGTAAGAATAAACCCAAGTTGAGTAAAAGGTAAAAATAATTCCCATGCACAGTCCCATTTTATAGCTCAAGCCAATGTTAACAATTTGGAAGAAAATGATGATAGTTGGATTTTTGATACGGCTGCATCTCATCATTTTTGTAAAAATCGTGAATTGTTTTGATACTTTTTCTCCTGTGAAAAATGAGAATATGCTAGTAGCTATTGATGGGGTAACTTTTCCAATTCATGGGAAGGGTACTGTTAAAATGAAATTTGGGGATACGGTTATTTTGCTTTAAAGATGTGTTATATTCACCTGAACTGAGACAAAATTTAATATCTGGACCTAGGGTGGATATCAATGGAGCAAGATTTTATGGTAAAAATGGGCAAATTAAAGTTACTGATGATGAAATTCAACTTTGTACAAGGCTAAGTTGATAGGAAGTAACTATCATGTATTCCCGAAAATAGTTAAAAAGGGGGGCAAATCTGTAAAATTTGAGGCATCCACAGTTCAGCATAACAATAGTGAATTATGGCATGGTCGGTTTGGTCATATAAATTATGATGCTATTGTCAGGAACTAGTAAGAGACATTCAGTTCGAGGTCTTCCCATGTTAAAGCACTCACCTAATTTGTTTTGTGAACATTGCCAAATCAATAAGCAAAGACGAATCTCCTATAGACCCTTAGAAGGTATTCAAGTAAAGAGACCGCTTGAAAGGGTTTTTTTTTTCTGATGTATGGGGACCTATTAACATTCCAGGTAGGAATGGTGAACGTTATTTTGTTTCCTTTATTGACGAATATTCTCGTTATGTGGTAGTGTACCCCATTGTGGAGAAAAGTCAGGTGTTTGAAGTATTTGAAAGGCATATAGCATGTGCGGAAAGATCTTTAAACCTTAAGTTGAAATACTTTAGGACTGACAATGGGCGAGAATATGATAATGATCAATTCAGGTCATATTGTAATAAAAATGGTGTAAAGCACGAATTTACAGATGTCTATACTCCAGAACGGAATGGAGTTTGTGAGAGATTTAATCAGACAGC